CTCCTCCATGCAGAGAAAGTGTTACCTGAAGAAGTGTCTGAAGAAGTGTGCACACGAAAGCTCATACCAATAACAAACTTAGTTGGTCTTTAAGGTGCTACTGGAAGGAATTTTTTTATTTTCTTTCGACTACAGCAGACCAACATGGCTACCGACCTGCAACTAGAATAATGGGCTATGTGAAGGTCAAGTTAGCTGAAAAATAATATGAACACATTACTCCCCCCCCCAATAATTATGGGAAGTGTAGTTTACCCCTCTTGTGGAGCTACAATTCCCAGCTACAATTCCTTTAACAAACTACAGTTCACAGGATTCTTTGGGAGATATCATGTGCTTTTGAAGTGTGGTGTGCATGAATCCAGTAGGGCCTCTGCTGCTGGATGCACTGCTTGGAGAGTTGGGAGAGAGGCACTCTTGCAGGTAGGACTAGACCTCTTCTGGTCAGACCAGGACAAGACCTCACCCCATAGCACAGACAGATGACACTGGAATCAAGGGTGGTTTTTTTAGTGCCATTAGTGTCGCCTCATTTTAAACCAAGACCACAGAAGCTAATTGTGTTAGATTGTTCTCACTTAACTCTTCCTTTGTCTTTCCCCACTTTTTATGCCTCCTCCTCTTCATGCAAGGTTCCTTCCACCTCCTTTTCTTACTAAAAATAATTGATGACATTTACTGCTAAAAATAATTAATGATTATTCTAATTTTGTGCTACTTTTGCTACTGCTTAGTTAAATGCTGTAATTGTTACATGAGATATGTGATACATGGATAAATGTCTTTGTAAACAACTGTGCGAAAGACGTCTCCCTACAATATGAAACAAAGGCCACAGGTTCAGTTGACCTTCTAGCAGAACCCCAAGCCACCTGGTGCTAATGCCCCCCAAACATTATCCCCATAACATCCAGGGCTAGGGGGTGGTGAGGTGGGCCCCCATCAGGGGTGCAGGCAATGGGGGTGGTGCAAAATCAGCTAAAAATATGTCCATAAATATAAATATCAATTATTGCCTCATTAGAAATGGTTATAGAGGGTGAATTGAATGGGTGCAGGGGGTTGGGGGGGTTGGAGGAGAGGCGGAAAGAAGCACTAATTTGTTCATGGCTAGGGTGCACAATCTGGATGGTTCTGCCAGGGGCGCAAGATCACCTAGCTACGGCTCTGATAAGATCTCTCCCACAGCACCATATACCCTCATTTCCTGATGGTTCCTTCTAAATTCCGCTAACTGCATGATCATGGGATTAGTTCAAACTAATTCCAGCTTCTCAGTATCCAATCATCAGGATGTACAGGTCACTGACATTCAGTTTATTATCTTTACTGCAACAGTAAGCATAATATTTCACACAGATTTGTCAGAACGGTGGCTTCACACATGTATGCACACAGAGCATAGCAATTGTCAAACTGTGGAGCAGCACCCTCCTGCTTTGTGGCATGCATGCAGGGCACATGAAGGTGGTGGTGGGGGGAGTTTAAGGGAAGGGTAAGATCCTCAGCTGGACCATAAAGAAGGCTGATCGCCGAAGAATTGATGCTTTTGAATTATGGTGCTGGAGGAGACTCTTGAGAGTCCCATGGACTGCAAGAAGATCAAACCTATCCATTCTTAAGGAAATCAGCCCTGAGTGCTCATTGGAAGGACAGATCGTGAAGCTGAGGCTCCAATACTTTGGCCAGCTCATGAGAAGAGAAGACTCCCTGGAAAAGACCCTGATGTTGGGAAAGATGGAGGGCACAAGGAGAAGGGGACAACAGAGGACGAGATGGTTGGACAATGTTCTTGAAACTACCAACATGAATTTGACGAAACTGCGGGAGGCAGTGGAAGACAGGAGTGACTGGCGTGCTCTGGTCCATGGGGTCACGAAGAGTCGAACACGACTAAACGACTAAACAACAAAGATCCTCGGACAGATGGTGTCAAACTCCCTCCAACAACTAGGCCTTAAACACTGGATTTGTAGTACCTCAATCCACAAATCCTTGCATATAGCAGGTCTGTCTGTGTACAGCAGCTCATGAGAATCTTCTCAAAATCATCCGTTGGTCTTGGGTTGGAAGGAAGCAACAGGTAGAATAAATTCAGAAGCGTTTGCTCAGTGTTTAAAAAACACTGGTATATCTGGATCAGAGCTCCTGTTCCTTCCACTTCTTTTGTCTCATACTGGCAAAATTCCACCTTTCTTTTAGATGGGCACCATAGAAGGTTTACTAGGCAGAGAGTTGTCATGACTTGTCTTCTGCAATACTTCATGCGTCTTTTCTAGTACATTCTTTGTCAGATTTGTGGCTTTGATTTCTCACTAATACATACAATGTGCTTTGAACATTTCCTTTGCACTGGGTTCATCATGAGTTATTGCTTCACTTGTCTATTTCCCACAGACTAGTAGCTGACAGCTACATATACAGCCCTTTCCGGTTGTCAGTTCTATTTCTGTAAATGGCATCTTTCATGTTTCATGCAAATTAACCCACTTCACAAAAAATGTCACATTAAAGACTCCTCTGAAAGCGAAAGTAGCTGGCAGTGCTCTGCCACTCTGACAAGTATTGTATAACATGGTGATACCCTACCTGTCTCCTTTTGCAAAAATCTGGAGGGCCACAGGTGAAACACACAACATCTGTGCAAAATGAATTATAGGTGGAAGGATTCAGGCAATACAGAGCAAACACACTGTTTCTGGCACAACAAATGTGTATTTGTAATAAATAATCAAGCACGCTATTGTGAGCTGGTTCCAAGTTGGATGGGGGGGGGGGGGCTTGGTTACGATGGTCACCACCTTCTCTGAGTGAGATCTCACCAACACTGTTGCCATTGCCCTTTCACTTAATTGTTCCTCTGGGGCAAAACTGCACCAACTTCCACACAGATAGGACAAGTTATGTTACAGTTACTGCTCCTTCTGTAAATTTCTCTAATGGTTCAGCTTCTCAGAGCGAGTAAGCAAGCAGCAGCGGCACAGAGGAGGAATGGGAAGGGCCCAGAGGTTCTTTCATAGAGGTGGGGGGAGAACTGCTGGCCTATAGGACAGATCAGGCCCATGGAGGGATTCCCATGTAGCACACAAGATCCTCTCACTAGCCCAGATGTTCCTCCTTAGCCTCAGCCCCAAGTGAGCAGGTGTGTGTGTGAGGGGGGTGGGGTAGCAGAACAAGAAAGGGTGGGGCTGTAAGAGAAAGATATGCAACCATCCATGTTTAGTTCCAACCCTGCCCACCATATTCTCTGCCCCCCCCTGAGGTAATGAGGTCCTTCAGATTGAAAAAAGCTCCCAGAATGAAGAGACAACTGGCATGCCCTAGGCCCCATCTGTACTACACGTTTAAAGCAGCACTATCCCATTCTAAACAGTCATGGCTTCTTCCCTCAAAGAATCTTGGGAACTGTAGTTTGTTAAGGGTGCTGAGAGTTGTTAGGGGACCCCTATTCCCCCTCACAGAGCTTCCATTCTCAGAGTTCTTGACAACCAATCCCTCTCCCCAGGGAACTGTAGTTCCGTAAAGGGTGATGTGGGCCTTCTAATAACCCTCAGCACCAGGATTCTTTAGGAGGAGCCATAACTATTTAAAGTGGTATGACACTGCTTTAAATATATTGTGCACACAGGGCCCAAGTTTGTGGCATAAGAGCCAACTCCTAGGGGCTGAGGTCCCCTCACCGCCCCCATAAAGTATTTGAGGGGGCCTGCTGCCCCCCAAAGTTGATGGGCATTACCATTCAACTGGTGTATGTGTGCACTGTGTCTTGTAATTGTTTATACGGGACAGGGAATATCTACCTCCAGTGCTTTTTTTCTTGCGGGTACGCAGAGGTGCGCATGCCCCTAAACATTTTGTGAATCTTTGTACTTTTGTCCATTTGCTGTATTTATTTTCCAACATTTGAACTTTTCTTGAGTCAAAATGAGAGAATCCCTAAACTTGTTTTTTTAAAGAAAAAAAGCACTACCTCCCCCTCCCCCAATATTTTATATTTAAGTTGGCATTCCTGCATTGTGGCTCTGTAGCAGCGCAAGCAAGCTGTAGAAGGACTCCATTTCCCCCCTGTGCCCGACTGTGAGAGAAGTATTACTCTACTGGCAGCACACAATAGCGTTGGAGTCTCCTTTAACATTAAAGCTTTCATTTAATTCCTTTTTATTAACCACAGGGACCCTGTAAATGAAAGTATGGATTTCTGTCATTCCAAGGGCAAAAAGGTAGTCTCAAGAACAACCCAGCTGAGAGCAATACTTAACAACCTGTGCTTTAACCAAACCTTCACTTACTATTAAAAGAATTAGCACTTTCTTACTAGCTTTTGTCATCTCGTTCCTGTGAGGAAAATTCCCTTTCATTCCCATGTACTCCCTCAGCTCTTATATGTTGTGTGTCACTGGTCTTCAGTTGGTGGGTTGTGACTCACTAGTGAGTCTGGCCTGAGCCAAGGTGGGTTGCAACCATGTAAATATATAGTAAAAAATGGAGAAATAGGTCCCAAAATGCATGTTTGGGTTTAAAGTGGGTCTTCAGTCCCGTGGATGATGAGGTTGAAGATATCTACTTTATATAACTCACATACTGTCATTGCTGTTGGAGGAAAGTTCTCTAAACAAAACATTTCTTTCATGTTTGCTGCTGAAGGGTAAGCAACATTACAAATCCGACCATAGCAGTATGTATTTAAGCTTTAGTTGTGTGTGCTGGGCGTGGGGTGGGAATCACCTGGTTTTACTTCTGTTTACTTAGACTGACAATGGGTATGTCAATTTCATTAGGAACTGGCACGGTTTTGCTAGCTGATTTTTTAATTTCAAATGAAATAATAGCTTAACACTTAATTATTACTTCCTGAACTGCTGAATGATATGACTGGGTGAACACAATTAGCTAAATTTCAGCTAAGATGCACAATTACTGTACTTCAGGTTTTAGGATTTTTAAACTTCTTTTTTTATTGTACTTATGACAACCCCAGTTGCCCTTTGGTTGTATATTTGCCTCTTTGTTTCAGTACTGCTAAATAACCATCTTTATTCAAAGTAATAGAAACTCAATATATTTTTAATGAGTATAACTTTATACATTCTCAGGATTACGGTGTAGCCCCTTCTGGAGCACTCCAACAGATAGAAATAATATAACACTAAAATCTTTTTTGACAGCAAGTACATAGTTTGTCTTCACAAAAAAAAAGGCAGGGCTATGGATTCTGGGATGTAGTTGGATTATTGTCACCTAAGTAGGGTTGCCATGTGTCTTCTTTTTCCAGGACACACCCTCTTTTTCAGGGGTAAAATTCAAGACAAATTGCATTTATTTGCTTTGAATGGCCGTCATAGCGTCCTCTTTTTTGCTCCTCAAAATACGGCAACCCCACCTAACAGGCAACAGCTAAAGACAATGGCCTTGCTTGTACATCATGCTAACCCAAACAGCCATGGGCATGAGTCCTCCCAGAAAAGAAAAACCTTTGTCAGAACTCATGATTAGCCTGGAGAGAACTAAACTACAAACATGGATTTGGACAAGATGCAAAACCAAGCTGTGGTTTAGCTCAGCATAGCAGTAAAACGACTGGGGAAGAGCAAAGCAACCACAATATCATGTCCCATAGCCCTCATGCTTGCACCATACCATGGTTTGGCTTAGCATGACAAATGAACCAAGACAAGCCCTAATGGATCAAGCCACCACCAACTGGTAGAAAACCATGGTACATGTTTGCCATATGGAATGGCCCTATGTCTTTATGTGGATCTACATGGTTATTGAGACTAGATACACACAATGGTGGTGGTACATCAAATGGCCTTAAACCAAATGGCCACAATGCAAATTGCTTCACAGAAATGGGGCTCCTGCTGCTGACTGCTGCAGAAGAGCTCTGTGAAGAAGAGCTTTTTTTTGTTCTCTAGCTAGTACTAGGGAAGCCCAAGCCCAATCCAAATTAAACACAAAACAGCAACAGCAACTCACAAGTCCAGTCCAAGACAACAGAATTGCAGTGTTATCAGATGATGAATTGCTGAACAAAGTAAGCATGCATATACACCTTTGCAACAGTCTGAAAGGGCAACCAAACTAGAGAACAATAATGCAAACATTTCTTACTTGGGAATTCTATAATCTTACAATAAAGGGGAATCAGGGTATGTAAATACATACCCAGAACAAAACAAAAACAGGAGTTGCACTGCATTTCCCCCCACTGAGCGTGCTGTCCCCCGAGTTTGAAATGCAAATGACAGGTGTACTGATCTGTGAACTGAACACCGATTCATTCTTTTGCCTGGCCTCTCCCTATGTTTCAGGTGAGCAGTCTGAAGTTAAAAAATTAAATAAAATTCAAGCACTGTATGTACACTTATAAAGTTAAACATACCTTCATCCACTTTTTAAAAATTAAAAGCAAACAATAAATTATAAAATAGTTGAAAAGCTGTTCGAAGGAGGATACAATCAGAGTTGTACATGATGCACTTTCCATATGAAACACATGACTGCCTGGTCTCTGAACTCAAGATGGTGACATAAAAAGCTCAAATTATGTACATCTGTAAGCTCAAATTAGGTACATCTGTATGCATTCTGCATACAGAATGCAGACAGAACTGTACCCAACTGACATGAAGTTTCATAGTTCAGCTGTGGCAGTCAAACAGCTATGAAGTTGGGATGGCACACAGGGTACTTGAGGTGAAACCAAAACTTTCTCTGAAGAATTGCCTAAGAAATAGCCACTGAAAGAAAGATCATGTTAACTTAGATCTGTGAAATGAGACACAGTTCATAGGAAGTTAAGTGAGCTCTTTTAGACAACCTAAGACTCTTGCTACCATTAAGAACAAAAAATTAAAAGAGCATAAGCTCTTTTAATATTGAGTGCTGAATAGTTGGTGCTATGATTGCGCATGAAAGGTATTGATTAGATGGTGCATTCTCATTAAAACAGAGACAGTCACAAACCATGTAAATTTACCAGGACATTGGCCCTACATAGTTGGCAGGAAAGAGACCCAATTTTCCATGTAAAGAGCCTTTCCACCAGAATGCATCAGAGTTGTCCAGGACTTCAATGACATCTCCAGCGTAGAAGCCTAGCTCATCTTGCTCCACTGCCTCAAAGTCATACAAGGCACGGACCCACTGTGTTCGCTAATAACAGAGGAAGACAAAAGAAAGTGTCAGCTGTAGCATAACATGCCCCCACCAAACCACTGATGGCCTTTCTAACTAGCTATATTTGCACAATAAGCATGGGAGTGGTTGAGTCTCATTTGTTGAACAGAGTGCACATCCTCCTCCAAGGTTGCACATCTGTTGCATAGACATACCCAGCAAATGAAATATTTTGTTTTGGGGAAAATAAGACACTTGTCCTAGATAGCCATCAGTTCCCCGATATCTTTGTATTTCTTATGGTTTCCCCCTTTTTTCTTGGTTGACCATGGACTCAGGCTGTCTTTTTACAAAATAATAATAATAAAAAAAATATGTAAGGAACTTTGTACAGTGTAAACTATTTAAAATGTCACAGCTATATCTAAAAATAAAGTGATGTTACTACTCCTTTCCCACCAAGAATCTAACAAGAGAACCAAGTTCCTGAACTTGCATAAAAGTTTAGTATAACTTTTATTTCGAAGTGGCATATGCAGAATAATACATGTAGTGTTGCTCTTTGAATAGAAACGTGCCTCACATTCCCCTAGACCTAGACTCTGCCTCTCAAGAAAGACAGGTACCTGCCATACCTGTGGTTGCTGTGCTGGATCGGTGTGTCTCCGGAACACAGATGGTCCACTCCCTTCTCCATGGTGTCTTTGGCTCTGAGACGTATCTTTAATGTCCAGACTCCTGCCACGTCGGTCCTAGAATGTGAAGAGAATAAGATAATGATGAATCTGTTCTATTGGGGATCTGATACTTTCATAGTTACCTGCTGAACAGGAAACACTTTGGCTATGTACACACTGGTGGCTTAAAACACAGTGAGATTGTTTCCTCCTGCTGTTTTGCAAGTCATATTAGCACTTTTTTGCACACACCAGAGAGAGGGAAAGGAAGTCCTCAGCCAATGTGCATTACCTGTTTGGTTTCCCTGCATCTGCAACTACCTGCCCCCACCATGTACTCCTTTTGTGAAGCTGTCACCTGCACATGTGCTATGGCTGTCTCAAATGTACACACCTCAGCTTAATTTCAAAGTGAATGTGTCTTATGTTTTCAGATTGGATGGAAGCAGGAGAATTTCTCAAGAGACTGTAGTGTATATATGAATTGTGGCCAATGTCATGCTTACTCAGCTTCAAACACCAGCAGTGAGAGGGCACTGGAGCCAGAGTAACCTGTGATGTGTACAAGGGATTTATTACAATTTCTGTCACACAATGGAACATTTATGTAGTGGCTGGTATTGAGTTTTTGTGCCTGGTTATTTTATTTTATTTTTAAACTGGACAACTGGAAATCCTGTTCCTATTTTTCTTTGAGGCTGCAAACACTTCCACCTCTGTGCAAAATGCTTGCCTACACTGCAGTTCACTGCAATTTGCTTTTGCCTTAGGCAGAAAAATGTCCTGGGCCAGCACTGAGCAGTGTCTTACATCAGCTTTATCAAATGCCACTTATTAGATACCTGTACTATTGCACAATGTGGGAGGCAATCAGAGGTGTGGCACAATCCATTACTGTGTCAAATGTATTGGCCAATTTGGAGTAAAGCTTTTGTCAGGAAGGTTTGTTGTTTACACCTATCCACTGAAACAGCTTTTACCAACCCAGCACCTTCCAGATGTTTTTGACTATAACTCCCATCAGCTGCAGCCAGCACAACTATGCTGGGCTGTGGCTGATGGGAGTTGTAGCCCCAAACAACTGGGGAGCGCCACGCTGATGAAAGCTGTACTGAAGGCAGGCATGCAGGCAGGCAGGCTCTATTGTCCATAAAATAACTACTGCCCTTTAGAACTGCTAAGATTATTGTTTGTAGCTCTGGAAGTATTTTCCAATTTCCTCTTACTAAATGTAACATTTCAAACTGCCCCTGAAGGTGTCTTACCTGCCTTTCAGCCAGCACAAAAGGTCAGTGCGACTCAGTGCAGATATGTATGTCAATTGTTCCCCACTAGAGATGTTAAGAGTGAGTCAAAATCAGTTTGACTTTAAACCAGGTGTGTGTGTAGTTCATGTTTCTGCTTGATGTCAGACATATGACTCATATATAGTTAGCATGGTTGTTTTTGATGAGATATAGCCTCCATCCTTTAATAGAGGCCACTCTTGTCTTGTGTACACACAGCGTAGTTTAGGGCATGTTTACTCTGTTATAAGAACACCCTTTCCTTGGAACATTCTAAGTTGCAGTATTTCCAGCTTGCTCCAGTACGTGACTTTCCTCCCCACCCCCCAGATCAGATAGGATTCTCAGATATTGTTTTTACATACATCCTTCTAATTGCTGCCACACGGACAACCTGGAGAAGAGCCAGGGGGAAAATCCACTATTTAATATATTATATGTTCTGAGCTGCACAGTTATGCCTAAAAGATTGGCAAGGAATTTATTTTGAGGCTAGGTGTATCAACTCCCACCACAGCTCAGCGCGACCGAGTGTAATCTCAAGATCATGCAGGAAGACATGTAATAAAATAAGAAGAATCCTGTTGGATCAGACCAAAGGTCTAGCTTAGTCTAGCATCTTGTTTTCAGGCTATGTAAACACTATAAGCTTTAAAGCACTTAAGAAGCACATTTCCCCTCCAAAAAATAATAATGGGAGCTGTCATTTGTTAAAGGGTGCTGGGAGTTGTAGTTCTGTGATGGGTAAACTGCAGTTCCCAGGTTAGTTTGTGAAGTGGGGATATGTTTTGAATATTCTTTAAAGTTACGGTGCATATGCAGCCTTGGAGTGCCTAGCCAGATGTCTATGGGAAGTCTGCAAGCAGGACAGAGCAACGGAGGTCCAGCTCTTTCTGTTACCTGCTTATGCTGCCAAGATGCTGATTGATCCACCTCTTTGTTATGCCCTGATGCTCCTGCTTCTTTCCCATGTCCTCCATTCAGATGAAGCACTTCCTGTGTCTTTTTGGCCAAGTTCCATACAGCGGCTTCCTGGAAAGAAAGAGGTTTATTCTGTCACGTTTTGTTCGTCCTTCTAGGTATTCTTTCCCAGAGTGCTTCCAGACAAGGGCTTCATATCACAAAGGGATAACTCAGAACCATTCCCACCCCCTTTGTGTGTGATTGGCACATTTTCTTAAGGCAGGGATATTCATCACTATCTTGACAGTTACTATTGACACCACTGGGCAGAACTCAAAGGGATGTAGTCATTCTGCTGCTGTTGTTTTTGTCCCTGGCCTCATTTATAGTCGTGTCTAGAGCATGAGATAGTGTCCAAAAACATTTATAGCTGCAGCTTATCTGAGACCTTGTGCTGAGAAATCTGACATGCTCAGACCCTTTACTGCCCCCTTGATACTAGAAACAATAGGTAATACACTGCTTTACTAAAGCTAAGGAGGTGGAGACCTGATCAGCAACTTGGATGGAGAACCCCAATAATCTACGCACATACAATGAACATATATGTATATGTATGTTTATGTGTGTATATATATATAAAACTTAATATTTTACATGGCACATGTAATAAACATGTGCGAAGGAGACTCATTTCTCTAAAGACATGGCACAGATTCACCACAAAGCCATGGTCAGTTGTTAGATTTAATAGTTTTTGCGCTCAACTTTTTTTTGCAAGTTGTGGCATATTTAACTCTTTGGAAAACTCCGGCATTTTTCATAGGGTTTAATCACACACAGAGAGCTTCAGGAATGTCTAATCTTAATCATTAGTGATTTGACTGTGTTTTAAAATTAAGCTTTTTAGGCTTAATTTGTCTTTGCAACTGGATCTGCCAATATTTCTACAGCTCCTGCAATCCTAACAAGCATATACAACAGTGGAGTCAGAAAGAAAGACCCCTATCCTTTAATTTATGTATATGTTGGTTGTGCCAGCTGTCAGCTTTGCTTCCTGGTGTTTTCACACTTGAGGTTTAAATCACCTTTGAGCCTCTCTTGCTCTGCTTATGCTAGCCAGGGATCCTTGCCAATGCAGAAGAGATAGCGGATAAAGACGCTTTTGTAATGCAAATTGGCAGTTCAGATTCACATAGGCTTTTTATTTGCAATACAAAATGCAGGAAGCAAAAATGGTTTAAGGCAAATGCAGAAGAGGGGTTGCCAGGTACTAAAAGGAGGCACAGAGATCCTCTGTTCTAATGTGGATAGTAAGCTTCCTCTGTTGTCCGTATGACATTCTCTCCCAAATCACTGTCTTCCTACAATTTTCCCTCCCTCAATCAAGAATTTTTCATACCCTTTACATTTTAGAGTATTCTTGGTATGAAAAAAATCCCTCAGCCCCAACACTGTCTCTTACTGGCTAGAGCTGGGTAAGCAAGGGCCACATTCCTTTCTGGCCAACCTTCTGAGGGCCACAGGCCAGTGCTGGGAAGAGCAATGAATGTTAGTTTTACCTTTAAAACAAACATAATAATAATAATAATAATACTAATAATAATAATAATATATTTATACACTGCCCATCTGGCTGGGTTTGCCAGCCACTCTGGGCTGCTCCCAACATAATATTAAAAACATGATAAAACATCAAACATTAAAAATTTCTCTAAACAGGGTTGCCTTCAGATGTCTTTTAAACATCAGATAGTTGTTTATTTCCTTGAAATCTGATGGGAGGGTGTTCCACAGGGTGGGCACCGCTACCGAGAAGGCCCTCTGCCTCGTTTCCTGTAACCTCACTTCTCGCAGTGAGGGAACCGCCAGAAGGCCCTCGGCGTTGGACCTCAGTGTCCGGGCTGAATGATGGGGGTGGAGACACTCCCTCAGGTATACTGAGCTGAGGCCGTTTAGGGCTTTAAAGGTCAGCACCAACACTTTGAATTGTGCTCAGAAACGTACTGGGAGCCAATGTAGGTCTTTCAGAATTGGTGTTATATGGTCTTGGCGGACATTCCGAGTCACCAGTCTAGCTGCCGCATTCTGGATTAATTGTAGTTTCTGAGTCACCTTCAAAGGTAGCCCCACGTAGAGCATGTTGCAGTAGTCCAAGCGGGAGTTAACCAGAGCATGCACCACTTTGGCGAGACAGTCTGCAGGCAGGTAGGGTCACAGCCAGTGTACCAGATGGAGCTGGTAGACAGCTGCCCTGGACAAAGAATCAATCTGTGCCTCCATGGACAGCTGTGAGTCCAAAATGACTCCCAGGCTGTGCACCTAGTCATTCAGGGGCACAGTTACCCCATTCAGAACCAGGGAGTCCTCCACACCTGCCCACCCCCTGTCCTGCAAAAACAGTACTTCTGTCTTGTCAGGATTCAACCTCACTCTTTTCGCCGCCATCCATCCTCCAACTGCCTCCATACACTCACACAGGACATTCACCGCCTTCACTGGTTCTGATTTAAAAGAGAGGTAGAGCTAGGATTGTACACCAGGATTGTTTCCACTCACACACCCCTTGCTGTCCTCCATCCTGGCAAATAAGAAGCATTCTCAAAGTTCAAGGATGTATTCTAGACAAGCAAAGACACTTGAGACTGCAAAACAGGGCAGGTGCAGCGTGCGGTCTGGGATTCGAACTCAGGACGCAAGGGAGAAACGTGCTAAGAGGAAGGCACGCTTGGCAAATCCACACCGTGATCAACTCCCACCCAGAAACCAATGTCCCCACTGTGGAAGGATGTGTGGATCCAGAAATGGCCTCCACAGTCACTTACGGACTCATTGTTAAAACCGTGTTTATGGAAGACAATCTTACCGTACTTGGCTATGAGTGATCGCCAGAGAAGACCCTTGACTTAGACAGTCAGATGCTTTCATGCTTCTTTTCTAATTGAATAATCCCTGAAGCAAATACTTGAAGCCATTTACCCGTCCTTTCACACAAACGCACTTCTTTACTTTCCAAGACAGTGTTTTAAAAATTGATATAACTGGCTGGAAAGAGGTCGGCAACATGATCCTCTCTGCCAGGTGTGTCATTGCTTCTCTTTGAAGCGGATAAGGAAGTGCTCCTCCCTGCACAATGTGGGTTACAAAACTTCCTTGCTATTGTGGGCACAATCTATTTTCTGCTTTGCCTCAGCATTCACATCCTGGTAATTTAATATCAGAGTCCACATCCTGGTTAAGCAGGGCTCTCTGGTTACTGTAGTTACCGTACCTCCTCCTTCTCAGTACTGCACTGTGAGTAATGGTTTACAACCTGCGACCTGTCGTTTCTTTGTTCTTCTGGCACAGACTGAAACAAGCTGCCAGCAACGTGGGATCTACCTACATCCCAGGGTTACCTTTTGCACTCTGGTCACACCCACACCATACATTTTAAGCACCCTTAGCAAACTAGTTTCTAGGATTCTCCTTGATTATTAAGGTGGTATAAGTGTGCTTCAATGTGTGGTGTGGATGTGACATTTCTCTCCTCCTTTCAGTGCTCCATTCATTCTGGGGTTTTTTTTTTATCACTATGCTTAAACCATGCCTCTTGTCTCCGACCTCAAGGCCTCCTTTGCATTCTGTGTAGATTGCTGTTAGGAGTAAAATAAATCAAAACAGAAGACGGCAGTGAAATGAGATTTTTAGCTTCAACAAAAAGTGTATCCTTTCAATGAACCAGCATGAATGCTCTTCCCATAGTTCCACCATAGTCCCCACCTTCTATTCCATTGAAGACCTTTATTTTTAGGCAAGCCGTCCCAGAGGGGCAATTCCCAGTCATGCTCATTGTCAAATTTCATGAATTTTACTACATTGCTTGGTCTGGAAAGGTCGCTTCCTGGTTCACTTATAAATGTCTCCATAAAAATCAATTGATTTTTATAACATTAAAGCTAACCAAAAAAAAAAAAAGAAAAGAAAAGAAAAGGTGGGATTGGGCACAATTTTGTCTCATGGAAAAAGTCCTAATTACGGTACATGCTTCTGCTTCATATGTACGTACTCATTCACCCTGGCTTGGTAAAAACAGAGCTCCTTGAGATTTACCTGCTGTTCTTTCTGGGTCTCATCCCGCAGGAAGATCTGTGCATGTCTGGAGATGGAAGAAGTCTTGTAGAATTCCACAAGTTTATTTAGTGACAGGAACTTTTCGCTCCACAAAAAGTAGTTGCCCTTTGGGTCCCTCATCACTTTAAAGTGTTGTACGTTCTCTTCATGTCTGGGTACCAAAGGGAGAAAACAAAACATTTGACAACAGTCTGGGATTCCCACTCATTTAATTTTTAAATGGTTTTGTTTTGCTTTGTATCCTACTTTAATGACATTCAGAAAGGAAACATTTTGGATGAAAAGCAGTTTTTGGAGCAGTTGTGAAAATGCTTCCAGCGCTGGCAGAAACCAGCATGGGATAGAGCACTAAAGCTATGCTTAAAATCCTTAGCATTTAGAGTCCTGTGAAAGGCCTTTATGAAGAGCAATGGTGCTGTATTAATGAAAATGGTCAGTCAGGCCCTCTTACTAAATATTTAATCACACAAATCATCAAGGCAATTTTGAATTAACATCCCTCACCAGAGGAGACATGATGGAGCAGTAACTTCCTAGGCATCTGTTGTTCTAATATAGCTAAACCAATGTAATACAAGTCAGTCCAAACCAATGGCCAATATGAAGCCCACTAACACAAGCATCAGTGCTCCCATGAATAGCATGTATGATACCTGGCCCAACAGAGAAGGATGAAGGATAAACCACAGCCTTTTTGTGTAAGGGTACTCGCTAAACAGGGATGGGGAACTTCAGGCTCAGTGGATAATGCAGCCTTGCACCCTATTTGTTTGGCCCTCAGGACTCTCCCCCCAGGCCACGCCCCTCACTGGCCCCTACTTCATACCTTCCTTGAGTGCTTTTGCCTGCCTGGAATGTCTCCTTGAACTCTGATAATGCCTCTTGCTTGTTGGGATGGAGGATAGAGATAGAGTGTGTGCATGTACAAACTAGCTGACTGTACAAAGCTAAACTTTCCATTTGCTGCTTCAACCACTCATGCTTCTGGTGCTCCTCCTCATTGGCATGTGACCCTCAGAAGGTTGTCCAGAAGCGAATGCGGCCTTGAGGTGGGAGGAGCTTCCCCACCCCTGTTATAAAAGGTCAGGGCAGAAGGAAACTATCTTCATGGTTTCTGCATTGCCAAATACAGGAAGGAAAGTCCCTGCTCTTACCTTGGTTAGGTCATATTTGAGAATAAGGTGGGTCACTTGGAGGAACCATAGCTCAGTGGCAGAGCACATGCAGGTTAGGCCAAACCCAGCGTGAAAGTGCCCGGGGCAGAACCACCCACCGGCTACCCATACTTTGCTGTTAGTGGGATGCCACTCTGGGCTCCTCCCTGTTTTAAGCTTCTCTCAATGCCTGTTGCTAAAGCAGCTGAAGGAGTAGCCTAAGAGTGAGTGGAGCAACTGAACTGCTCCCTATCATTTGAATTGCTGCCAGTTTTGTCTTGTGCTTGTTTACCTGCCTCCAGCAACTCAGCAGGCAAAGTCAGGTTCCCACCCACATCGCTTTCTTCCTGTTTTAAGTTGCTGCCTGACAGTGTCTGAGCCAGTATGGTTAAGAGTGCTGGACTAGGATCTGGGGGACCAGGGTTTAAATCTCCTCTAAGCCATGAAGCTTTGTGGGTGACCTTGGGTCAGTCACTCTCTCTCAACCTAATCATAGAAATATCATAGAAGGGATTCTGAGGACCATCTAATCTTGCTGCAATGCAAGAATATTAAGCTGTCCCATCCAGGGATCAAACCTGCAACCTTGGTGTTATCAGCACCACGCTCTAACCAACTGAGCTATCCAGGCTCTACTTCATACAGGCTGCTTTGAAGATCATATGGAGGAGTATGATGCCTCAAGCTCCTTGAACAAATGAATAAATGTAGTAAATCAATAACTAAAAGAATTTGTCCAAAGGCAACGGCTATGGGAGTCTTCTTGCTTAGGGTGATCATTTGATACTGTGAACAGTATTTCTCAAAAATCTACAGATGGCTTGGGGCCAGCTTCACACACTGGCCGTGGGAGCCCACTGGAGCCAAAATAAATGGTAATGTGTACATACCCCAACAATGTCTGGAGGGACTCAAGGTTCCCACCTCTTTTTTAATGGGGTGGTTCTGCTCCATGTCCCAGCTTGTTATATATTTGTATGTTGTACAGGCTGAAATAACATTACGTTTATTTCAGCCTGTATGTCGTTAGCTTGATTGATTGGCTGTTATTTCAAAGAGGGCTTCGTGCTGCTACTGTAGAGATGGTTGCTATTTACCTGTTATTGTTTTATGTTTCATTTCGTTTTGGTTTTATTGTTGGAAGTCATGTTGTGTGCTTTGGCAAAGAGGCAACTCATAAACATTTGAAAAGATGGAATAATGGTCTACCTGGGAAAGAAGAAGCATCACACAGCCACTTTTGAGAGATGCTGTGCTCTGTTTTCAATTACAAAAGGATGGCTGTGGTGGAGTGGGGAAGGAGGGAGGGAGGCTGAGAGAAAAAAACATTACAGCATGCAAGCCAGGACTATAAGGTCCATACTGGGCAAGAAGGCTGCTGATCTTTTTTGATTTATCATTTATTTATATATTGCTTTGCAGGCGAATCTCGCAAAGCAGTTTATGTAGAACAGGTAAAACAGTAAGCATCACTCAAAGCTATATAAACAGCCAAGGCAAGGTGGCTTGGGGAGCTGCGGTGGGGTGGGGGGCTCTTTTTCTGAAAAACAAACAAACACAAAATCTCTCTTTCTCCCAGGGCAAGATGGTTCCTTGGGCAGCTTTGTGGTGATCCTGTGGGAGGGAGAGGCCACCTCAGGTAAACTACTGAGAGCTAGATGGTGGAGAGCTCTCCAGGCTGTTGTAGCTTCTCTTCCTCTCAGGGCAGGATGGCCTTGCAGTGGTGGTTTGTTTGTTTTTTGCTTTATTGTGTATTCTGTGCTCTCGTTTTGTATTTTTATTTTGCGAAATGCCCTGTGATCTTCAGGTGAAGGGTAGTATACAAGTTTACTAAACAATAGTAAAAATAAGGAAAGTTTACCCCTCATTAAGCTGCAATTACTACCATCCTTAGTAAACTACAGATGACTTGCAGCCAGCATGAGAGCCTCCTTCTCCATCCAACTAAGTTCTCTCAGAAATATAGGATACTTTGCCATCAAGTCGTAATATTGCAAATGGTTCATTTCCGCAAACATTAGAAGCAGGACTTTTAATTTACTGGATTTCCCCAGTAAATCTGTATTAAAGGGGGTGAGGAATACAAGCTGCTGTTTTGATGTCAATGCCATTGTGTGAACATAAAAGTAAGAACAGCTACAAAAATAGGAAGGGAAATAAGGCGTGGCTCTGGTATAGGTTGAGCTCTGCTTGAGCACTAGAGCTACAGTGGGCAGCTGCATGTCAGGGTTCAGTCCTTCTCAGGTCTGGAAACAGGGCTACCTTGGAGGAAGAGGAGGAGAAGAAGAAGTAGGACCCCCAACAGAAGACCATACTGCCAGTGACCCCGATACACTTTTGGACCCAGACATTTCAGTCACAGGACTGGAGGTCTCCAGACCAGTCGCCTGGCTCCCTGGTTGACTCTCTGAATATGTAATACATACTAAAGTATAGGATTGCACTGTTTATATATTTTTATTGACTAATGTTTTTATATTGTAAGCTATTCTGTCAGGCCTCGTTGGAAGCAGATAGCAGGATAACAGATTCGTAATTAAACAGATCTTCATACAGAGAAACCAAAAGCAGGCCTGTTTAAAGATGCCAGCGGGAGGGAGACCTCCTCAGTCCCAAACGCCAGTCTTTCCTAAAAGGTAGGTAAGAAGGCTACAAAGCACAAGTACCTGACAGAGATGGAGAAGTCGCCTGGGCGGTTCTGAGTACCTCGGACGATGAAGGAGCCCACTTTGTTGCCCCTGAGCATATTCTCTGCCTTGTGGCGGGATACGTCTTCATGGAACCAGCTGAAAAGTACAATATATGATATACGATATCTTTATTGTCATTGTCCCATGCAGAACAATGAAATTGAAAAACTACATAAAAATTACATAAAACTACTACAAAACTACATAAAACTACTACAAAACTACATAAAACTACTACAAAACTACATAAAACATTCAAAACCCCCTAAAAACTCTGAAATCCCATTTTAAAATACACTATACTATAGAGACCCCTTATGCTGCGTTTAGAACCAGAATTGCATTTGTGTAGAAACTGTTTCTCAGACGGCTAGTCCTGGCCTTTATAACCCTATACCTTCTTCCAGAAGGCAGAAGCTGAAAGAGATAATTTCCGGGGTGCGTACTATCCTGTGCTATCTCTGCTGCTTTCTTATGGCACATGGCAGCATAGATTTGATCTAAGGTGGGAAGAGTGTACCCAATTATTCTCTCTGCAGTCTTTACAAGAGATAGCATTCATGGAGAAGAATGTAGATGGTAAAAAAGAGAGACAGAAAGAAAGAAGTGATAAAGGGAAAAAAAATTGGAGAGAAAATTTACAGTGAGCCAGGTAAAGAAAAGAGAGTAAAGGTAAAGGGACCCCTGACCATTAGGTCCAGTCATGGCTGACTCTGGGGTTGCGGCGCTCATCTCGCTACAATGGTAGAAAATGCCACATGACTCATTCTGAAATAGAACAACCCAGCTATTTGCTAAAGGAAAAACTGAGTAAAAATAAGTAAATGCACCCCTCTTTTGGAAACCCCAAACTCCAGCATGTGCAGCTTTCACAAAGATCAAGAAAGCCTCTTTCAAGTGGCAATGACACCAGGCCAGGACATGGGGGCAGAAGTCCAGGGCCCCACTCACCAGAATGAGCAGATAGGCCCCTGCATGTTGTGGGGCTGGCATATGCTATACACATGACCATCCAATGAGGGGGAAGAGGGGGGCATTAATTCAAGGGTTTCAACATTCACAGTGTTTCAAAGCTCAGAAAATGGAAGTATGCCATTCCTATTGTTAAATGTCATGACTATATGTAGTATGTCCCTCTATATCAGAACCTTAGGTTCATGTGTAGAGACTCACAGTTCAGAAGGCTCATAGAACTGAGCTTATATCACCTAACGTACAACCCAAGGCACAGGTACTTGCAAGAGAAAAATGGATGAATTTTGTCTAAAAATGAAATAAAATATAGGCCTGCATTTTGTTTTTTGAGTTCTCACCCTTCAGCTGCCAGCAGATGAAACTGCTCTATACAAAAAGGTCCTTTTGGTTCCATCCAGCAGGGGCCAGTGGTGCAACACATACAAGCCAACGACAATCCCCCAGAGCCTACAAACATTGTTCCTCGCACACCTGCTCCAGGTTAATAATATGCCAATAATTATTTAGAAGTCTGCACTGCCACGCATGTAGTCTACTGAAGTCAAGCCACCAGGTGTACTCTCTGCTACAACACAGTACTTTAGGGGGGAAAAGCTTTTTTATATAAAAAGGATGCAAAGTAGTTTGATTGTCGCTGTTGTCTTTAAATCTGCAGAGAAGGATAATAAACTTGCATACGGTACCACAGCATATGAGGCTGAGAAGTTTATGCCTGGGCACTGTGAACGTGGTTTAATTAGCAGCTTTGGTGCAAACCATAATTTACTTAAGGACTGCTAAAGCAGGATCCTGCACTTAACAAATGACTGAGATATACCTCTCTGTCTCATGCACACAATAAATCCTCTTTTTACAATGGAGCAGGTGCACAGGGCTGAAGATCAAAATAAACATCGCTTTAATTGCATGTCTAGCAGGAGATTTCAAAATGTTAATTCTAGGAACACCCTCACCCCTGACTTTCATCAGGACCGCAGTGTACAAGGACACACTCAAGTTAAACACCTAGAAGAGTTGACATACTTACCTGGGACTGTGAAAATCTATGAAATTCTTTGGGACATATCCTTCATAACTATTCAGCTCAGCCTTGTACCACTCTTCCTTAGAGCTTAAAATCTGTGCATCCAGAGGAGAGTCAGTATTAGTTTAAAGGACATATAGGTCTTATGCTACCTAGGTTTTAAATGTCCCATGTTCCCCTCCTGGCACACTCCCCACTATTAGGCATTTGTCAACTTGTCTGCAAGGTTCTGAGCCAAGCTTCAGCAGTTCTCTGGGAAAAACCTCAATTTTCTCTCCTTAGAGCAGGTGCGGGAAAACTGGCCCTCCAGGTGTCGCTGAACTACAACTCCTATCATCCATGGCTATGCTTGCTGGGGCTGATGGAAGTTGTAGTTCGGCAGCATCCAAGGACCAAAGGTTCCCCATACCTGCCTTATAGAAATGATATGGCACAGCCACTGTGCCTAACTGAGAGCCCAATTCATGCAGTTTGCATGCGAAGGGTGCTCTCCCATCCTCAGTGTTTACACATTTGGTGTGAATGTCTGCAGGTGGAAAGCCCATGCACTTAGATCTCTACATGCCTGGGCTTCCCTAGGAGATGGAACCCTGACTGCACAGGATTCCGGCTCGTGCGGGAACCTACCCATGTAGAGCTATAAATGCTTAGGCTCTGCTCCTACAGATGTTCATGGATGGTGGCGGCAGCAATGGTGTAACCCTCCTGCCCCTTTTGTAATGCAATAAAATTTATGAAGGGTGCTGAAGTGTTCACAAGATACAAGGATGCAACTCCAGTAATAGAAGCAAGGTTCCCAAAATAAAGGCAGAGTGGAGGTGTTGAGGACATGTCCTCAAAACATGTCCTAGCTGGAACCTATCCAAATTAGGAAGCAGGCTGTGAAACTTTCCCCATACACTGATTGGTTAATTGCTGAAAAAATGGTTCAAGGGGCGATAACCCCTCTCCTTAAAGTGGTATGTATAGGGTCTTAGACTTGTAGGACTTTCAGTTTATGCTTCATTTGATGCCTTAAAAATGCTTCGCCTTGGGAGAATACAGAAATCTTCAGGAGTCAAACACACAAACACATACAGATACTTGGCCAGCGTGGAAGACTTCTGCAAGACTCATCAGCTGCACTGGACTTTGCTATCTCAGTAAATTGGTTTCCTTGTCTAACAGTTGCTGCTGTTTGTTAGTGACTAATTACAGTGCTACTTCAGTCCTGCCTGATAACACAGCTTTTTCAGCCTGCACACAGATATGGTCACTCAGCCACAGAGACAAGCGACCCTCCTCTGTTCTGAAGTGGTAATTTCACACTACAGTACAGCAGACAGAATTTTCTGATCCACAAGTGGTGCAGGCCCAGGGATTTTAAGGCTGCCATGAGGGTGGGTGGACGGGCGGGGACAGCTACTCCCTAGTCACTGCCTGCAGGGAAGCATGAGAGAGAGAGAGAGAGAGAGAGAGAGAGAGAGAGAGAGAGAGAGCAGCAAAGGTTCATTTCTCACACTGCAAAACCACTTTGCAAAGGTGCCCACTTGGCAAGTAGTATCCTGCTCTGCAATGTAGTTAGCATAATAATTAATCCATCCCTGTAGCAAATGAACCAGACTTCAAAGGTAGGCAATGCAGTCGCAAGAAAAAAGGAAACAAAGCAAGTCATTTGAAAGGACAATCATAGACGGGATAGGTATCAAGGGCTCTTGCAGAAAAGCAGCCACTGTGGGAGGAAAACATGCATTTGGAAGAAATAAAACTAGGAGGAGGACACAGAGGTATTAGAGGAAGTGCTCGTTAGTTTTGCCCAAATTCCTTCAGACTTGTTCAGATGGTGGAGGGATCTGGATCTGTATTTCTAATATGTCTGTGATGAAAGAGTTCTGCTTTGAAGATCTTACAGGGGGCTTAAGGAACTGTGTGAGAGTTTTTTTAATGGGTTGCTTTGCTTTTAGTGGTCTGCACCAGGACAATACAAATCCTTCCATTTAACTAACAGGGTGGAGAGTGGCCAAAAAATGCCCCCTGATTCATACAACAATGCCTGTATTAGATCCTATATATGTTTACGTGGAAGGACGTCCCAAAGACTTAAATGGGACTTACTCCCCAAGTTAAGTGTGTGCAAGATTGCAGCTTTACTTGCGTGGCGAGTTCCCGCCCCCCACCAGGATAAATAAAGACACGAGACACCATAGTTTAAGGTTAAATGGGTGAATTAGGCCACAACTTTATTGAATTCAGGAATGAGAGGCATTGGTCCTAACGACTATCCGGCTCCAGCCCATTTGCTGGAGACACGGGGAAGGGTTAACACTATATCGGGGGAGTCTCCTGCCGAGGCACGTCAACTAGGAGCTCCCCCAGGTCACCGCTCGGGGGCGTGCCTTTGGCCCACAAAACGTGGGGGCTAGCTGGCGAAAAGAGGGCGAGCCCCCTCTGCGCCGGCCCTAAATAGGGCAGATACGGCCGGGATTCCCCTGCTCTCGCGGGGGCTGAAACGCTCACGTGGGGGGTGGGCGTGAAGCCCGCAACCCCACCTCCTGGGCAGGCCGGAAGTGGCTTTGTGCTGACCTTGCACTAAAGCAGCTGAGGCATGGAATCAAAAATGTCCCAAAGGCTGGTTGGACCAACAAGAATTCAAAGAATTGTAAACTTGTGCCCACTTAGGCAATAGAAACATGTCCTTAATGTTTTCCACTGCCCACGGATTTACCAAAACCCTCCAAGCTCAAGTCAATGTAGAGAAACGCACTTAAGTCCATTGATTTCAATGTCTAAATGTCTGTATTGAATTGTGGCCATTGTGTTTTGGCTCTACCTCTTCATGCATCAATCCTTTTCTGAATTTGGTAGCACTTTGACTTCCTTACACACACAGGTATAAATGCCTAGACAGTAGAACACAAGAGGGGATAATTCCTGTTATGTTGCTACTGCATTGTAGCGTACACCACATAAAGACTTTTGAACCATTAAGCAGGCTAGAATTTTTTGTACATAAGTAAATGAATATATCTGCATTCATTGTAGAAAATCTCGCTTTATTTTTTCTCTTCACAGAAATAACCACAATGTAATCACCTGGTAAACCTTAGCGATGGCACCTCATGCCAAACTACCAAAAATATGTGTGGCTAGGAACCAGCTAGATTAGCTATGCCTGTGGTTGAACTAAATATCACTTAAAATAAATGCAGCTGTTTATCTTCCCATGGGCCAATGCTCAAACGGTAAAAATACTAAAGGCAACCTCTAATGCTTACTTTCCTGGAAAGAGGTATCCAGAGCAATCAATTTCCCTGGTGCATGGAGGGCTGGCTTCTGATCATTTTTCTAAAGAAGGGGTTGAAGTGAAGAGATAGGTTTCCTCCTGTCAGTGGGCCTCACACTTCCTGCCTCTTTCATCTTCTCCATATCAGGGCTGCGACCCATATCATTTTTCAAAAACAGCCTGATACTTGGTATGTACATGTTGTGTGAAATAGAGATATTTCACAGTTAGGTTACTGTTCCAGAGGACAGCCTTCCCACAACCTGGTTGGATTATATATCCCATTAGCCCCAACCAGCATTGGCAACGGTCAGAGGGGATGGGAATTGTAGTACAAAACATTTGGAGGGCATCAGGTTGGGGGAGGCAGTCATAGGATTTGAAGAACATTGGTAAACAAGACCCCCTGCACCCACATTGTCCCAAATGATTTCCTTGTGCATGACTTTTCCTTTGTTTGTGATTGCTTAATGACCTTGTAGAAGGTGCTACTTTGAGTCTTTGTTCTTCCTGTTCATCTTTGAAATGCAGAATAAAATTTTGGACTAAGAAGGATTTTCTTTTTACTATGCAACCTGGGAATTATCAGTGAACCACTAATCTACCGGTGCCAGTTGTGGGTTTGCTGGCTTATGGGATGGATGGTTAATACAAGCACATAAGCATTGAGCAGAACTTACAGTGTTAAAAGAGAAAATACTTGGGTGAAACCTTGGTTTGCACTTACCTTCAGAACATCACCAGCCCCGAAACTCAGTTCATCCTCTCCTGTTGCATTGAAGTCAAACTTCGCAGTAGCTTCCATACTGTCTCCTGTGAAGGGATTGATGGTAAAGCTTAGTATAGTATTAATATCTGTTTTGTGGAACAGTACTGAACACAGGAAAGCTTATTACGGCCCTTTTACTCAGGGGATCTTTGGACGAGCTTGTTCTATAAGTAATTCCCCACTTGGACAGGTCTCACTAGACTGTTATGCCACTACGGACACCAGCATAATCGAGTCACAATCCTAAACTCAACTCAACCTGTAACAGGGTCAATAGTACAATTGGCCAAAGTCAGAAAAGCTAAGCATCATCACACTGAAATACATTCCCACAGCCTTCCCCATCATCAAATCAATCATTATCTTGGGCTGCATCATCATCTCTGCAGGAAAGGCACTATCAGTCAACATGCACCAATGGCCAGATAATTCCATTTATGTCTTCCAGCCTAGTATACAAATACACACACCCTCTGCAAAATGCACAAACAAGTGGCTAGAAAGAGAACCAATGCTTCCTTATGTACATAGTGTTGCATATGGAGAAACCATATGCTTCTCAAAAGGAGGGTTTCAGGCTTGCTGAAGAAGCAGTGCCTACACACGAGAATTTCTATAAGAATGCGCAGGATGCAGTTTACAAATGGCCTTCAAGGGCAGCAACTTTCTGAACCGTGTATTACAATAGGTTAGTTGTGAAGTTGCCTGTACATGCTTAAAACACATGTCTCCAAGAGAAGGATCAGCTGGGGTTTCAGCTGAACCAGAAAGAGGCAGCCCAGACCACAGTGTGAAAATAGCTTCGATATCCTCTGGGAATAAAAAAATTGTCGAGAAATATAAATAAAGACAAGGGGCAGGTTATCAATTCTCACAAATGTCAGAATCAGAGATGGAAAAGCCTATGACCCTGCAGATGATGTTGTACTACAACTCCCACCCTCCACAGCCAGCATGGCCAATGGTCAGGAATGATAGTTCAATGACGTCTGGAGAATCAGAGTTTCCCATCCCTGCTGCAATGATGTCAAAATACCTACATGAACTCTACAAGAACTCCATTTTGGCACCAAATAGAGATATTTACATAGTGCAATGGTGTTGAACCTGTGGACCTCCAGATGTTGCTGGGCTCCAGCTCCCATCAGCTCTGATCATTGACAATGCTGGCTGGGAAAGATGGGAGTCTAACAATATCTGGCTGGTCAGAAGTTCCCCAGAGTTTCCACTGTGGAAGAAGGCACCATTATGAATACAGTGGTATCTTAGTTCTCAAACTTAATCCGTTCTGTAAGTAACTCCAAAACCAAAGTGTTCCAAAACTAAGATGCGCTTTCCCATTGAAAGTAATGCAAAATGGATTAATCCATTCCAGACTTTTAAAAACAACCCCTAAATTAGCAATCTAACATGAATTTTACTACCTAACAAGACCATTGATCCATAAATGAAAGCAACAAAAATGTACTGCAGTTACACAATCAATCCATCAGTAGCTGAATTGGGTTCCACACAGTCACAAAAAAAGAGCCTCAAAAACAAAAATGCTAAATAAATAGCAAAAACAGACAGACCTCAGCGTAACACTCAAAACGGAAGCGTGGCACTCAAAATGGAGCACGTTCTGCTTCTGAAAAAAGTTCACAAACCGGAACACTTACTTCCGGGTTTGCAGTGTTTGGGTTCCAAGTTGTTTGAGTACCAAGGCATTTGAAAACCAAGGTATCACTGTACACTATTGTGTTTCTGTCTTCTAATAATGCTTTCAGATGGATCTAATATACAGAACTTGAACCTACCTCAGATGAATGCACTGGGGTCTGATTGTGCTGCAGACAAAAAGGCTTGTTTTTACGTTTGCAAGTGATGATGCTAGGATAAAGGACAGGAAAGCTCCTCTTACCATTTCCTGCTAGCAGGGTTGTGATATGATCTGAAAGGACTATTGATGTAACAGTCCCTTTACCTCAATCTGCTGCTCTTCCCTGCTCAAGCTGCCAAGAGCAAGGCAGGAAGTGGCTCACTTTATAGTGCATGTGACAGGCTGTACCATGAACAGCAGCTGAGAAATAGGTAACACGGCCCTTGCAAAAATCTACAGAATGTGCTTCATTACCCATAATTCTTTGTTATCGCATTGTGCTCATACTTTTTCTTTTTTAAAAATAGAACTTCATGAAACAAACACATAAAAACAAACAAACCAAGCCGAGGTTGGCGTAGTATGTTACATTAACAAGAAGAAATAATAAAGCTGGTTTTCCAGATATTTATGAAGATACAGATATGCAAGTAGAGTGTACTGTCAGAAGAAATGAGAGAACACATGACTGGCACATTGTGTTCATTCTCCAAATGTTGGATTACAACTCTGAACAGTCCAAGTCAGAATGGCCAATGATCCGGGTAATATAAATTTTCCAAAAACCATATTCCAAAAACACAGCATTTCCATCAAGTTAGAATATTCCAAAAATATTGTAAATTGCTTTGGGATGCCTCTTGCAAAGCAATTAATAAATAAAATAATTAGAAGAACAGGAACAAATGTTAGCCATCCCTGCTCTAAAACAGTCTTATCAAATGCCTAAAATTGTAACTGATACGCCACAAACTTGACAATTTTACATCCAACTTCCAGTCTTGTATATCTTCTACAGAAGGAGAATAATTAGAGTCTGGAAATCATTCATGGATTCATTTGTTCATTTTCTGCCATCTGACTCCTCTGTGCAACCCCCCTTGTGTAGGTTCTAAACATGATAGAGCATGGGAAATTTACATACAGGGAACACTGGAAGGGGTCGACAGCCATTTATAATGTGCTGTAAATTATAAGAACCAACATGCATGAGACAAAACACCATAGCAGGCTTGTGAGGTGAGGTGCATGTGTGATGAGGCATGACAATATAGAAGTTTGGTGCCCATTTTTGTGATTCATAATAGAAGAATGGAAAATACTGGGCCTCCAAGATGTCCATTCTGGAGAGATTTACTAAAATTAAAACAGAACACTCACCTAGGATGAGAGCACCATACAGGAACCTTGCTATTTGTTCTGTTGTAGGTTGGTGAATATTTATTATGCAATTTACTGGAAACTTCAATAAAATGACATTTACAAAAACAAAAGAAAAACACCTTTAAGGCTGCAGTCCTATATACTGTATGCTTACCTGGAGTGAGTCCCATTGAACTCAGTGGGTCTTACTTCTGAGCACACATGGAGAGAACTGCATTAATATTAGCTGCTGTTTTTATCTTTCTGTCTTCGGCTTACATTGTTTTATCTTCCTGCTCTGCTCCCATCTTGCTGGTTGTTGCTTAAAATTTGCTTTTTACTTATTTCATCATTTTTACCAGTATAAGCTGCCTTGAAGTTTTGTTTTTACAGTAAAGAAACCTCAAGGAGCGCCCCCCACCCCAACTGCTGCTAAATTACATGAACACCATAAACCCAACTCACGAGATCTATCTGCGGAGAAGAAAGGGTGTCAGTGGGTGGGACTCGTAGACCTCAAAGCATATTAAAGTTGCTTTGTGTGCATTTGTGTGTGTGCACTGACACATCCCCATGCATGAGTCAGAGGCATACTCCTGTGCTCTACCACATGTAGAAGCTACATGTCAAGGCCATTTATGAACCAGCTCAAAGTCCCTTAGCAAGAAGCAAGGGTGTAGCTAGGGGGGCAGCTGCCCCCCCCTAAGTAAATAAATAAAAAAAGACCCAACTAAAAGTAGAAACAATCAGAATATTTGAAACAGAAATGCTTGCTGAGGTCACTTGGATGATGTTGTGGTCCATTCTAGCGACGCAACCCGATTGAGTGACAGGCATGGCTTCCGCAAACTGACCTATCACGTCGCAGGTTCTGGAACAGGACAGGTAGGTGTCCTGCCCCCTCCCTAAAATAAATCCTGGCTACTCCCATGGCAACAAGTTCCTCTCACAGCAGAAGTAAAATATGCTAGTGAGGAAGGCACAAGTGTTATGTGAAGGGAGGGGGGGACCTCATCACTTTTAAGGTAATGGTCCGCTGGAGACGCATCACTGAGAGTTATCACCTGTCATTCCTAAATAGAAAAAGGATCTTCTTCGCACACTTCCTCCTGGGTGTCTTTCGGCACTTTCTGTTTCCTTGTTGCTTATTTTAGATGAATTTGAATTCATGTGACTGAACACGAGACAGGCAGAATGGAGGCCAGGCGTCTGGCAGCCGACACCCAGATTAGCTGGCACAATGTGACCTTGTTGTCCAGCATTCTGTTTAGGCTGCAGTTCCTGGGAAGTACATGCCGTGTTGCTGCCCAGCCTTACAGCTTGGTCCGCCTTGAGTGGCAGTAGCTCCAGCAGCCTCTTAAGAATTTGCCAGTAAGGCAGATCCAGAGATTTGGGAGGCCATTTAGCTCAATCCAGTGCTTCATCTGTCACTGCCAGTTTCCTCACTCCCTCCCCGATTAGCCCATGAAATCCAAAGCTGCCGGCAAAGAGTGCAGACTGGAGAGATTCGAAAGCTAAGAGCTATGCAGAATAAAGTAGTTACAGATGTTGATTTACGATCAGTCAAATAAAAGAAGCACTGTACACAGAAGCGGCAACAAGCTTGGAGGGCTGGGAGTTTTCAAACTTTATATCCGCAAAATGGAGATTTATTAAATTCTGTCAATGATTAGAATCATACCACGCATAGGACCTGTTTTTATATCATTCTGGAAACTTTTATATCATCATGGATGCCAGTACACTTATTCATTTTTGTACAGAAAATGTAAACACAGATTACATTTGGCAATGATGTATCTTACCACAATCCACCATTAAGAGTTTTCTCCATTAAATAACAATTTCCAGAAGTGTAGCTGTGTTAATCTGATGTGGCAAAAATGCCTTGCAGCACCATGAAAACAGTAATACAGGATGAGTCCTTTAAAAGAGGCCCTGTGGATACACAGAGTACACATGTTCTGCAGGGCCTCTTTTAAAAGACTCACCCTGTATAAAGCTGCATAGTTGAACTTCTGATAAATTATAACCCCGCAATTTCATGTTGGACACTCAGGGCCATCTTTACCCAGGGGTGCAAGGGGGGTGGTGCACCCGGGCACTGAATTCTGGGAGGTGCCAAATGTACAGTGGTACCTTGGGTTACATATGCTTCAGGTTACAGACTCCGCTAACCCAGAAATAGTACCTCGGGTTAAAAACTTTGCTTCAGGGTGAGAACAGAAATCGTGTTCCGGCGGCGCGGCGGCAGCAGGAGGCCCCATTAGCTAAAGTGGTGCTTCAGGTTAAGAACAGTTTCAGGTTAAGAACGGACCTCCGGAACGAATTAAGTACTTAACCCGAGGTACCACTGTATACCTACTGTAATCCGGTCCCTCTCGATTGGCGGCAGTGAAAAGCAATGGAGCGAAAGTCCCCCCCCTTCCGTCACTCTGTTACTCTGTAGCATCAAATATTCCCACCGAGTCAGGAAAATGAAAGCTGTTATTTCCGCTGCGTCGTTGTTACAGGTGAGCAATTCTCCTCCCGCAAAAAGCTCAACAACTTTGAGTTTGCCTCCCCTAAAAAATCTGGGGGCGGCTAAACTAAATTTGGAGGCGCTGGGCCGATCTTTGCACCCCGGCAGCGCATATACTAAAGACGACCCTGTGGACACTACAGTATTAACGGAGCAATTCAACCCTGCTTTTGCATCCTTCACCCAGCCCCTCCTAGCCTCCCTAAGACCCTGCTGGTCTCCACCTGCAGAGGGAGGCAGCTTCACTCCATTGGCACAGAGTTCCCTTCTGCCCACCACACGTGCAGTCAGGCAGAATCCTGAGCTGGCCTGGGATACACTGGATCCCAAGCTAACCCTGATGTGATCACATGACAGCATCAGGAACAATCCAAGCTCAATTGTTGTGCCAGCTCCAGTTTGGAATAAATTTGCCCACCCCCCTAATCTTCCACCCCAGCCACTGCCTAGCAGGCCCACAGATGTGGTGGGGGCCCTGCCTGCTCTGTAAAGCCCCATTGGGCTATGGGGGGCTGGTAAAAGTAAATGTAAAGGGAACCCTGACTGTTAAGTCCAGTCGCGGACGACTCTGGGGTTGCGCGCTCATCTCACTTTACTGGCTGAGGGAGCTGGCGTTTGTCCGCAGACAGCTTCCGGGTCATGTGGCCAGCATGACTAAGCGGCTTCTGGCGAACCAGAGCAGCACACGGAAACGCTGTTTACCTTCCTACCAGAGTGATACCTATTTATCTACTTGCATTTTGACGTGCTTTCGGACTGCTAGGTTGGCAGGAGCAGAGACCGAGCAACACCCTGTTGCGGGGAATTCGAACTGCTGACCTTCTGATTGGCAAGCCCTAGGCTCTGTGGTTTAACCCACAGTGCCACCCGCATCCCCCTTGGGAGCTGGATGGTTCCCTAAATAGCTAACTGTCCTTATGCTGCATCTTTTATAGGTATGGGCTATCCTGGTTTCTGATAGCCCCAAAATCCTGGTCTTAAATTAAATTCCCTGCTGGGGTGAATAAATAAAATGCTAGAGAATCTTCACATAAGCTTGTAACATTCCTAATGAGAGAGAAAGCATATTGGAAATTTACAGCTTTATGAGAAATCTCTTTGCATGGATGTATCTTAAATGAAACGAATAATGTATGAATATAAATCTACATCCCACCCCCCATTCTTGCTACAACTGCACTTTTTGTGTACAATACTTATTTTCTGTGCCAAATTATAAACCAGTAGCTCATGTGCTTGTATATATGGTTATGTTATTGGTCCCTGCAAACTGCACTGCAGACAAGTTTATCTCTGCACGGTTACAGCCTCTGCCCTCCTATTTGCATACCCTCCAACATTTCTCAGATGAAAATAGGGGTGTCCTAAGGAAAAGCGGGACATTCCAGGATCAAATCAGAAACAGGGATGGCTTGTCTAAATCAGGAACGTCCCACGAAAATAGGGACACTTGGAGGCTCTATATTTGCAGCGCAGGTACAGGAGATGGTGGGGGCATGTATGGGTCACAGACCAATGTGCTTGAAGAAGCAACCCCCTTGGCTGGCTTTCCCATGTCACATCGATCATTATCTATCAAGAAGCTAATATATCAAGATAGCCTTCCATATCCTGGGGGTCTCCCGTTGCATTGGACTGCAACACCTGATGGGAGTTATAGTCTAAATCATCTGGAGGGCATCTGGTGGAGGAAAGTTGTGCTAAGGCATCAAAACAGGGACATGGGAAACTCCCATGAAGATATGTGTCAGTAATAATTCTCTGGTAATTTATCCTTCCTCTTCATCTCTTGCCTGTAAAACGGCGTAACGGCTTATAGTTTAAGACAATTACACAGTCAGAAAGAAAGGATTTTTATTACATCTTGAGGAGCTGGCTATATATTCAAAAACCCTTTGCAGGCTAAAAGAGCTATCATAAACTTGTTGAATAGGCAGTTCTCAGGATAGGCGTGTGTTGGCTTGCTAGCTGATGAATGAGTCACGAACACCATTGTCTAGTAATAATAATATAATAATAGTGCAGACATAGGCAAGCTCTGGCCTTCCAGATGTTTGGGACTACAATTCCCATCATCCCTGACCACTGATCCTGTTAGCTAGGGATAATGGGAATTGTTGTTCCAAACATCTGGAGGGCCGGAGTTTGTCTATGCCTGGTCTAGTGATTTCTTTGACCATGACTGGCTCTTCAGCTGCACTGGGACACTCTGTATGCATGCGTGTATGTGGGTGTACGAAATCATGTGCAGCGTTCTCCGAGTGATCAAGGGGAAGATGAAGAGCATATATACCCATGGATGAGTTGTTTGCTTGAAAGGTGGTCATTGTGGCAGAGACAGTAACATTGCAAAGTACTGATGACTGGCTTTAACTAAAACTATGTATGCATTAACAATCCTTCCCGTTCCAGTGTGTACTCCCACTAAGTTGGTTGAAGCCCTGCTCATATGATATTAGCCAATGGATCTTTCTTCAAAGCAATTTCCATTTGATTTGAAAACATATGCTGCTGTTAAGCTGAGGTGTGTACATTTGAGATAGCCATTGCACATGCACAGATGACAGCTTCATGAATACGGATTTGCGGGGGAGGGGGTTTGCAGGTGCAGAGAAACCAAACAGATAATGTGCATTGGGTGAAGACATCCCCACCCATTCTCTGGTGTGTACAGCAACTGCAGATGAGACTTGAAACAGTGGGGAAGAGCAGTCATCCTCCTGCATTTTAAGCCATTACATGCAACATTAGCCACAATCCGCATCTTTCCTGTAATTTCTTACGAAATAATGTGTTTTTATGTGTTTCTTCCAAACTGGCTTCAGCCAGTATTGAGAACAAGAATGACCTAGCTGTCAACAGCATGAGACTCTTAATCTCAGGGCCATGGGTTACAGCCCCACTTTGGGTGAAATATTCCTGCATTGCAGGGGGTTGGACTAGATGACCCTTGTTGGTCCCTTCCAACTCTACAATTCTACGAAAACACAGCCTTAGCATAAGCAGAATCTTTTATTTGCGGAGCCTAGTGGCAGTAACTAACCCTTCTTGAATAAAAATAAGTTTGAAAAATAACTCCCCGTAGGGATTACAGGTTTTAAAGATGCATTTAAAACTCCAACCTCCAAAAAGATATTAATGTTAGTTGAGGCACGATCCCTTAAAAGGAGCAGCATTTAGGAAGCGTAAAAGGACGACTCTTGCTTGTTTTCATTTTCACCGATTCCAACTTCAGTGAGAGACTGAGACAGAGCCCTCTTGAAACAACCAAACAGATGGATTAAATGTGGTTGCTGTTATTTTTTATTGCCAGGGGCTGGATTTACAAGTGGCTGAAATATCATATATGCTTGGCCTGAAAATTTGTGCTAATACCAGCACCTAAAGCTCTTCTTCAGCTTACTTCACTGCTCCTGACTAGTAATTTTGCCTTTGAAACCTGCATAACACTTTTCAACAAATGAACTTAAAGCAACCCCTAAATATTTCCTTGTGGATCTCAAAGAGCAGTACTGGATTCTTTTTGACACCCCTCCCCTGTTAATGGTTTGTTCTTCTCTATGCATATGCAACAGAGTTCCACCCTGACATTTGTGAGGTTTCCTTTCCTCTTGCTTTCGTCTTTACTTATGTTCCTCAAGGACCTTTTATCCAAGGCGATATCAAAGGCCCTTTCACACTGGGAATGAAATCCTGCCTTTTCCTATGCTGAGTCTCACATACATTTCTGCAACCTATCAAAGTTAACTGTTTGATTCTGTGCAATATATAGCTCTGTAAAGGAAGCTGTTATTATTATTATACACACCCAGCCATAATTTACAATAGTCAATTACCTATCTCCCTGCTGAGTACTGTGGGGAAAGCCTTTGCCTGTGTAGTTCTCAACAGATTACAGTCACTTGCTGACAGTGTATCCCGAGTCACAATGAGGCTTTAGAGCTCAGAGATCGACAGTTGACATGATCTTCTCACTGTGTCAGCTGCAGGAGAAATGCTGATATGCCCCTTGTACATTGCCTTCACAGACCTGACAAAGGCCTTTGACCTTGTCAGCCAAAAAGGATTATTCTCGATAAAACAGGATGCCCACCTCAGCTCCACAAGATAGTGTCCTTCCATGAGAACATGCCTAGCGCTGTCCAGTATGACAGGTCATCCTTGGATGGCTTCCCTATAAAGAGTGGTGTGAAACAGGGCTATGTTCTCGCCCCAATTCCCCTTGGCACATTCTCCTCCCTGTTGCTCTCCTATGCCTTCAGCTCAGCTGAAGAGTGTGTCTTCCGAGGAGTGACTGGGGTCTGTTCAATCTAGTCATCTCCATGCCTGTACAAAAGCGTGGTGGGTCCTTATCTGAGAGATGTTGCTTGCAGATGATGCAGCCTTGACACCACATTCCAAGGAGTTGGTTCTTACCATCAGCCTGATGAAGACCAACATCCTTGGTCAGGACAGTACTCCATGCATCAGCATTGATGACCCACACGCCTGAGGTAGTAGGCAATTTTGTCTACCTGGGCTCCACCATAATCAGCAAACCTCTCCATCAACACTGAGCTGGGCAAGTGTATTGGCAAGACAGCTATGGCATAAAGGTATGGGAGGATGTGATACTAATGACCAATATCAAGATAAAGGTCTACTGATGAAGCAATTGTTGCCCCCCTCCCACAAAGCAGTAGCTTTACACCAGCTGAGGGAGCAACCATGTTTTGCATGGCTGAGTCCAACCTTTCCCAAAATTCTGTATGTTGCAATCAAACAAATTCCAAGTTTCATTAAAAGGAGCAGAGTCTTAAAGGTCAATTGAGAGATAGCACCACCAAATACTTGCATATCTGGTTAACCGACATCCATGCCAGCCAGTCTATTGCACAGAGCAAAAGGCCATGTCAGGGGCTGTTCTATGCATCATTAAAAGCACCAGCGTTTTGCCAGGTCAGTTTGATACATGTTCTCAATGTATTATCAGTCTGAAGCTACATTAATTTTCATGACCTGGGAATTATCTGGAATAGAGCACCTCCTACCAGACCCAAACGAGCTCTTTACAGTATGGTTCCAGTGATTGGATCTATTGCCTACTGAGCATTCCAATGAGAGAGGTACTGTGAACTGCCCATTAGCCCAGCCATCTGGCAATGTAATAAGCTGGATAATTTCCTATACAGCTGCAAGCACCATCTCACGACAAAGCCCCCTTTATTCAATCCATGAAGCAAAATTGATTTCTGTTTCATATATACAAATGAAAACAACCAGTAATGCATTGTGGGCAAACCCCCTACTATTTTAAAAATTATTTTAAAGTTCACCTTTCATATAGGTTTGTGCAGTTTTATACCATCAGTTTTATACCACACCTGCAACTATATTACAGGCTCGCTACACTTTATGGTGGCACAATGTGTCAGTATCTAGGTTCTGTTGAAATTCTATAACCTAAGGGTGGGAGGGTTTGAAAGCAAATATGCAACAGGCACCCGTACTTTTCCTCCCAAACTATCTCCCCCCAAGTCTACTTTCTCTTAGATTACTACTCAGAAACCCACTGGAGAAAAAACATATGGGGGAGAGATTTCAAAGGGAAAGTGAGGGCAGAGAAATAATTATGTACCCTCTTTCTTCCAGCATTAAGTATTAACACCTTTCCGATTTTATAGAAATTCACCAGCAACCTGCCTCCTAATACAGGATCTGCCACCATCACATCCAATTAGTGCTTGAGCTACTTTCGTTTAACAAGGGGAGCAAATTTACACTTATGCGACTGAGAACAAGGGATGGCCATACACTTTTGAATTTAAGAGTGGCTTACTCAGATTAATTTCAACAAACAAAATTAAACAATTAAACCAGTAGACATGTATGAGTATTTACAAGGCCTTTCATTTCGTGATTATACTTTAAAAAACAAACAGACCCAAAGATGCCTGGAGATGAGATCCAGACTTGTGTCTGATAAAGAGGACTTGCACAGACGATTGTTACCAATACAGCAACGCTGGCTCAGATCCCCAGAAATCAGAACTCCAACACACACACACCATCCTGAACCACAGGGTACCTGAGTGCACAATTCTATAGCAGATGGTAGCACACAGCCCGGCAGGCGAACAAGTCCAAAGCCCCAGCAGGCAAATTCCCATCTCTACAACTATGATCCAAGGCTTAGGGCATCTGGAGGTCAGTCCTGCACACACACAGCCCCAAACAGCTCTCTGGAACATCCAAGCCATGGTCCAATCAACCTGGGCAGTTGAGGAGGCACAGCCCCTCAGCTTGGCTTCCCTTTTGTACTTTGCCTGCTGATTGCAGCATCTGGGCTTGACGAGGCAGGTGACCCTCACCTGTTCTGAGCCTGCTTCAGCTGAGGAATCACATACCTCCACCCAAAGCTAACAAGCCCCACCTGGCTAGCTAGGGAATTGGGCTCTAGGCTCTTGCCTGCCTCAACTTCCTAGAACGCCCCCCCACTGCTCCCTATGCATCAGAACCCACCATGTTCGTGGAGACAGGGGCCCCTCTGGCTCTGGGTCCTGCTGCTCTGGGTCCTGTGCATTGACCCCCATCCCCTCACTACCCTATGAGCACTTCCTACACCAACCTCTCCTCCCCCATCCCCAGCTTGCCCCAGTTGTCCCAGTCCCAGCTATACCTTTAGCAGGATTTCTCTTCCTCCTCCCTGCCATCCTGTCAGTTCATCTCTCTCTCTCTCTCTCTCTCTCTCTCTCTCACACACACACACACACACACACGTCATTTTGAAATGGTTGAGACTCCCGTTACACAACTGAGTTTCTTTTTTTTTTTTTTAAAGAATCTATTATATACAAAACAGGAACAGAAATATCTCACTAAGGCAGCACTTTCTGAGTAACGATTCTACCGTCTTTGATTTCTTGACAAATTATTTGTGTCAGGAGGTAAAGTCATTTGTTTGTTTGTATATCTTTTTAACTCTTTTTCTGTCTTGAAATGTAAAATAGGTATAAAAAAATTAAAGTAAATTTTGAGAGGAACAAGAGTGTAAGTCAGGTTGCTTTAGTTAACATTTGAGGTTAATTGGAATTTGGCCCTCAGGCTCTCTTTTTAACATCTAAACTGGCCCAGCCATTTCTTAATTAGTTTGGCTCAGGAAAGTAATACTGTCAAGAAGTGAGGAGGCAAAGCCTAAGAAGGTGCGATCTTGGAACTGGGAGGATTTTCAGTTGTCATGTTTTGTAGTGAGCAACAATTCATCAGCCAACGGATAAAAGAGTGTTGGACTGCAAATTCACAACTAGTGGAGGGTTATGAATGGGAGCTGTCCAGCTTTTCTTCATCTTCCATCTATTCCTGTCCCACACTCAGATATATCCCACATACAGCAATTCATCCTCTTCCTTGTAGCATCTCTGACTAAGGACAGCTGGTTTAGGACGTGTGTAATGGCAAGTCATTAATGGGCAGTTATTGCTTCAGAGAAGGATCAAGTGCACAGGGCAGGCATGTGTGTCTGCGCAGAGCGTTACCAATATATCTTTGTCAAGGCCGGCTGCAACGCCTGCTTTCTGGATTCTGCCCTCAAATCTCAGAATGTGATGCTTCGGCTGCCCTACTCACATCTGGTCTAATGGATTCATTTGTGCCAGTCACTTCACTGCAAACCTGTAAGCACATTCCACCATGGGCTGTTTCTTATTAACCCTAGCCCACCCCACTCCAAATACAGACTGCTAATTTAATTGCTGGCTCATGCACTTCAATTTCTCCTCTGTAAAATTCAAAGAATAATGACCTTAACCCCACAGAAATATTGGAATCGTTTAGGGAGGTGGTGGGGGAGTCCTCTCGTATATAAATTATTATTATTATTATTATTATTATTATTATTATTATCCCTGTATAAGGAAGTTTTTAATGTTTGATGTTTTGTTGTGTTTTTATATTTTGCTGGAAGCCACCCAGAGTGGCTGAGGCAACCTAGTCAGATGGGCAGCATATAAATAATAAAATTGTTGTTGTTGTTGTTGTTGCTGCTGCTACAGATCTTAGGTGATTGTTACTCAAGAGGAACACTTAGCTTTCTCCCTGAGTGACTATGTATTAAAATCATTAAATGGGATTAAAGGTAAAGGGTAAAGGGACCCCTGACCATTAGGTCCAGTTGTGGACGACTCTGGGGTTGCGGTGCTCATCCCGCTTTACTGGCCAAGGGAGCTGGCGTACAGCTTCCGGGTCATGTGGCCAGCATGACTAAGCCGCTTCTGGTGAACCAGAGCAGCACATGGAAATGCCATTTACCTTCCCGCTGGAGTGGTACCTATTTATCTACTTGCACTGTGTGCTTTCTGCGTTGATAATATTGCTGTGGTTATTATGGGGTTTAGAAAGTCATCAATCCAAGTCTTTATTAAGGGTTTATTTGGAACTATGGCCTGTATGCTGGTTTTCATGTACTTCAGGGAAGCCCACAGGCAGGGCATGAAGACAAAGGCCTTTTCTTCCATTTTCCCACTCCTGCACTCCAGCAACTGGTAAGAACATAAATACATAAGAAGCATCTTCTGGATCAAGCCAGTGGCCCCTTTAGTCTGTTTCCCCTGTGGGAAATCCTCAAGCAGAACCTGAGCACAAGAATATTCTCTCCTCCTGTGGTTTCCAGCAACTGGTATTCTGAAGCACTACTGCCTCCTACTGTGGAGTCAAAGCACAGCCATCATGGCTAGTAGCCATCTCCATGAATTCGTCTCATCCAAGTTGGTGGCCATCACTAGTGGTAATAAGAGTTATATCGCCTCTGAGCAAGGAGGTATCATTTAACTATTGTGGCTTATAGCTGTTGACAGAATGATCTTTCATGAATTTATATATGGATTGTATGATGACTTTAGTAAGGATTGCACATAAAATTCCAAATTCCAGTAGTGGATGGATAGTAGAGAAGGAATGTAACACAACTGGCCACCCGTCAATCATGCATCACTCTCTTTGCAGGACAGGGTGGAGGAAAATGTTCACAAACAGGAAAATTCAGCTGCAAGGTGAGGGGGAAATCAATGCTTGCAGATGAAAATAATCATGATATTCCTATCACTGGCAGGTCCATAGACCTGAGCAATAATGATAATGGTCGATCCTGCCTTCTCAGTATTCCCTGATAACAGTTTGAGCTGTTGTTAAACTGAGCAGGGGTAGCATAGTCACCAGAACAAAATTAAAATGTGCTGCATGGGTGGCTGATTTTCTTTTCTGCTAGTCGGCAGGAGAGAGAGGGAGATAGAGAGACTTTTCGCTACTGCTCTGCAATTCTAGCCTGATTCACTCAACCAAACATTCTTTTCCAGAATGTAAATTATCCCTCTGATGAGTGGTCTGTGACTGTGGTGTCTGCTAAGCCTTCATCTTTGCACCAGAAAAGGATGATATTCCTTTTCCCTCCCCACCTGCTGATCTCTGTCTCTCATGTGGCTTTAATCATGATAAATCTATTCTAATGTTCTTCATAAGACAAACAATACACCACTAATCTACCATGATCTGGGTTCTGGCATTACTGAGATTAACCTTTTATCTATTATGTGGAGTGCAAAGTTAATATGCTCCCTCCCATTAACTATTTGTTATGTAGTGGACCCCACTCTGCTTCACACTTGCTACTTAAAAGTCAGCAACTGAAAAATGCATCATTTGAAATAAGAAATGTGCTTAAAACGTCTTTCTTTTCTTCCTCTAAACTACCCCTCAACTGACTTGATTCTGCCAGGACAGTCCCTGAATTGATAAAGCCACCACAGTTTCTGATCTGAAAGTGAGGTGTTGTGATTTCGAGGTTTTGTCTCTGCCCCCCAGCGCCACCTTGGCTGTGGATCCTGTCTCTCTGCCTTGTGCAACATGGTGGCCAACTCCAAACTTGGTGGCACAGCTTGATGATGTCATTTGCCAGGGCACTGCTGGGAGTCAGAAGCAGAGGGTGTGTGCATAGGCTTAAAAGGGCAGCGGTGCAGATTGCAGCCGGCAGTAGCGGTGGGTGAGCCTTGAGCGGCTAGCAGGATGAGGGAGTGGGTGGGGGGAAAGGGAAGTAGGGCTGGTAGCTGTTTCAGTTACCATAGAAAGCCTACAACTTGACCCTCTTTGGGGACTTTTTCTTTTCCTAAATGAACTCTAGTGCCAAAACAAATTAAACGAGCTTAGTGAAAGTAGCTTCTGGGCAGAGGAGATGCACTGAGATTTAATATCTGCAGACTAAGCAATTTTATCAATATTAAATTAATTGTTTCTGTGGCAAGATTAATGGTTTCTGGGCCTTAAATCCAGATGAGCAAAGCAGGGAAGTAAGTATAGGAACTGCAAAAGCTATCCAGTGATACAGGACGAAAGCAGGCTTTGCAGGAGTTTAGCTCCATTGTTTGGTTTCATCTCATGAAGTCTTGTTGCTATGCACTTAGATTCCAACTGACTCTGTTCAGAAACACATCCAGTCATCTGGTTTGCTACTTCTGTTTCTTATGCCTGCCATTGAGAGTATCTTCTTTCCTTTTCCTTTAACTGCACCATGGCTTTTAATCTATAGCTAGGTAATGGACCAGTGCTATGAACAGCAGTGGGCTCCTCTCCAGGTCACCCACTAGTAGCGTTGCCTTGTTTCAAAAAGTAAAAATGAAGACACCCTGAAAATTGTTGAGTTTTTTAAAAAGAAGACCCCAATAATGCAAAAAAAACCATGATTTTTTGGTGAAAATTTCTCATGTAACTGGTGCCTAAATGCCTGTAATTCTGCATGATAATCCCAGTTAGGTTTCTCAGAGCGGCTTCTAGTCGCAGAATGAGAGCAAAAGTGCAGTGTAATTTTTTGGTTTACTTGCCGAAGATCCAGGACAAACTGCTGCCTTCCAGAAATTTCCCCTTCTGCCTTTGAAATCCTGGTAGGATCTGGGAAATCCGGATGTATGGGCAGCCCTACCCACTAGCTTATGACAGGTTGTGGCCATGGCCTCAAAATCAATGAATTATCCAGTTTCTTGTTAGCCAAGAAGATAAGCATAGATGCCCTTTTCTTAGTATTCATGGCATGTTTTTCATTCCCATGACAACAGTGAAGACAATGATGTTGCAGCCTGTTCACCAGCTTAGGTTAGCTGCAGCCTCACTGTGCAGCTGAGGCACACGTTGCAAAAGTAATCAGCAATCTACCACTTCTCTGAGATCTTATCTGACGAGGATCTGCAGCAGGGAACCACAAGGTCTTCAAGCCTCTTTGTTAGAATGTGTGTGGCAAAAATTGGAACTTTGTGCAAAGTGCATGATGACTCATCTGACATTTTCAGCTTGACTGAAGACAGTGGTTACCTTTAATTCAAATCTCAATACACAATCCACGCTTATACTTTCAGCCGGTAGGAAGAAATTATTCTGCATGCTGCATAGATGCAAAAATTCAAGGTGATGCTAGTTAAAGCATGATGCTCTGTACATGTGGGAGCAAGTGCTTGCAAGCATAAAGGACAAGCTCTAGACCTTGAACTGGTCTGGATGAGGATTTGTCTCTACATATCTTCCCTTCCTCCCCTGTGACTCTGTGCACCTCCTATTGTCTCACCATCCCACCTTCGACCAGCTACTGCCACTGCTGCTGTCACTTCAGCCCCAGGACCAAAGAAGGGGAGGAATAAGAAGCAACCCTCCTCTTGAAATGTTACTAGTTACATAGATGTTAGGAGAAGTAGTAGTAGCAGTAGCACAAAGGTATAAGAAGCAGAATTTTACGCAGCTAGCTTTCAAGTGCCACTGCAGAGTTATAACAGATTGCTAAGAAGCATGTGAAGGACAACCAAAAGCGTCCCCTCCATGGCTGATACCAAGGACAGATGCTCAGTTTGTTCAATGTGTGGGCCAGCCCTGCATGCATGCATTTTGAGTAAGGGTGTCAAAATTAACCAGGTCATTTGTCTGCAGCAGTAAGAATGAGCATACAGATACTTAGCCCTATTCATTCATTTATTTGCTTTTACACCCCTCTTTTACATCCAAGGAACTCAAGGTAGTGCCCATGGCTCTCCTGCTCTCCCTATTTTCCACACAACAACAACAACCCTGTGAGGTATGTTAGGCTTCATGGCTGAGCAGGAATTTGAACCCTGGAGTAGGATTTGACTCCAGCACCCTAACCACTATGCCACACTGGTTTCGTGTTGCCTATGACAAGCTTTGCCAACCTGGAGCCTTGCAGATGTTTTGGGCTACAACTCCCATCATCTCCAGCCAGCATGAGTTTGGGTTACAACTCCCATAAACCCCAGCCAGCATAGCTGTGCTGCTGGGAATGCTGGGAGATGTAACCCAAAGCTTATGAGGGCACCAGGTTGCAAACACAGTATATGAACCTAGCTGTATACCAGTTAATTGCCTGCCATTTTTGTAATTTGTGGGAGTGTACACAAGTGCAGCACAGGGTAGGCATGCCTAAAGCATATACAGTGGTACCTCGGATTAAGAACTTAATTTGTTCTGGAGGTCCATTCTTAACCTGAAACTGTTCTTAACCTGAGGTACCACTTTAGCTAATGGGGCCTCCCGCTGCCGCCGCGCGATTTCTGTTCTCATCCTGAAGCAAAGTTCTTAACCCGAGGTACTATTTCTGGGTTAGTGGATTCTGTTACCTGAAGCATTTGTAACATGAAGCGTCTGTAACCCAAGGTACCACTGTACAATGGTTACCAGGCACATTCACAATGCAAGCCTATCCACGTCTACTTGGTTCAACTGGGCTTACTCTCAGATAACTGTGCATAGCATTGCAGTGTCAGATTGCATAAGGATTTCCTTGTGCTTCTGCACCCCACATAGGATGGAAGAAAATCTTTAGATGGCCCTAATTGTTTTGGCTGAGAATGGGCAGATTTTTCTTTTACAGATTTCATATGGAACACCTGACACGTGCCCTTGCTGAACATATAAGAGACTAACTACTGTGCACTGGCTGGATTATTAGGGGTTTGCACATGAGAAGCCAGGCTTCAGATTCTATCACTGCTATGAAGGCCACTAGGTGTCTATGGTCAGATTACTGTCTCTCAGTCTGCCTTAATATGGTGGTTGGGATGTTCTTGGAGAAAAAGAAGTAAAATAAGATCATGAATGGTGTCATGAAAGTGAACACACACCAGGGAACCATCCTAACATATAAAAAGATAAGAACAAGGCGTAGGCTTGAAGAATTATATATATTTTTACACACACTATGGATGACACCTGGACATTGTTCCCAAATTAAACTGTTCATGTGGAAATCTGAATGGCAAAATCCTAAGTTAAAATGTTGAATTCTGAATTGTATTACAAATATGTGTACATGGTGGGTGGATGCATTAGCACTGTGATTTTTTGTTGTAATATTTTCCAGCCAACTTTGTAGTACTCCCTAATACTGTTCATTCCCTGCTCTTATTTCATTAATGTCGCTGTGCACTGAGCTGACATTTTCAGTGAACAATTTATAATGAGGCCTACAGTTTCTTGCTTGATGGTAACAGCAAACTGAGGACTCAGCATTTTATATGTATAGTTACTTTTTCCTAATGTAAATTACTTTACACTCATCAACACTGAATTTCATCATTTTATTGCCCACTCACCTAGTTTTGCAAAACCCTCTAGTAATTCATGATACTCTGCTTCTGACTTGACTCTTTCATTAATTTTGCAAACCCTACAAGTGTTACTGGCTTGCAGTTCACCTTCCTGCTCACATTGCTCATCAATGCATTAAATAATGGCAGTCCCAATACAGAATCTTGGAGAACACACACACACACACACACACCACACACACACCACACACACACACACACACACACACACACACACACACACCCCAGTTACATTTCCTGCTTTGCTACATAGCTAGTAGTAATTAGAAAAGATCCGGCTGTGTGGCTGAAAATTACATTTATTAATGCAATAGGAAATGCTTTGGAATAATAGGTAAAAGCTTAACTACATCAAAATCATTTTAAAACATACGACCATTTACTATTTTCAGATGCAGCATAATGTAAAACAGCTTCTTGGTCAGCAGTAATAAGATATGAAAGCAGGACTCTTTAAGGAAATGGTGGTGGGTGGATGTGCATTTGTCCCTGTATTTACACCAGGGGGGTGATGAAACAACTGAGATCAGTATAAAGTAAGTACCTTTTCCCTCAGCGCTTCTTATGTCTGCTCCCAGGAGCCAGGAGCTGAAGGGAACATCAGTCCTGGCAAGGAAGCCCTGCCCACTGAAGGACTAACAGAGTCATTGGCAACCTGGCACCCTCCAGATGTTTTGGGCTTCAACTCCCATCAGCCCCAGTCAGCACAGTTGTCTAAAATATCTGAAAGGAGCCAAACTGGCAAATGCTGGGCTAACATCTGACTTGGTCTGGCAGCCATTTCCAGACTGAGATAATTTATTGTGAGACCAACAGTGGCCCATATTCAGCAGCAGCAGAGGGCCAATTATTTTTTAAAACCACGAGGACAGTATCTTACAACAGGTAGGTACAACATCCTACAAACACTTTCTGTCCAGGAAAGTCTCATTAGCACCTTGCCAGTCGACACTGTAAGGCTAGCGCTGCAACTGCACGTCATCTAGATTTTCTGCTAAAACTGAGGGGGGCGGGAAGGAATGCCAATTCCAGAATAAACTGCTGGAGTGGAACCAAGCTTTCCACCAGCACTTTTCATTCTTTGCTTGGAAGGTGACAATTTCCTTTCTGTATGTTGGCATTCCCAGTCACTGGGTGAATGGAATCAAGGGTGATCTGGTTTTCTGAAAGGGTCCAATACATGATGGATTTCATAACCCCCGTGCACTGAATGAAGAAGCTAGATTTTCATATAGGTGTGTGCAATAAAAGCTTATGAGGAATGTGCTGCCTTATGCAATACAAAAGGCTATAATGTCAGCCCGGGCTTCTATTCTGCAGAATAATTATGCTTCCTGGAAAAGTATAGTTCTTAATAGGACACAGAGAGAATAATGATACAGAAGATTAGGCACTGAACTTGGACAAGGTTCAGATTCAGTTTCCATCTGATGGCATCTCTTTCTTCAGGCTTTTCATATCAGAAAATGGAAAAATTGGGGGACTTCTGCTGTTCTTCGTTTTGGCTGACTTGGAAGTCCAAAATCTAAAATGCAAGTCATTTCCCACATCCAATTATGGAGCGACTTGCCCTCTCAGGAACTAATAACCTGGATGAACTTTGCCTTCCCCTCAACATTCTGAAATATTTTATATTATTACCTACAAGCTTCATCTAATAAGGTGTAGCTGCTTCATTGGTCTCCTAGCTATTCTCAACCCACTGTCATTTTTTCGAGCCTTTATCATTCTGTTTCTCTTGTACTTTAGGGGAAAGATGAATCCCTTCTGACTTTCTTTGTCAGCTGAGATATTTTTGGGAAGGCAGCCTTTTTATGATACAAAAGTGGGCCAAGCTTTCAAAAGGACCACCACACCCGACACACACGCACACACACCTCAGTAACTTTCTATGTTGTAATCAAAACAAGCACTAATTTCTAAGGCAATTTATGCATTAGCCATATTTGACAGAGGAACATGAAAGCTGCAGGTGCTGCTGCAAAACGTCAAACAATGTGCTCTTTATCCAGGCCAATAAATTAATGAATCCCTAAAATTACTAGATGTAATGATGTCAACAATATATAAAACCTCCATGCTCACATAATGTGCAATCATAATAAGGTACAGGAAGTGCCTGGGTACTGAATTCATTTTTAAAAGGTGTGTGTGTGGGGGGAATAGTAGAAAAATCTCACTATACTAAAGAAAAGACAGCAAACATAAAATGAAACTGGACAACATTTCAAAATAAGGCAAAATAAACACCTTGTAAGTATCCAATCAACCCTTCATGCCAAACAGCAGTATAATAAACAGCAGAGCAATTGCAACCTCAGATCAATGTTGCTGCTGGCAGCTAGGATGTGGTGGGCAGTCTCCTTCTGCCATGCATGGCCACGCGCTGCAGAAATCCCTACTCTGCCTGCTGAAAGTGCAGTGGGGGGGCACACTACTGGTGCTAATGAACAATTATGAGACCCTGAAATTGGGTGTCACAAGGGAGGAGGGGGGTTGATGATGCAGACTTTGAATCCAAAGCTGGCCCCTTTCTTGGAAAGGGGCCTAATGTGAACCCCTGAACTGCACCAGCCTGAAATTGGTGCAGAGAATATTGGCGGGAATACTGTTCCCTCCTGAGCTTCAGCAGCTGGCAGGGCTGCAGCTGTGGGCGAGAATCCACCACTCCCCCCCGTGCCCCCCCCCCCCCGTTATTCAGTCTTGCGGAAAACTTAAACAACTACAATGCCCGAAGTTTTGCATGGGCATATTGAATCCTTTGAAAGATGAACACATTCAATAGTGCTTCAGATGGCCCTTTGCAATGCCCTACTGTTAGAGCGCTGGGTACCCTCCACCACACAGAGGCATTCAGCAGGGGATGCTGGCAACCCTCCAGAGAACTGCCCCACAAGCCATTGGCTGGTTGCCTGTAAAGTGATAAGTAGTTACAAAGGTATCAGAGCTGACATAGAGATACCTTGCCACACCCTTCCCTACCTTGGCACATGATTCCTCAGCAGCACAGTCAGCATACAGTGTTTTGTGTGTTGGCCAAGCTATGCAGAACTTTAGGCTCAAGCTCTTAAAAATACATGGCTGGATGTGGATTTGAGTAAAGACCAACCTGGTGGTCTCCCTCCTCCATTGCTAAGTACTTGTGGCTTACCTGGTAACATTGGCAGGAAGTGTTAGGAAGGAAAGGCAGCCTTCTGAGCAGTGCAGATCAGCTGAGTCTAGCTACCAGGGCATTTAGGGAAATCAAAATAGTGGGTGGGAGCTGGAAATGTTGTTTTAAAGGTGATCTCAGGGAAAGTATTAGTTCTAGACTGTGCCATAGACCTGGGGCCTGGCAGCTGCGCTAGAATGCCAAGTGCTCATGCTGGCCTTAATAAAAATGTAACAAAGCACACCAGCACCAGCAGCAGCACCAAAGTACGAGGGAAACCCCAAACACAGAAATTCAAGCGCCAAGCACACATTTGTTAATATCAAGGGTAGTTACCACAGTAGGAGTAAGTAGCATAGTGGCACTTTTTGTGGCAAGTAATTTAAGATACTACTACCAACACTACTACTAATAGTAATAATAATTCTATATACTGCTTAATACCAAGATAGACACCTAAGCTCTTTACAGATATAATTTTTAATAGCTAGAGGGTATTTGTGAGTTTTGTTTTGACATTTAGTTTTCTTTTCTTGAAGCCTAATACCAGTTGATAGTTCCACAAGAAAACAATTGCATACTGATTTTTCTGGAAATTTCTCTCTGTTTAGCATATTCATCATGGTCGTCCGGAGGAAATGTAGATGAGTAAAAATCATGCTAATGGCCTCAGTTTGAAGGATTGATAGTGGAAGACACCATGCACATGCTTCCAAGGAAAAATGTGTTTACAAGTATAAAACCATTAGATTCCCCCGATGAGCAATTTGCTCAAAGTATGTTAGGGTTTATACAGGCAGCATTAACAAATTTGTCTCTTGCTGCACTTGTTAAACTTCTGCTTTTTCTGTTTGAAAATTACGGGAAGAACACTTTGCTACAATGGTAATGAATTCAAAGTATATTTGAAAACAAAGACAAGTCGCTTGTGCCTTATTTTAAATGAAGCTGTGGCGGTAAATACATTTAGACAACTGTGAAACAAGAGCAGGAAAGGTGGGGAAATAGGTGGCATCCAGCGATTAGTCTTACTATTAGGTGTTATCATTTCTGCAATGTTAAAGGTTAAAGGTTATTTGCAAATAATGTGTGCTTGCCACCAAGAGAATAAATGATGTTTCCCTGTTCACACCACCAATGCTAGCTTTGGAATTGAGGCAGGCTGCTAACATTCTCTCTGTTTTCTTATTTCTGCATAGCTGACCTATGATCTCAGAGGCGTAATAATGTATATTTCTCAACAAGCCTCTGAAGTTAATCTCTTCTGCTGCTATATTTAAATGGTTCTGAAAAGGCCTGCCTAATCTGATGATAACAATTACATTTTCAAAGAGGGCTCAAATGCAAAGGCAATCGCTTCCTTAGAGATTTGACTTTTTTTTTTTTGCAGGAGAACAGTATTCCACTGACTCTAGCTTTGATGATAATGATCATTTTCCCATGACAAGGACAAAACCATGGCTGCTTTAATTAGCAGGCTCCATGTAGCTCATCTAGCCAGAAGTCAATGCTGGAAGCATTTGAATAAGGCCACACAGTCACTATAACATCCTTTCCTATACTGCAGGGATAATATCCTGAAGGCTGAAAGCCATTAACCACTGCAACTATTTTATTATCTAGTTTCAGTCAGTGTTGTACTGTACTTCTCTGTACAGTTTGGGGTAGGGATCTAGCTCAGTGGTAGAGCAACTGTCTTGCATGCAGAAGATCCCAGATCCAATCTGCTGCATCTCCAGGAAGGATGAGGAATCCCTTGCCTGAAGTCCTGGTGAGCCACTGCATGTCAACATGGATGATACTGAGCTATATGGACTAGTGGCCAGACTCAGTATAAGAGAGTTTCCTATGTTTGTATGCTTTTATTTCAAACTAGCAAGAGTCCCATCAGATCTGATGTGTGTGGCGGGGCAAAAGAGAAGAACTTGTTATCAGAGGACCCAGTCATTGCTAGGGTGTGGAAGATGGGAGAGCAGATTAAAAGGGCAGGGCATACAAAGATTCAGGTAGGTAGTCGTGTTGGTCTGACGCAGTCAAAATAAATAAATAAAAATAAATTTAAAAATTGTCCAGTAGCACCTTAGGGACCAACTAAGTTAGTTCTGGGTATAAGCTTTCGTGAAGAAGTGTGCATGCACACAAAAGCTTATACTCAGAACAAACTTAGTTGGTCTTTAAGGTGCTACTGGACAATTTTTTAAATTTTTAAATTTATTTTGAGGACATGCAAAGTGAGAGCACGATCCCAGGGGGAAGAAGCCCGCCAAGCGAGGCTGGGAGCAGAATGCAAGTCTCCTGGGCAGCACCACTCCCCCAACAACCTCATTCAAGAGGCCAAAGTTTCCCCATCCCTCGTCAAGTCAGAAGGTCATATAATATCAGATTGGTTTTGAAAGATGCCAACATATGTAGCACATGTATAAACAGCAACAGCAGCACTATCTGGCAGATTGAAATCGACTGGAATTTATGCTCAAGCCTTTTTGCTGAACGACAGCGGTTCTCAAAGGGTGTGGCAGGAGAGGATGACAAGTGTGACAGGAAGATTCAAGGACAACCAAAGAAATATTTAAACATTTCACTGTAGTCTAGTCTAGTCTAGTATTTTTTTATTTTATTTGCAGAATATGGAATGATATCTGATCTTCATCAACCAATGGCCACAACAGCTAGAAGTCAGTTGCAGCCCAGTTTAAGCCTCTAGTGCAGGCTTCCTCAGCCTCAGCCCTCCAGATGTTTTGAGACTACAATTCCCATCATCCCTGACCACTGGTCCTGCTAGCTAGCGATCATGGGAGTTGTAGGCCAAAAACATCTGGAGGGCCGAGGTTGAGGAAGCCTGCTCTAGTGACTAAACTCATTTTGGATATACAACCAGACACAGTATCCATGCCTCTTTTCAAGAGTACTGGCTATTTCTACAGTTCTTAATGACATATTGTTGTGAACAGGTATTTTCAAGATCAGAAAAGAGAAAGGCTTCTTTGTGTTATTGAGGAGATGAATTTTTCTCAGATTAGATTTAATGTAAATGAGATTACCCAGCAAAGCAAGCTCACACCTCTCACTGAGTTTGTATAATACTTAAAGCACATATAGTATGTAAAAGGCTTGTTTATAATTATATTTTGGAAGTGATTCATGTTCTTATGTAGCTGCATTGTTTTACACTTTCTGGCTGACCCCTGATCATATTATAAAGTAGCTGTGTTCTATGTTATAAATCAAGCATTGCTAGGAGTTGTTTCTTTTTGTTTTCCAATGCATTTATCAATAAAAAATTGGGTGTTGAGGGAGCAAATTTTTATTTTGGAAGTGTGGCTCAGAGAGAAACGTTTGAGAACCACTGCTGTACGACTCTGTCATATCACTTCTTAATAATGCCTCAACATGCGCATCTGAAGAATAACAACATTCAGCTTATTTATTCATTCTAATCCACCCAGGCTAATGGATCATGATAATGAGAATGCAAGTTTACAGGACTCATGGGCAATTAAAGCAGAAGTAATAAAGGCTTCCTTCTTCCCTTTGCTGGAATTATGTGAACTATTACTAGGGAAGAGAAGACCAAGCCAGGGTGATCCTGAAAAATACACCAAATCACAAGGAATGTTGTAAAAATTCTTCCTTAATTGTTTTGATTTTGTATCATTTTTAAAGTAATTTAAATTCTAAATGGCTTTGAAAAAAATGCTAAATAAAAGTGTGTGTGTTGTTGAGTGACTGGAAGAGGCAGGCGTTTAAGGGTGGGGTCCCCAATGTAGCACCTGTGTGCATTATTTATGTTGTGGTTTTATATTTTGATTTTGTGCTGTGAACCTTCGGGTAGAGGGGAGTATATAAATTCAAACAACAACAGTGCCCTTAAGCACCCCCCCACTTAGCACCTGCCCATCCCAGTTTTAAAATTAAATAGGTTTGTTTTGGTTATTATTTGATGTGTGTGCCTTTTTTGGGGGGATGCTGTCTGCTTTTGTCTGTGTTCTATTTGTTGGGGCCAATAGTTGTTTTGTCTGTTTCTTTGGGTGTGTGTGTTCTGAGTATTGCTTGATTTTCTTCTGCAAAAAAGGTACAGTGGTACCTCGGGTTAAGTACTTAATTCGTTCTGGAGGTCCATTCTTAACCTGAAACTGTTCTTAAGCTGAAGCACCACTTTAGCTAATGGGGCCTCCCGCTGCTGCCGCGCTGCCAGAGCACGATTTCTGTTCTCATCCTGAGGCAAAGTTCTTAACTCGAGGTACTATTTCTCGGTTAGTGGAGTCTGTAACCTGAAGCATATGTAACCTGAAGCGTATGTAACCCAAGGTACCACTGTATTTCACAATTCCCTCAACCCATTTCCAGATGTGTCTGGCAGGCCCCAAACGGTTGGGGACTCCTGACTTAAAGCCATCTGTGAGCTCATTTGTTGGCATCTAGTCAGGTGAACTGACAGACAATGACCTGCATTGACAGTCAAAGTTGGGTTACTACAAGGGGGGCGGCATTTTAAACTGAAAGGAAGCCCAGAAGGGGGAAGGTGAGAAGTAGCAATAATCACAACAGGTGTAACAACTTAGTACCCTGCAGATTTGATGGGAGCTAATAATAGTGAACAGCCAAAGCTCTTGGCATTACCGAGGCCATCTTTCAGCAATTACCTATACCGGAGATTGCATTTTTGAAGGTAGTAAGAGAAAATTAATGCCTGAATGGGAATCTCATGCCGTTGACACTGCGTCAGACCTTTTTGTTCCAGGTGGATCATGGGGCTTTGGCTACAGCTTCCTGTGTTTGATGGCACTCTGCTGCCTCTCAAGTCAGCTAACTAATTTCTGGGATGGCCCCATTGCCACAAGGAGAAAATGGTCTGAATGGGAGAGGATTAAATTTACTCTGTCAAAGAATAGCAATAACCCAGAACTGTAAATTGAACCAATTGAAGATAATGGAGATCGGGGGGTGGGGGGGAACATGGAACACAAGTAACAGAGTGATCCACCTGGTGATTCAAGAAGTTAAATTAGAAGAGCAGCAAAAATAAAAATACACAGGAAAATAAAATCACACTCTTTTTTTTTAAAAAAAGAGTGAAGAGAATGTAGGCAGGAAGGTGGGCCATTTGAAGGAGCTCTAATCCAACACAAACTGTTATTTCCACTCCAATAACGCATAATATTGGGAATATCACACTAGCGTAAAAATGACATTGTGTGCGCGGCAACTTTCATCTTACTTAGAATCATAGAACAGGAAGGTACCCCAAGGGGAATCTAGTCCAACCCCAGGCAATGCAGGAATCATTCCAGCCGATTCAACAAGTTGAAAAAAGCCGTTCCAAAGCACAACAATAAGAAGGGATGAACTATAAACCTGACAGTGATGCCCTCATCTGCTTTGAACAGCTGTCCCATTGAAAGAGCAACAGTTTGTTGTACAAGGGAAGATAAATAAAGAACCAAACCAACTTCTCATACTGTGCAAAACCAGCAGAAGACAGCAGGGCAGGGTGGGGGGTTAGAATGAAGTTTCCGCACGGCAGATACTCTGCTGCAGCAGTGGCTAACCTGTGCCTTCCAGATATTGCTACACCACACACCCCGTCATCCCTGACCATTGGATCTGATGGGAACTGGGGTTCAACAACACCTGGAGAGCCACAGGTGAGCCACCCCTGACCTAATTTCACAGCATGCCACATCCTGGTGCAGTTGCCTCCCTTAGGTATAATGTGCTTTGAAATTTGAGAATGACTTTCCAAGAACTAATTACGTTTCTTTGGGGACCAAGTCTCAACAGCCCATTTGTCTTCCCTTTGCCCTAAGTGCAAATACAAAGTCATTTGGTCAATTTATGACCCAGACCAAACTATCCCCACATGTACAGCTGAAAAGCTTTCCAGGGCTAAGGTTACTTGGTGCTGGTTTGAAGCTGGATTCTCTTCTACATTGCCTAACTTTCTTCTATGTATTTTCCTACTTATACCCTAAGGGCTGAACCAGTCGCTTGCCCTTGTGCTGCTGTCTTGCTTTATTTTATTTAACAAAACAGCAGCACAAGGACAAGCTGCTGGCTTAGCTTTTAGGTTCAGCTGGCAGTAGTGGTGGGTGTCAGATTGAGACTGTGCGGGGAGTGGGGTTTTAACCCTTGTGCCACCATAGTCTCAGTCTGAATCAGGAGCCATTGCACCTGTCGTCTGCAACAAGTGCAAGCTCTCATTTGCAGCATAGCAGCTGCTGGGGGTGGGGGGAGGATTCTGATTAGGACTGTGGAAGCGGCAAAGAGTTACACCCCCCCCATCTCTCAACTCATAGTCCTGATCTGGTCGTGGTGCACACACACACATACACACACATCCCCCACCCTGCCCTAAGACCAGCTATTTGTTAAATAAAATCTAACTTTGCAGTGGTAAGCTATGTGACAAGTATCACATCTGCTTCGACCCTAACAGCGCGGCTCAGATCTGGAATTAGGAATGTAGCCAAAATGGACACAATAGGCAGCTATCAACATGCAAACCCCAAGGTTTGCAGAAGTGGGGGCAGGAATTGTTTGGAAATGTAAACCCAGGGGGACCCCCCTCCCCCCCCAAAAAAAATCCAAGTGAGGACTGAGCATGTTCAGCACCCAGGGAATGCAGAGGGTGGGGGAGAAAGAAATAGAAAACTTTGGTGGGAGAGGCAGAATGGAATGGAATATCCTGAAATAAAACATGGCTGGCTAGTAGAGAAGGACAAATCTGTCAATTTCAATATCTATCAGTTTCTTGTTTGTCCAGTCTTATGTTCAATTCTCCACATTTCCACATCAGTCTGTATTTTTTTTTAAGACCTCATGAAAATTCATCAGCATTTTAACATGAATGTAGCCTAACTTACGCATTTGTATGCAATTTTGCATTACATATACATTTTTGCATGGCAATTCTCTGTAATACACTGTATTTTTGTATGTTATTTTCACCAATATCTTCATTTTTTAATGCACACTTTACCCTAGTATATGCATTTTGTACCTGTTGCTTGACTGCAGAACTGCAGGGCAAATTTCGGAAAAGTGCAAATTTTGAAGGATGTTTTGGTCCACATATTATTTTGGAAAGTGTGAATTATGTAGGTTATGCTAACTATTTTGAATCTCTCCCCCATTCCCACTGGCTACAGCACTCGGCAGGATCACTGTGTATTGCAGCCCTTTATTGCAGGTCTTACCCATTCTGCCTAATGTTCATTAATCATAAGCAAGCATTAACCACATACCTCTGGTAGCAGATTGGGCTGGAAAAGAGAGGTGACTTGCTCCTCTTTACTAGATCTCGTCCTTGCAGAATTTACGAAGTAAAACTATGATGGAGTTCCATGACACATGACCAGCCTCACTCTCTCCTTCAGACTAGACCTTTGCAAAGTATATTTTTTTTCAAAGCCATTCACTGTCACACTAGGCTTTCACCACTTACGACTCCCCCCTCCTTTACCCACTTGCAAGGGGGTTCAGCCAATCACACAATTAAGAAGGAAACCACAATCACAAGCCATGGAGGAACTCAGATGTGACAACTCGGAAAGCTGGGTGTTGGCTAAGAGCTAGTTAACTGCTGTGGTTCTCATTATTTTTTTCTCACTGTCAAGTGATGTATGGTTTTGCAGTTCCGTGAAGCTGAGAAATTTCCCTGTGCATGGGATTGCCACATCTCTGGTATATTTGGATTTCCTCTTATTTTACAACGTCACACAGCATGGGAAATAATCAGTGGCATAACGGGGAAATTTGGGCGGTGGCGGGGGGGGGAACAGAGGGGCAAAGTATCTTTCTAGGTGGGTGAAGAAGAACAGCGTATATTCATGACAAGAGTTCAGAAATGGGGGGGGCAAGTGGTGGGTGAGCTCCTTGCTTGGGGGGGAACCCCTAATATTATGAAACACATTGCCTTTGAACACAGAAGTTCCATTTAGCTATCATGGCTAAAAGCTCTTGAAAAATCTATCTGACGTGAATATATATGATTTCTGTCTAAGCCAGGGACCCACCAGCTGTTGTCGCACCACAATTCCCATTAGCCAACGGTCAGGGTCATGGGAACAGTAGGCCAGTACCATTTGGAAGGCCATTTGTTCCAAATAGAAGCCACTGGTTGTTACTGCTGGCAATCACCAGTGTTGGGAAACTATTCGTGCATCTCCTGTGTAATATCTAGTTTGTTCTATAGGGACTGAAGAATGCTGTTTGCTGCACTGAATTGGCAATAGCATTGCATTTCCCTCCTATGAATAATAGCCACTTCACTGGAAAGGGTGGGATGAGGGATGATTTTCACTGGGATTTAAACATGTGAGGAAAGGGTTAAGCCTCCCAAAGGGTCAAAACCTAGACACATTAATTGCATTAATGCAATATAGTGTCATGTTTAATTTGGCAACCCACACTAAAATGATAGAATTTTCTACCATGAGTTTTAGTAATGGCCACCAACTTTGTTTAGGAATATAAGTGAGGAGAGTTCTGTAGCGCTCACACCCTCCTTGTGGGCTTTCCATGGGCCACTATGCACAGAATATTATACTGGATGGACCCTCAGTTTGATCCACCAGGGATCTTCTTATGTTCATCATCATCATCATCATCATCATCATATTTATACTCCACCCATCTGGCTGGGTTTCCCCAGCCACTCTGCGCGGCTTACAACATATCTAAAAACATGAAATCAAAGTGTTTGTGAATCCCAATTTCTGCTGAATTGTGGCCTCTAGATTTATTTTCTGGATGCTTAAAATTAAGGCTGCATCCACAAACACTGGTAATTTGACAGATTTGATTATCATAACGTTGCCTTAAAAAATCACCATAGATTTCATACTTTTGAAAGAATATCTCTGTTTACATGTTTGTCAATGTGATATGTGTTTCATAGCAAACAATCCCACCTTCTGGTGGGAGCATGGTAGGAAACTCAACCTAAATGTGGAAAAGCAGATAGTACGAGATGGAGCTGTCAGAATCACGAAACAGGAACGCCTCTCTAGGTTGTGATTTGACGTTCTGATTAATAAATCACAGTACTGCTGGGAAAGTTGTGTACACCTATTTATCAGTGCAAACAATGGACAATGTCAAGGCAGATGCATGATTGCATCTGGTTGCTAGTTATGCAGCTTCTCAGCTACTCCTCATATTTCTTTATTTTAAATCTGTCTTTCAGCTAAGATCAAAGTTATATATATATCATATAACAACACACTAAAATTATTTAAAAAACACTCTACAAAGGCTAATCAGCAGCAGCATTAATCCTGGTAGAGTCAATCATTTCAGCATAATCTTTGTAGCATCAATATTAATCATTTCAGAAGCAACAAGGTGAACCTAATCAGGAGATTTCCATCACAGGGCTGACTTGGACTAGTAGCTAAAAGCCTACAAGGAATCCTAGATAGGGCGTTTCACATACTGTACTAGATATGCATGTTCCCATGTTTCTAGTAACTGACATATGGTTAGATTCATATTTGTTATGTCATGCACAGATCTAACATCTGGCCCAAACTTGGCCAGCTGTGACCATCCAGGTGGAGAAAGGCAAACAGGACCACAGTTTCAATTCCCAAATGATAGAATCAAAACCAAATCTTTACCCAGTACTGCAGATGTCAATTTCCCATCCTAAAAATTTAGATGCAGTTTAATCTTTGCTAGTAGGAAACACTAATGCAAATACATTTGTCAGTTCACACCAAATCTCAAACCAGAGGAGTGAACTAGTTCTGGCCTAGGTCTTTCAAACAATCTTTCATTTTAAAAATCAGCACAGTACACTTGTTATAAAGGCTAGCCAGTGATTAGCAGGCTGCACAATTGTGCACACAGTTTGTTCCTTATTTTCTGCCTGGGAAGGAAACTGCTCAGTTCTTGTGGAACTGGGTGACTGTTTGCTGCTGGAATTGCTAGCTGTCAGCTATTGGGAATTGTAGAAGGTAGGGCCTAGGACAAGTGACAGAAGCGGTGGACCAACCAATCTCTAAATGGCAAACAAGGAAATGGGAGGGGCTTTAGAATCAACGTTCTGATTGGAAGGTAAGTAGGAGTGGGTGGGCTCTGCAAATGACTGATGGCAGTTTCAAATACATGGGGGAAATGTCTTAACTGTCACAACTGAGTTGTTTTGCCAGGTAGGACAAAATTTGTGGAGGAAAAATACTCTGTATGGGGCTGTGATTGGTAGTTTGGAGAAAGCTCAGCAGAGGGTGGAAAGTTCCCTTTTGGAACCCAATTTGTACTCTCTCTTTTTTTGGTGTGTCTCTATATACTGTGTGGTTTACTAAAAACGAACTGTCTTATTTATGTTGGATTTATAGCATTTTTACTCCACCCAGCTGAAACAAAAATCAGCAATAAGACTAATATAATATCTAATATAAGTAGCATAAGATAACCCATGTGATAATATAAAAAATATGTTTTTATATACTGAGGATTGAAACTATAAAACCGTTCTGTGTGTACTAGGTTTTATCTTTTGTCATGTGAAAAAATATACCCAGGAGTGTGGGATGTTAAAAGGATTGCCATCTATTTTCTACTATGTTGACGCCAATATGTGTGTCTCAGAGCAAGCATAGAGGGCCTTTCTACAAAGTGAGCCAGTTTATAAAGCTTTGTTTCTAGAGAGGTGAGGCAAACTTACTTGATTTTGGTTTTCATGAGCTCAGTTAAGATTATAATGTGCTGGCAAGTATTTGGGGGAAAGGTAAAATTTCCCCCAGATAATTTCTTGTGGATTTGCAACTGTTATTTATACTTTTTTTATTTTTAATTTATTTTATTGTAGTGTGTTGGTTGAATTTTACTGCCTCCTGGAATGCTATTGCCAAACAACTGTGTTACAGTATTATGCTATATATTGACTTACGTTTGTTGGTCAGGAGAGCACTGTAAAAACAAATTATAGAAGTAGTCTCATAAAAATCAAAACAGGCTGGGATTGACTCACAAAAAAGCAGTAGGGTCAACTGTTCCTTTGTAGCAAGTTATGATTCCAACAGAGTTATCTTTGGCTTGTGAAAAAACAGATCAATATTTGCTGCTGGATAACCAATGTCACAGTGCATCTCTGCCTGAAAGGAGAGAGTGACACATACAAACCAAAAAACAAATCCTTTGATTGAAATTTTTAATAGATTCGTTGAAACACATTATAAAATGAAAATTTTCTCTGCATGAGCAATGCAGATAAAATCGGCTGCATTTGAAGTGCAAACAAGGAGAAATGGCAAGTGGTAGAATGTATAGTACCCATCTAATAAAGATTCCTTTCTTTCCTGTGTCTTAGCATCTTTGGTTTTTGTTTCCAACAAATCTTAATTAAAACACTACATTTTCCATCTAGCTTACTTGAGGTTGTGTATTCTGTGATCAAAAGGATAATTATCCTTGTGTATTTTTTGGAAAATTAATAAGGTGACATTTTTACTTCAAATTCCAACTTAGCCTTGGATTTAAAACACACTTAATTGAAACATAATAGTGGTCAGAAAGGACAACGCTGTTAGGATACACTAGTATGCGAGATGAAAAACAAGCAACACATTTGTCATGAATTTTAATATTTTGCCATTTGCGCATGTAAAATGTGATTATAGATTGTATCTCTGGCTGAGGCTGGGTGCATGTCAGAGCTTGAAATCAATTTGATACATGTTTGTGACAATATTTCCTGGTGACTCAGTCAGGAATTGCACAGAGACCTACCCACCCTGATGCCAACTAATGAAAAGAAGGGAAGGGAAGGGAGATGGAGGAACATTTCATAAAAGCTGTGAACTAGCAATTCACAAGGATTTATACTCTTTGGAGGCTGCATACTCTTTTTATGCCCTCACTGCAACAACTTAAATGCTCTCCTAGTTGCTAGTGCCAGCTGTGAAACCCAACAGTCAAGCTAATCAGTACACAGAAACACTGTTCCACAGTTTAGCAAAGGCTTTGGCTTTCCTTTTTTCATTTCCTCTTAATTTTAGAGCCACTCAGGATGTTAGATGACAAGAAATGATTAGTTCATTTTCTGCAGATGCATAAAAAGGTCCTACATTTCTGCTTTGGCGATGTGAGATCAGGATCAACAGAACGCCTAGCAGGCATGGCCAAACTTGGCCCTCCAGATGTTTTGGGACTACAATTGCCATCATCCCTGATCACTGGTCCTGTTAGCTAGTGTTGATGGGAGTTGTAGTCCCAAAACTTCTGGAAGGTCAAGTGTGGCCATGCCCTAGATCTTAAATGTTCTCTCTCTCTCTCTCTCTCTCTGTTGCTTACATGGAGCCAGTGCAGCCCCCATGAATTATTCTGAAGCAGCAGAACCTACTGTGCAGATTAATAATTTGCCTAACACAGAGCAGAGTTGTTTGCGTGGTCTTGTTTTATTTCAGACATGATTATTCTGATCTGCCAAACCATTAAGAATGGGCTGTAAAGTTGCATGCTCCCTCCTCCCACAAAACAAAATACTTTAACTGTCAAAGTCCAGGGTAAAGAGATCTGTCTTTAGTATATGATGAAAGCTGCACAATGAATATGCTTGATGTACCTTTCCTGTTTTCCTTTGGTGTCAGAATCCTCATCTGTGGGTGAGTGTTAATCATGAATTGTCTCCAAAACCATGATTTGAAATAGGTTTGCAAACCAGTATTTGGAGCCGATCCTGACTAGTGCTAACCCATATTTTGGTCGTTGCGGCAAAGTCTGGTTGCACGAACTGGGAAAAGGAGGAGCAAGTCTATGAGAAAGAGGGGAGAAAGGAGCATGTCCATAATCCTGTGGTTTGTAGGATCAGGAAAAGCAAATTTTTAATGGAGCCTTTCTGTTTTGGGTGCTCTCTTATCCAAACTAAATAATACAAGCTGTAATAATATTTTAAATTTGCACAACTTTAGTTCACACAGTTCTTTGCTCAGAAGGTAAGTATTTATTATTAACATAGAGATGGGAACAATATGCAACATAAAGGTTTTGTTCTGATAGACCAAGATTATTAAATTAGTGTCAAGGAATCCTAGTTGGAACTAGAATTAGCATCATCCCAGCCAGATGGGCGGGGTAATAATAATAATAATAATAATAATAATAATAATAATATCATCATCCCAGTAGTGTCTTTCCCTTTTACAGATTATTAAAGATATTCATTATTGTTTTCCTCAAGTTTTCAAATATAATCACAGTATTGGTGATTTCTGATTACTGAGAAATGATATAATTATTTTGTATTATCTATTCTATCAACCTCATCTATTCTGCATTAGCACTTTTTTATTGAGAGATGCTATTTGTCTTTTACTGCTGCACAGTAGACAAAATAATCCACAGGCTGCTTTCTCCACCTGTATTTCTGTCTGCTTTTCAGGTCCCAGGGTTAGCCCTACTGTAAGGGTGGCTGAAGCAGCTGCCTCAGATAGCTGTCACGAAAGAGCAAAAAATGGTTAGTTATTTACTTTACTGTTGTTGTATTTTTACTGTTAGGGTGGGGGAAAGGCACTTGTGGGATTTTCTGCCTTGGGTAGCAACATAACCTGACCAGCCTTGGGGATTATGCACCACAACTGGGAGCACAGCCTGAGTGTCATTTGCTGCTACACCTCAATCCAGATAAGACTGAGGCACTATTAGTGGGTTCCCTAGATTGGATGGGTGGGAGATTGCCTGCTGTTGATGGGGTTACACTTCCTCTGAAGGAGCAGGTTCATAGCTTGGGAGTTCTCTTGGATCCTTTGCTCTCGCTCGAGGCTCAAGTGGCCTCAGTGCCCCTGAGTGCCTTCCATCAGCTTCGGCTGGTGGTCCAACAACATCCCTATCTGGATGGGGATATTCTAACTACTGTTGTCTATGCTCTGGTAACCTCAAGGTTAGATTACTGCAATGCGTTATACATAGGGCTGCCTCTGAAGACAGTTCAGAAACTTCAGCTAGTGCAGAATTCAGTGGCAAGGCTGCTCATTGGAGCAAGGCAGTTTGAGCGTATTGCACTGATCCTGGTCCGACTGCACTGGTTACCAATTAGTTTCTGGGCCCTATTCAAAGTGCTGGTTTTGACCTATAAAGCCTTAAATGGCTCAGGACCTCAATACCTCAAGGGCTGCCTCTTTCCATATGAACCTACCTGGACCCTGAGATCATCTTCTGGGCAGCGGCGGAGCTAGCCGCTCAGACACCTGGAGTGGAGCACATGCTGTGCACCCGGGGGCATGGTGATCCACCCAGTGGCGATTCGCCCAGGGAGATTTTGTCACCTCCCCTCTTGGATGACACCCAGGGTGAACTGCCCCCCCCTTCCTACACGTCTGCTTCTGCGGCCCTTTTTCATGTGCCTCCTCCTGGAGAGGTTCGGAGGGTGGCAACATGAGAATGGGCCTTCTCTGCAGTGGCTCCCTGTCTGTGAAATGGTCTCCCCAGGGAAGTTCGCCTGGCACCTTCATTATACGCCTTTAGGCACTAGGCAAAAATGTTCCTTTTTAACCAGGCCTTTGGTTGATTTGATTGACATCCTATGCCCTTTTAAAATGTTTTGTTTGTTTGTTTGGGGGAGCTATCGGGTTTTTGTTTTTATTTTGATTATGTATTTTGTGGTTTTATATTTTGATTTTATTCTGTGAACCACCCTGAGACCTCTGGGTATAGTGTGGTATATAAATTCAAATAATAATAATAATCAAGCAGCAAAATATTCTGGGTCAGCTCTGGCAGAGCATCTCTTTAAGGAAGTGGCAGCTCTGAGTTCTTTGTACCTACTCCTTTTCTCTCAAAACACTTGCATGTTCTCATACAATCTCCTTCCTGCTCTTCTGTTTTTTCAGAATCTTAGTAGTTTACTCCATAGGAGAATGGAGAAAGAGAGTGACATCACAGGAAAAAACTCCCAGCATTTCTCATCCTTTTTTTAAACCAAGGAACCATTCGCCGCATTCATGGCACTCAGGAGGCATGTAAAGAACTTTGTGAAGAATTATTCTGAAGCCGAGGTAAAAGTCAGAGAAGCAACATCTAATGACCCCTGGGGCCCCTCCAGTTCTCTGATGTTAGAGATAAGTGACTTGACTTTTAATGCCGTCTCTCTTTCTGAGATTATGAGCATGATATGGCATAGGTTGAACGACCATGGAAAGAACTGGAGGCATGTGTACAAGTCTCTCACACTTTTGGATTATCTCCTCAAGAATGGATCAAAGAAAGTCATTCAGAATTGCCAAGAGGCCTTCTTTAATATCCAGGTGTTGAAGGACTTCCATCATTTAGATGAAGCAGGAAAGGATCAAGGTAAAACTACCCAAGTACTTTCAGAATTCCCTTAAAATAAAGTTGTGGTCTGTGTGAATGTGTGTGTGTGTTGGCTGTTAGGAACATAGAAGGTACTATTATGTTTTATTATGACCTTATGTGTCGTCTTGTATTTGAAGGTCTCCAAGTGATTTACATATTTATCAAATTGCTGAGGGATTAAAAAGCTATGACGCTTTAGACATGGGCAGAGGCCATAGCTCAGTACCAGCACACACTGCTGATTCACATTCACTCATCTCCATTTGAAGCACAGGGTAATAAGAGATCGGAAATGACATTGCATATTGCGCAGTAAAATCTGCTTGAACATTACCAAAAGTTGCAATAGGAGATCAAAACGGACTCACGGAGGAGCAAGTGGCTGAATATCTCATACCCTGCAAAGAGCTGAGATCCTAGATGATATGAGTCAAATAAGGATTATAAGGCCCTTTGTACAAAATGTGATATAAGGATAAATATTATTAAAGCATCCATTGCTTGAAAAAGAATATAGATGCTAACATTTTTTTTTGCCAGGCATCAAGCAGGATGGATTAAATAGGTGACATGTTGGATTAAAAGAAAATTATGTAAATTCATATATGAATCCAGTAATGCTAGAAAAACTGTTAGTGCCATGAATAATTAACGTATTGCACTAGTAAATGTATTAAATTATTAACAGCACTTGCTGAGAATATCAGCAGCTGGTAGATGAAGCAAACAGTCCATCAACTCTGAGTCTTTCTATGAATATCTGCTGTCAGATGAATTACAACCCTATATGATGCATGTAAACAAATTCCAACTGTGACAAACCTAATTTGTGCTTTAATGATTTAGATGTGCCAAGTATTTTTATTTATGTGTTCTCCAGGATGAGAAAATCGTATATTGAAGGAGAATTGCAGCATGGCTTTTGAAATACTGAAGCAAAGTTATTGTATTGTTTCATCACCTATTTACATGAGTGACAGAGCGACTTGATAATAAATAATTTCATTATTTTGCAAGATACAATGGCTGTTTAGCTTCAGATTGATAACACTTGGAACTGATACATAAATCATGATGTCAGTGATACCTAGTGTATAGCTATTTCAACTGAAAAACAATCTTTCTTTGCAGCAGAGTTTAAATTATATAAATCTATGTAGTAGGTAAAGTCACAAACTGTGGTAAAGTGTATCCACAAATTGGCTAAAATATAATTTGCAATATTTGGACAGCCGTATACAATGGATGCAATATGTAGGCTATCATGTGTCAAGTTTGCATCCCCTCTGGACTGCAAGCACCATGCCAAGTCAGCAGAAGCAGGTCTGCTTGAGCTGTAATGGCATCTGTCGCGAGCCCTGCAGCAATCAAGATTGGGCTTGGATTGCCAGACACAGACTCAGGAAGAGGAATAAAGGGTGGGTGGGGGGCTGAATATTGGGAAGCTGGGTTCGAGGAAGGGGAATTTCCCCTCTCCACTCTGACTTCTGCTGCACTGGGTGGTGGAGCTGGGATGCGGAGGGCTTGGAGGTGGAATTAGAGGCAGCGCCAACTGAACAGGAAGGTGCAGTCTTGTTGTCTAGAACCAGGCACTACCTTTGCAAACAGGAGCACACCCAACCTGAAGGAGCATGTATTTACAATCCAGACATTACTGCAAGAAGAGCAAGTCTTATGAACAAGCATGTTACACCTCATCTTTAAAAGCTTGGGCAGGGTGTGAAAACTTGTTGGGACATATTTGTTGCTTCCGTCTAATTCTGAACTTCTTGCCCTGTTCTTGAACTCCTGAACAATGACTTCTGGGTCTTACGTTTGCTGATGAGCCTGTAACATTATTTGCCTGAATAAATAACTCTTTCTTACAAGTAATGTCCTCCGCTTGCGTGTTTTTGGATGGGAGCCAGGATAGCATCAAACTTTTTCTCCCACATGGGGAACTGAAGATGCAAACATAGGGTAGTATTCAACTACGTTTTACTCAGAATAGACAGTCATGCTCATTCATTTCAATAGACCTACTCTGAGGACAACTTAGTTGGTTACCACCCCTATATGGGACTAAATTCCCTATATGGGACTAAATTCCATTCAACAAAGTGGGACGTCCTTATGAGTAGATGTACCCAGGGTTGTACTGTAAAGTGACTTTGCATCTATGTTTTGGTATTTATTTCCACATGCATGGCCAATTTAAAATAATAGATGGTTAAAATAAATAAACAGATATTAAAACATTTGTTTCATTGAAAATATATTTATATTTTTTCTGAATGAGGACAAGGGCTCTGATATGATCATGAATAATGTCTTAGTTTAAACAATACTTACAATATATAGACATATGTACCAACTGTTGAATATTTGTCCAGCTCATTATCCTAGGTATCAAGAGCTTCATGCCATCATTACAAATTTCAGCATCTTCTGTATCTATAGAGTTCTACAACAGAGCTAGTCAGCATTACACTAAACTGTACATTAAAAAAATAATCATTTCTTTAATCTTTTTCAACAGGTTATCATGTGAGGGAGAAGGCTAAGCAAGTCCTTGTTTTATTAAAAGATGATCAACTGTTGTACAATGAACGTGAAATTGCACGTCGGACTAGGCGGCGCACTTCCTATGCAATGCTTTCCCCCACAACGGTTACTGAAAAAGCTTACTTTCCATCAATGCCTATCTCGGATCCTGTGTCAGAATTCCCTCCATCAGAGAACATCCAGCGTAAGCAGCACTACTTTAAATTGCAAAGCAAGTATTTGCATTTCAGAGCTTTAGTGACTGAAATTCCAGCATGACCTCAGAGCCACTTGGTATTCTTGGTTAAATCCCTGTCTCCTAGCCTCAGTTAGCATCTTTCACAAACCAACCAACAACTGGGTGATTTAGCAAGGAGGCATCTGCTTGGCATGGGAAACAGAATGCTGAGGGAGCTGGATCTTTGGTTTGATCCCACGGGACTCTTTTATACTCTTAATTTATTGTGTCTCCTGATAAGGATTATTATTATTATTATTATTATTACCACCACATTCAGTAAAATGCTGCATAAAGCCAATAATAGCCCTTTCCATGCTAGAACCCTTTAGCACTGCAGAAACATGGCTCTTCTACAATCAGCTGGAAATGCAATTATAATAATGGTTCTACACGGCACTTAATATTCCCCTATATGCTCCTTAACATCCCACAGTACCTGTCCCTATACCATGGTAATGGTAACCTAGGATTGTAGTCTCACTGCAGAGATGCTGTGACCAGAGATGCCTCTATTCTGCACAAAGATGCGCAGAAGCACTTGCTGGATGAGGCAACAATTGCCACAGATCTAGAGCAAGGGGAGTTCCTGTGGTTCCCAAATGATGGGAGGCTTCTTGCTGCTTCCATCAAATTCCAGTCATTTTTGTGGCTTATCAAGCACAGGCAGGCACAGTCCAGAGGAGCCTTAGAACAGACGTGGAGCTGGTTTGGAAGCTGAGGGCACTGTAGAGGGAACCTGCTAAGCGATTGCTAAGCCACCCAGCACATAGCTCCCCACCTTCACTGTGAGCTCCCTGATTCCTATAAACTCCTTCACCATCCAAGTTGACATTACGTCTGCCCTTGCAACTCACCCCATCAAACCTGACCTCTCTTACATGCTAGAGTCTCTTTCTGCCCTCTTTGCAGCCAGAGCAGTTGCACATTATTTATAATTCATAGGGTTTCCCCCCACAACCACAATTGCAGAACTAAAATTGTGCTAATAAAAAAAAATTAAAATAATGAGCAGTTTCTGGTTCAAAGTGGAAAGTGGGAATTAAACTCCCTAGCAAAGAACCAGGAGCTGTCTAATGATGGATGAGTTCAGGTATGTCTTGACCCATGAGGAAACAGGAAGCAATTAATTAAAGAAAAACCACCAGACAGTTTTAATTAAAGGGGCAACATCTCTTAAAAAGCTTTAGTGGTGTTTTGCTAGTTCACACTGGATAGGAAATGTAATTACACTATGGCCAAGAATTAAAAATCACCACGAACCAGGTCTGAAAAAAGAAGGGAATACAACCCAGAAAATACTGAAATGCAGCAATCTGGCAACATCATCAGGATTCTGTGTAAAAATGGAGTGAACAAAAAATGGCAACTCTGCCTAAAACACACAGCATGGAAGGAGCTGATTCTTTACTGTGAGAGTCAATGCTGTTTGCATATTGTCATTAATGAATGTACAGATGAAGCCAGTCAGCCAAACACCATAACTGACCCTGAGAAGTGAGCTTCTCTATGTTGCTGAGCCAGGTTTGAAGACATCTTTTTACTTACTGCTGCTTCATGTTACTTTCTAACAATGTGCACATACATATGAGTCACATCTTTGTACAAAGATGGAAGCAAAACAGAGCAATGCAAGAATAACAGTAGCTATGTCTGTCTCTGAGGGAGATGTGAGCTGAGCTGTAACATGAAAATGGCCTTCTGTAGTACAGTAATTTCTAGGGTCCTGCAGCATTAGGCAAGCAGATAAATGTATCATATTAAACAATTCTTTGTTAACCATTAAAAGATATAGAGTACAAGAGAACTCTCAAACGTGAAACAGCAGTTAATGCAGAAACTGCAGCATCAATTCATTTATTGCTATCCATTTTCATTTGTTTCCACATAAAATATCCCTGCTGTAGAACTGCAGCCTTTAAACTTTTCCATTATCTTTCAAATTGTCTCTAAATCCCTTTCTAGCTGCTCATAATGTGAAACACATGCTTGCCATGCTGCAGTAATAATGCTCCTTTTAAATACTAATTGGAATATTTGGTGGGAGAGAGGAATGATACAGTCCCTAATTTTCTAGTTTCTTCCATATAATTTTCACATAAACAACCAGAACAGTTTGTTCTTTATGTTAATTTGTCCCTCTTGAAAAAAATGAGACTTGTTTCACGCACTGAGGATATAAGCAGAGTTAGCAGGTAAACAGGATTCTGTCTGGGTTTGTTGCTTATCACAGAAAATTATAAAAGCTTTTAGCATTCCGATCCAACCACTGGCAGGCAGCGTTGTAGCTAATGGACTGAACAAGACTTGAGAGACTTTTTTTTTTTTTGCCCAATTAACTCTGGAAAATTTAACATCTGTCTATTTTTTTTCTTTTTACCAAAATATGTTTTAAAACAGTACTTTTCTTTGACAGATGTTCCCCCTAAGGCATCTGCAGGAGCATTATGCCAGGCAGTTCAGGCATCAGGCAAAGCAGAGATAGTCCAAGATACAACAGCACTTAATGCTGTTGCCAAGGTATCGTCAGAGGTAAATCATGCACTGCATTTGAAGGGAAGGCATCGTTGAATATGGCATTTAATCAAATGTGCCTATGATGTATTTCACTCCTGTTGCAATTCACAGAGCGATCCTATGCATGTTAACTAAGAGCCAAGTCCAATTGCAACATTCAGTTGGGCTTACTCCTGTGTGTACAGAATTGCAACGTTAGGTGGTAATTCTATATAAAGTAACTTGGGAGGGAAGTCAGCAACCCCAGGGTCCATTAGTCTATCCGTATAGACTAAGTTCCTATATCAAACCCCCCCCCACTGTTCTGTGCAATCTGAGGTCAATTAACACTTGCAACAAGCCACTCGTGTACTTCTAATGAACATTACTGTTTAAATATAAGATTTATGAGTTGTGGCCCTGTTAAAAAAGAACATATTGTAGTGGCATATGAACATTACAAACATATAATCTAAAACAACAGTTTGTTGTTGTTGGCATCCATCTGTCTCAGGAGACAATGGAGGAGTGTGCCTTTGGGGATAAAGTCAAACTGTTGGAAGGTTTCAGCGCATGCTGTGGCTGTAGAGACTGACATGGGAGAGGCATGTTTTGTTGCAGCTGGGGCAGGTGAAGATGTCCGGTTGTGCTGCTGCAGATGTGCCATGAAGTTTTTTCTCTCCCAGTAGTCCTCTGATCACTGCTATGGATACATGACCTGACTGTCTGTCTCCAGGCACTGTGGTCATCTGCAAAGGGTTCCCACATGGCGGAGTTGATGTTGGCAGCCTTCATGTCATGTTTGCAGACATCTTTGTAATGCAGAGTTGATCTGCCAATTGGCCTGAAGCCAATAGGGCTTACTGCCAGGTAAATGGGGTTCAGATTGAAGTCAAAAGCAGTCATTTAACTGGAACTGCATTACCTGCTGCTGGTGGTAATGTTGACTGTGGCCGCAATTGTGAGACGTATAGTATATTGCTCAGGAATTTGTGCCAGGCCTGCATAAAGAAAAAATGGGGATTGGGGAGTGCTGGGGCATCTTTCCATGGTAGATTTTCCTAGACACAGGTTATTACTTGTGAATTTCATTACCTAAATTTAGATAAAGTGCAGTGGCACTGAGCAGTTCTAAATTTACAGATATAATTTAGAAATCATAGCACAATCTAGATCAATATGTGGCCTTCGACTACTAAATTGGGAGTCAATCAAACCAGTGTAGGAAATGAGTATTAAAGCTTTGGGTAGCGTGAAGTTAATAGTTCAGTCATATATGAACAAACTAGAATGGGCAGCCAAGCCATTTAGTTTCGATTCAGAAACAGGACAGGATAGGAAATTGTGAAGTCCTTAATTACAGATGGATGATGAAGTGGCTATAGACTTTCTCTCATATGCAAAACTATTTCAGCTCAGTGCCGAACTGTTCTTTAGTTTACTATGGCTCAAAATCCTAATAAGAAAGTCCAATAAATATTATTTAATTCCTAACTTCTGTATATAGTACATAGGCAATCTGTGGATTTGCATCTGTGTGAAAAAGTGTGGTGTTTTCATAAGCATAGGTAGTTGTAGCCTAGCTGAAACAGCAAGAGTTTTGTTTAATAATATTATTCCTTCATTAATTTTATTACAAAATAAGTTTAAAGAATGCAAATTACAATATCACAAGTTCCAGCATTTTGGGATCCTGATTGTAGTTGGTAATTGCCAAGCTCCTTAGTAATTATTCCAGAATCTAATTACCTTTGCCTGCTTCTTGTTTAAATTATTAATATCTACAGCTCAGTCTCTTGAATGGCTAATATTTAGTTAGTTGGTTGGTTGATTGATTGAAATTATAGACTGCCTCATAACTGAAGCTCTTGAAGTTACTATCATAATAGTATTTATTATTTCTTCAGTGCTTAAAAACACCTGCAAAGCTCTGTACTATATAAAAGTAATTAAAAGGCAACAAATCCCTGCATGCAGGCTTACAGTCTGTGAATGATTACTTAATGGGGGGGGGGGGAACGACCTGTGGTCCTCCATATTTTGTTGGACTCCAACCCCCATCAGCCTCAGTCAGAGTGGCTAATGGTCAGAGGTGATAGAGTGAAACAGCATCTGGAGGACCACAGGTCAATGGGATGATTTACTGGATTCTATGAAGCAACCTGTGGCTCTTTTCTTAACATAGACCCACAACAAGTTTTTCTTATGGTTTAAAACATTGTGATTGCTATGAAGAGAGTGGGAAGTCTGTCCCGTCCGTCTGTCCCCCCCATGTCATAATGAAACAACTCAGGATCAGCCAATAAAATTGGACATCATTCAGAACAGTCCAAAGGTAGTACTTGTATACACAGAGAAAAATTATCATGAAATATGCTGCCATGGGATGTTTGGAAGGCCAGCAGCACAGATGGCTTCAAATGAGGGGTTAGGAAATGCTGTGGAGGGATAGGTTTGTTAGTGGCAGTTAGCCATGGTAGCTAACTTCAGTTGGTGCAGAATTCGGTGGCAAGGCTGCTCATCAGGGCAAGACTGTCTGAGCACATTACACCGATCCTGGTCCAACTGTACTGGTTGCCAGTTAGTTTCCAGGCCCAATTCAAAGTGCTGGCTTTGACCTATACAGCCTTAAACAGCTCAGGGCTGCAATACCTCAAGGACCGCCTCTACCTATATGAACCAACCTGAACAATGCAACTTCCCCATCTCTCATCTGCAACTGCCTGTGCACCCTCAAAATCTGCTCCTGAGAGTTGGGGAACTTTCTAGAGCAGAGAAGATTTTGGGAGCACACAGGGAAAGGAATGGTGCATGTGTTGTGTTGCATGCAGCTCTGTCTTCCAACCACCAAATGATTTATTTGAATTAATAATTAATATACTACTGAAAGTTGAAGTGTATGAGGTGTTAGAGAAGGGGTAGTACCTCTGGTGGTGGACATGCCATGCCATGCTCCTTCAGGGGTAGTTTGTCCACCTTTGGTCTCCATCCTGCATTCAGCTCTTCCCTGTGGCTCCTAGAAGCTGTCACTATATAACAGCAGCCAAACCCTAGAAAATGGCTTCAGCTGGCTGGCTAAACCAAGTAAAGGTAGCCCATGGGTCTCAGGCCCATGGTGGGTTAGGTACATGCCCTGCATGCAAAGGCAGGCTCTGGTGGACTGAGCAGACGAAATGGATAATAAGGCAGGTCCTGCACGTGCTTTAGAGGGAAGTGAGGGGCAGATGGAGCTCCTCAACCTGTGAAGGTAGCCCATCTAAGATCAGGAAAGCTCTGATCCTAAACCTCCGCTGCCTTGTGGGACATCTTCAGGAGAATAAAAGGCTAAGGAGTAAACCCTACACAAATTTGGAGTGGAGTCCCTACGACACTTGAATGGCACCTGGTACACATCGCTTCAGGGAGGTCAGTTCTGTGCTGCTAACACAGCGGTTTGATTTCACCCCCAGAGGTGCACTCCATTGTCTCTTGAGACAGACAGATGCCAACACCCCAATGTCAAAATAGGCTTTTAAGTGGTTTGCAAAGTATAAAAAGGTTACCCAAATATAAAAATATAAAACATCCATAATAAAACAATCCCATTAAAGCATTAGTACACATGGCTGCTGTCTAATACTTTCTCATCTTACACTTTTTATTGTAAATGGCGACTGCTTTGGAAAGAGACTTGGATATGTGACAATAGGTTCCTTTGAAAGGCATCCTATTATACTAGCTTTCCCTCTTTCCGCTGTGCAGCTTTTCCTTTTTATTAATATCAGTAGTACTTGCCACAATCTGTTCAGAAGGAGCTCCATAAGATACGACTTAATGCCACTATGGTCTGCTGTGAAATCTTCAGCAAAACCCCATTGGGGAGTTGAAAAGATATCATCTCCATGTTGCAAAAATTGGCATAGGCAAAGCCTGCCAATATTATAATTTGAAAAACTAGAGATAAACAAATTGAATTCGTTTTGTTTTCCATGCACATAATAGAGATTTCATTTCTGAGCAGTATGCTCTTTCCTCCCTTTTCAATGTTCATAATTAATCATACTTCTTACTTGTATGAAGTGCCTCACAGTTTCAAGTCACTGCTGCTGACTAATTAAGGATCACTTCAATCACCATTTATGTCAATATTGACCCAGATATTGTACTGTGTCATGATGCTTGAGAAAATGCATTTATTTCCTGTTTTAAAAATAAGGAATTAACACAGTGGTCTGGTCTGGACGTTATGAAAAAATGGGTTACTGCTACATGCACAAGCCTTGGACTACTGCACTGCTTTAGCTGTCCTCCTCCTCTTGTGTGGTTTCCAATTTCAATTAACCACAATCTAATGTTGCATCCAAAATTTTGGTTAATCTTAACTACATTAGTAGAAACAAGCACTGGAAAATGTACTGAACATTCTTACATCAGTCTTATCCAGCTTCAGTCATCATCCCTGGCTGCAGAGAGAACAAACAAAGACCTAATTTGGATTTAAAAAAGGAGAACTGGAACAGATCTCTATCTGCCTAACTGCACACACTTGCTTCATAGATGTCTGCCTTAGTGTGTTGCAGCTTAAACATGGTCACAAATAGTTTTCATTGAGTGTAAAAAATTTCCCCTTGATAAAGAGCCTCCTCAAAACATGTTGGTAACCAAATCCAGTTGAGTAGCTAGCTACCTTTTCTGTCTTTGATTCCTCCCCGCATGGCTGTAATTGATTCCCTTTGTTTTGTGGGAACAGTTCAAACCCTAATAGAAGCTTCAGTGAGAAAATTAGGAAATCATATATTGTGAAGGAATTTATCCTTCTATTAAAGGTCATTGGCAGTGCAATCCTGCACATGTCTACTCAAAACTAAGTCCCATTGAGCTCAGTTGGGCCTGCTCTCAGGTAAGTGGATGTAGCATTGCAGCCCTAATTTCTTACCTATATGCAAAAGTATATTTTATTGAGGAATTATTCAGTAATAGGTTTTAGGAATAATTTCTGGCATCATGATGCATAAATAACAAAGTCATGCTGGTGGGAAGAAAATTGCTTTTCTTATTCCATCTGCTGTGAAATACCAAACATACTTCTCTCAGTCTAGTGAATCTATCACTGTTAATCCTTGTTTTCCCTTAAATCTAATAAGTTGGTCCTCCAAAAACTCTAGCCCTCTAGTCAAATTTCACAGTGTTGATCTTCCAATCTCCATACTAATACCTGGAAACTTTAATATTCTGTCAAAAAATGAATTTCCCCTTGTAAATATATTCCTACTACTTCTAACCTAATGAGAAAGTAACTATACTTATTATTCTCAACTTTTATTGTATTTTGTTCAAGTGTAAAATGTGTTATTGCTAGAGTTAACTCTGATTCGTTTCTTAACCTTTCTTTCCAATCACTACTAATCTAGGACTACTTGCATTTTAAAGGTGCTGTTCAAATGTAATGGGAAATCTTAGTTTTACACCCTGTGACTGAGCCCCAGCAAGCCTTGGGCTCATATGGGCTCCCTTCTCTCTCCTTCTCTTTCGTGCTTGCATGGAGGCAAACCAAGGCTTTCCTTTCCAAATTTAAACAAACCATAGTTCCCTGTGATTTCTGAACTTGGGGGAACTCTGGTTGGTTTGTTCAAAAGGTGGTTTCACAACAAGGCAGGCTTTGTTACCATCGTTTGATTCTGACTTGCTCTCACTAACCATAGTTTAAACCATGGATTGGCAGCGTGGCACCCGTGGGCATACATGCACTTTCAGAAGGCTTCATGAGCACTTGCAGGGCCAGGGTTGGCTCATCCCGTGTTGCCACCTAAGGCAAAAGGGGAACGTGTCCCCCGCCCCCCTTTCTCCAAACTTGGCGAGGGGAGGAGTGTTCCACAAGGCAGCAAAAGTGGTGGGGCTTCCACCACCTGAGGGCGGGTGCGTCACCCCACCTTATTGGTGGGTCGGCTCTGCACAGGGTCCAGTCTCCTCATATTCCTCCTCCCTTCAAATTAAGCTTGAAATAAGCCTTCTATTGTAGCCAGCAGAAAGCTGTTTTCAAGCTTGACTTGGGTATAGGATTATGGAGTGGGTTTACAAACTGGGAGGAAAGAATCAACCTCCCTTTACTCCACTGTGATTCCCTCCTGTGACACAATTAGGCTTCCAAGAATCCCTCCATTGGCTATAATAGGTTTCTTTCCAGCCCATTTTTTTGAGAGGGGGGAGGGAGTGATTTTGAGGGAGGATTACCCCTTTCTTCCCCAGCTGTGGCCTCCCTCCCAAATATGCTGCAGTTGGGCTTCCTTAGATGTCTTATTTCAAGCCTTTTTTTTTTTAAGCAGGGGAGGGAGGCGGCTTCCTGGAGACTGCAGATGGGAAAGGAAGGTTAACTGTTGCCTCCCCAGCTGCACTCAGTCTTCAGGAAGATTCCCTCCCATCCCAAAATAATTAGGTTTGGGTGTGTGTGCATGTGGTTGCGATGTTTCTGAGATCATACCCATATGTGTGCATGGTTGCATTGTGCATATGCTGCCCCAAAGAGTTTTTCTGCTTTTCAAATGCACTCACAGGCCAAAAAGGCTCTGTGACCTAAGCAAACCATGCTTCTCCAAGTTCAGGCAGTGTGGAAAACTGTTAGTTCAAAAGTGGAAGAAGATGTTTCCAATCCTCTCCCCTCTGGTAACTGAAAAGAGAAGCGGAGTGGAGAGGGGGGAGCGTAAGAGTTTGAGGCTCTTGTTGTTGTTGTTTAGTCGTTTAGTCGTGTCCGACTCTTCGTGACCCCATGGACCAGAGCACGCCAGGCACTTCTGTTCTCCACTGCCTCCCGCAGTTTGATCAAACTCATGCTGGTAGCTTCAAGAACACCATCCAACCATCTCATCCTCTGTCGTCCCCTTCTCCTTGTGCCCTCCATCTTTCCCAACATCAGGGTCTTTTCCAGGGAATCTTCTCTTCACATGAGGTGGCCAAAGTATTGGAGCCTCAGCTTCACGATCTGTCCTTCCAGTGAGCACTCAGGGCTGATTTCCTTAAGAATGGATACGTTTGATCTTCTTGCAGTCCATGGGACTCTCAAGAGTCTCCTCCAGCACCATAATTCAAAAGCATCAATTCTTCGGCGATCAGCCTTCTTTATGGTCCAGCTCTCACTTCCATACATCACTACTGGGAAAACCATAGCTTTTACTATACGGACCTTTGTTGGCAAGGTGATGTCTCTACTTTTTAAGATGCTGTCTAGGTTTGTCATTGCTTTTCTCCCAAGAAGCAGGCGTCTTTTAATTTCGTGACTGCTGCCACCATCTGCAGTGATCATGGAGCCCAAGAAAGTAAAATCTCTTACTGCCTCCATTTCTTCCCCTTCTATTTGCCAGGAGGTGACAGGACCAGTGGCCATGATCTTCGGTTTTTTGATGTTGAGCTTCAGACCATATTTTGCGCTCTCCTCTTTCACCCTCAATAAAAGGTTCTTTAATTCCTCCTCACTTTCTGCCATCAAGGTTGTGTCATCTGCATATCTGAGGTTGTTGATATTTCTTCCGGCAATCTTAATTCCGGCTCGGATTCATCCAGCCCAGCCTTTCACATGATTAATTCTGCATATAAATTAAATAAACAGGAGACAATATATAGCCTTGTTGTACTCCTTTCCCAATTTTGAACCAATCAGTTGTTCCATATCCAGTTCTAACTGTAGCTTCTTGTTCCACATAGAGATTTCTCAGGAGACAGATGAGGTGATCAGGCACTCCCATTTCTTTAAGAACTTGCCATAGTTTGCTGTGGTCGACACAGTCAAAGGCTTTTGCATAGTCAATGAAGCAGAAGTAGATGTCTTTCTGGAACTGTCTAGCTTTCTCCATAATCCAGCGCATGTTTGCAATTTGGTCTCTGGTTCCTCTGCCTCTTCTAAATCCAGCTTGCACTTCTGGGAGTTCTCGGTCCACATACTGCTTGAGCCTTCCTTGTAGAATTTTAAGCATAACCTTGCTAGCATGTGAAATGAGTGCAATTGTGCGGTAGTTGGAACATTCTTTGGCACTGCCTTTCTTTGGGATTGGGATGTAGACTGATCTTCTCCAATCCTCTGGCCACTGCTGAGTTTTCCAAACTTGCTGGCATATTGAGTGTAGCACCTTAACAGCATCATCTTTTAAAATTTTAAATTTTATTAACTGGCCTTGTTATTTGCAGTGCTTTCTAAGACCCATTTGACTTCACTCTCCAGGATGTCTGGCTCAAGGTCAGCAACCACACTACCTGGGGTGTACAAGACATCCATATCTTTCTGGTATAATTCCTCTGTGTATTCTTGCCACCTCTTCTTGATGTCTTCTGCTTCTGTTAGGTCCTTACCACTTTTGTCCTTTATTATGGTAATCTTTGTACGAAATGTTCCTTTCATATTTCCGATTTTCTTGAACAGATCTCTGGTTCTTCCCATTCTGTTGTTTTCCTCTATTTCTTTGCATTGCTCGTTTAAGAAGGCCTTCTTGTCTCTCCTTGCTATTCTTTGGAAATCTGCATTCAATTTCCTGTATCTTTCACTATCTCCCTTGCATTTTGCTTGCCTTCTCTCCCCGCTATTTGTAAGGCCTCGTTGGACAGCCACTTTGCTTTCTTGCATTTCTTTTCATTGGGATGGTTTTAGTTGCTGCCTCCTGTATAATGTTGTGAGCCTCCACCCATAGTTCTTCAGGCACTCTGTCCAGCAAATCTAAATCCTTAAACCTGTTCCTCACTTCCACTGTGTATTCATAAGGGATTTGGTTTAGATTGTATCTTACCGGCCCAGTGGTTTTTCCTACTTTCTTCAGTTTAAGCTTGAATTTTGCTATAAGAAGCTGATGTTCTGAGCCACAGTCAGCTCCCGGTCTTGTTTTTGTTGACTGTATAGAGCTTCTCCATCTTTGGCTGCAGAGAATATAATCAATCTGATTTCGATGTTGCCCATCTGGTGATGTCCATGTGTAGAGTCGTCTCTTGTGTTGTTGGAAAAGCGTGTTTGTGATGACCAGCTTGTTCTCTTGACAGAACTCTATTAGCCTTTGCCCTGCTTCGTTTTGATCTCCAAGGCCAAACTTGCCAGTTGTTCCTTTTATCTCTTGATTCCCTACTTTAGCATTCCAATCCCCTATAATGAGAAGAACATCCTTCTTTGGTGTCACTTCTATAAGGTCTTGTAAGTCTTCATAGAATTGGAGAATTTCACTTTCTTCAGCACCAGTAATTGGTGCATAAACTTGGATTACTGTGATGTTAAAAGGTCTGCCTTGGATTCGTATCGAGATCATTCTATCATTTTTGAGATTGCATCCCAGTACAACTTTCGCCACTCTTTTGTTGACTATGAGGGCCACTCCATTTCTTTTACGGGTTTCTTGCCCACAGTAGTAGATATGATAGTCATCCGAACTGAATTCGCCCATTCCCGTCCATTTTAGTTCACTGATGCCCAGGATGTCAATATTTATTCTTGCCATCTCATTTTGGACCACATCCAACTTACCCAGGTTCATGGTTCTTACATTCCAGGTTCCTGTGCAATATTTTTCTTTACAGCATTGGACTTTCCTTTCACTTCCTTTCCTTTCGTTTGAGGCTCACCAGGGCTCATTTATGTATCAGGAAACCCTGGTTTCCCATCATTTTGAATGGGGACAGAAGAATTTGTTGTAGAGGCTGATAGACTGGATTCACAGAAGTAAAGAGTGACTTATAAGCTTGGAGTTCACAAACATACAACAAGGAAGATATATAATTGTTCCAAATCTCTGTATCTATCTATATTTTCTTCATGCTAGAAGAAGAGGAGAAAAATTCTAAAAGATAAGAAAGTCAAAGCAGGAGACTAATGTAGTGGTATAAAACAGAAAGGAACACATCTTGCAAATAACAACTCAGCACTACTCTCTATTAGAACACTTACTACTGTTCCCTAGTCATTTCACAAGGCTTCCACAGGACTGTTTAAAAGAAAGCTGATATCACTGTAAGATACATTTTATAAACTTTAGTCTCCTTTTTATTGCTCATTATACTGTATTTCCTGTCAATATTATACCTACTCTGCAGCAGTATTCACATTTGATAAAAAGAAGCTATTGAAGTTATGGTTGCATTAAAATTTAATGCTGCATGAATCTAAGCAAGGCTCCATGGAATAGAATTCCAGAACAGGCAGTACAAGTGTAACTTAGAACTATATAATTATGCAAGCAAGACTTCTTGGCAAGTGAGGCCCCAAATCAATTGCTGTTCAAAGGAAACTTAATTTATCAGCTCATTTGGAAATGGTTAGTTTCCTTATTGATGACACCATAATATAATTTACCTTCCATGTTTGTTAAAGCTAGTCATCATCACATTGGCTAATTAATTTTTCTTAGGCTGGTTCTGGTGTCCGGCTTCGTCATGAGTCAATGGTGGTCACTCCTCACTGCCCTCTGTGGGCAGCGAGGAGGTTCAGGCAGGGGAAAGCCAGGATTCATGAGGCAAAAATCCTGGCAATGTTCCCCAGTGGGGTCTGGGGAGCTCACTGCATCCCACTATGCCGCTCAAGCCTGTGTCTGCCAACTTGAAAGGCAGAGCTGGTGCGACCTGGGAATGTGTCCCTGCCATGGATGAGTCTCCGTCTCTGGCATGATTTGCGCTTGGTTCCTCCATAATTTGGAGAATTGGTATTAATTAAGAGGCGCCGCGGACCAACATATGCTAAAGGGCTGCAATCAGCCAGCTGCCGAAAGGACTGGGCTTGGCTCTTTGAAGGTACTTGAATGGGATTTTTGAAGCTTGAGAATCCTTACACAGCCGGGAAAGGAAGGGGGAGGACAAGGTGCTTTGTGCTTTCATATAGTTTTCAAATGGTCTCCTTTCTTCTTGTCCACCCCTGCAAAATGAAAGAGATGTGTGTAGCTACTGTTATGTTATTCTGTTTGTTACCTTGGAAAAGAGGGGGGAGGCTTTTGGTTTATGCTCAACAAGGAATTTATCAAGGTTTTACTATGCCCTCCCACCTCAACCGAGGTTGAATGGACTTTATTTAAAATTATTCCTGGACTGGACTAGGAGTGCTGTTGGTGCAGTGATAAAAGAATGAAAGGCTGCTGAACAGATCTGGCAAAGAGGTTGAAATTGAGAAAATATCTTGTTTTCAACTGTGTGCCAAGGAAGGATTACAGAGCGGAATTTTAGTGACGGGAGACTAGGTATGCACAGCGAGTTATTTATGGCCACAGCTTGTGCACTAGTCGGTAAACAGTGGAAGCAATGGAATGTGACCTTTTACCATCCAGATGAACACTGCAAAGAACTGAACAATGGATGATAATAATTAACCCTCCCAGCACACCAGGTCTATATGAAGGACTACACACGTGAAACGGATTACAGTGGTACCTCGGGTTACATACGCTTCAGGTTACAGACTCCACTAACCCAGAAATAGTACCTCAGGTTAAGAACTTTGCTTCTGGATGAGAACAGAAATTGTGCTCCGGCGGCGCAGCAGCAGCGGGAGGCCCCATTAGCTAAAGTGGTGCTTCAGGTTAAGAACAGTTTCAGGTTAAGTATGGACCTCCGGAACGAATTAAGTACTTAACCCGAGGTACCACTGTACTCATTTATAAGATGTAACGGAGGTGCTGGAAGAATGTTTGACGGCAAGTGAAGGATGTCAACTGCGGCAATGTGAGGCAATGATGATGATCATATGTTCAGAACAGGAGCGGGAAACCTGATTTTAAGAAATTGTATTAAATTAATTTAATTTGGCTTGATTTGTAATAATTTGGAAAAGTAATAAAAGTAATTTGAAAAAATAACGAAACATGTTCTGTCACAATCATAGCAGAGTTGCACAGTCTGATATAAAATAATGGGTGTACCTTTTGGTCAAGGTTGGAACTTAATACATATGTGAAGGGGACTTATGTGTATGCTGTACGATGGTGTAATAAAATATGTCAGCTTTGAAATGTTCCTCTAAGAGGAGTTAGTTAACACACATGTTTTTGGGTTCTATGGCTTTCAGCTCTTAACTTCCATTCACTTTCTCTTGTGAAATGCTGTCCTACTTCCTTGTGTCCAAATTAATCATCTTCAAACACGCCCTGGAAGATAATATACTTGTATTTCATTTTGACTCAATAGCGACATCAGTATGTCAAATCAAAATTATACCTGCATCAAAAGTGATGCCAATCTCCTGTGCATTATTTTACACAACAAAAGTAGCAGGACTACTTTTAAAATGCAAGCTTCAATTTAAGTGAAAATACTTGAATTAAATACCTTTAAAAAACACACCACTGGCAACAGGTTGATTTAACTGCAAGCAAAAACAAAAACAAGCAATGCTTAGGATTGCTTCAAAAGCTGTGGTTTACACAGTGCTGAATACAGTTAGCTACACCTGTGGTTACAGTGTTTTCTGTACCAGTTTTAGCACTTCACTTGACACCTGCTTAGTTGTTTTTCTCTTGTAGAAAAGGTTGAGTTTGCTTCCAGCACTATGTTCATTAACCTTCCATGGTTTTAAAGCTTTCCTACCAATATTAAAAAGTATCTCAGATAAGGCCAGCCCCAAATAAAAATAAAAAGATAAATAAAATAAATAATAAAAAAATAAATCATCTCTAAATTTTAGCACTTGTGTGTGAGAGACCTTATCAGAAACCCAGCAAATATTGTAATACGACACAGTTTATGATTAAGAGAGATGACTTTTAAAGCCAGAATTTTAATTCAACCATGTGATTACCAATGCATAGACAGCTGTATTCGAGCTGTCCTGATCCAGGAATGGCCATATCTGTCTTACCAACCAAAGCTGGTATGGATGAGCCTATGGCCAGTGGCGAAGCTGCATGCTCTGCTTCTGGGGGTGGAGAGCAGGAGGGGGCATGGATGGCACCCCCCCGGGAGTGTGACGCGCCACCCGGGGGTGTGGTATGCCACCCGCGAGGGTTTGGTGCGCCAGCCCGCAGGGGCATGGCCCGCGTTCTGGGGGTGTGATGCGCCACTTGTGGGGGCGTGGTGCCCGGTGCATGCGGGGGTGCGTGGCGTGTGTCCGGGGAGGGGGCGTTGCAATGGCACCCTACCAGAATAGTGGTGCCGGGGGCGGTCCGCTCCCTCCGCACTCCCGTTCCTCCACTAGCGCCTATGGCCATAATATAATTGGTCACGGATACCTTCAAGTAATGTAAATAAATTAAATTATTGACAGCCTTGGGATGTATAGTCTCCTCACATTTACTTCCAACAGCCAAACTGCTGAGAGAATTGGAGGCAGCAAAATTAAGATCAAACTAGATGCGGATGGTATAATGATTAGCTGTCAAAACCCTGTGAAATCGTTGGGGGAACTGTCTGAGGTTATTCAGCAAATTGGTGCAGTATCTGGATATAAAATTAATAGAAACAAATTAGAATTAATTGGTCTGCACTTTGGTGGAATAGCCAAGCTGGATTTTTTTTTTTTTTAGCTAAACATAGGTTAAAATGTTCTGAAAAGCAGTTAAGTGTCTCATAATATATTTATCAGAGGACCTGAAGTTATTGTTTGTGAATAATTGTGAACTGGTTATAAAGAATACATAAAGGAGGTTACAGATAATGGGAAACTATTCAAATGATCACGGTTTGGCATGATTGTCTCAGTTAAAGTGTACCTAATTCCATAATGGTTATTTTTATTTAAAATAATTCTATTATTTTTTTTAATGTAATCTGTTTTTCAGTAGCTGATATATAATTATAAATGTTTTTATTTCAGAGGAGAGAAAATTACAACAAAAACATAAATGTCAATAATATATATAACCATAAAAATCAAATCCTATATAAATACAAAAACTCGCTGAACCCCCCAAGTTAAACCACTGGTTTAAAAACTGAGAAGCCTAGACCACATGAGTTAGGTAAAAGGCCTGGGTGATCAGAAAATCTCTTTGAAGCTGGGGGAGGGACGCAGTGGCGGAGCTTCATGCTCTGGCACCGGGGGGGGGGGCAGAGAGCAGGCGGGGGCGGGGCTGGCACCTGCAGGGGCATGGCGCCCAGCGTGGGCAGTGGGGCAGCCGCAATGGCACCCCACCAGGATCGCGCTGCTGGAACAGGGCGGTGCGCTCCCCCTGCACTCCTCTTCCTATGCCAGTAGAGGGACGATGGTGGATCGATCGCCTGTCATTGGCTGCCTGCGATGTTAAATGCCACATAATATTTTTCTTAATGTAGCTTATAATTAATTGTTTCTGCTTGATTGCTTCATGTTTTTCTTGTGTGTCAGGACTTGATAATCTTTAGTGACGACGAGCCCTCAACTACTGATGTGCAACCAACATTTCCAACTAAGGTCCCTGTAGAGGAATTGGCAACAGATACAAAGATAACGGCCGGGAACTCCTGGAATGCGAGTAAGTAGAAAACAACAAGTAGAAGGCAAGTAGGTTAAAAGCAAAGGCAGAATTTGCATTCAATTGCACCTTCAGAAGGAAGTAGCAGCTGGGAGGAAAGGCAGCTTTCATCAGGAAGATGGTGTAGGAATGGAAAGGGATTAAAAAACCCAAAACCCTCCAATCCAGATTGGGGGGCCCTACAGTTGCTTCTTCTAAAGAAAGAGATGTGACCAGTTTACAATGTGTTATTTTTAAAATAGTCTCAATTCTAGTCACAAAAATTCTTAAACCATTGTAGACTTCTTTCCAGGGCTGGCCCAATGCATTCTGGCACCTGAGACAAACCACAAAATGGTGTCTTCACCCACTCCCACCAGCGAAGGAGGAGTGAGAGAAGATCTACATTGAGAACAAAGGGGGGAATCAAATCAACCTTACCCAATGGTTGAAGTGGGAATCAAAGGCTGGTGTGTGTGGGGCAGGGGGGTAGACACCTAATCTGATTCATGCTAGGTGGATGCAGAGCCCAGGAGATCCCAGAGGGCGGCCCTCACTATTTCCTCTCTGGGGTAGAAGACCAGCAGCACCTCCTATTCACCAAAAGGCCACTGTATGGGTGGCATGTGGGGGGCTACCAAGCTGGTGGCAGATTTGGGCTCCAAGCATGGGCGTGGCCGGGGGGGCAGCTGCACCCCCCGATCACGTAAAACAATAGAAATACTTAACTAACCAATCATGTCAGTTCTGCCACCCCAACAAAAGTCCTCCCCCCCCCAAAGTCTTGACCCCACTAACAAAAACCCTGGCTACACCCATGGCTTCAAGGAGCACATTGCTACAATGATGGCAGCAGCAACTGCATTCTTGGGAGCTGAGTTCTGCTGCCCCTGTGGATTCTGCTGCCTGAGGCTGTCACATCCCTTTGCCTCAAGGCCCAGTACTAGAACGTCAGATGAACTAAGTACATGGGTTGGCGGCTGGTTCATGACTGGCAAAATAAAGTATTTTACAGAACATAAATTAACAATAGAATTTACTGCCATGACATGTTGTGACTAACACAGTTTAGTGCATTCTCTATAACCTCACAAACCGTTGCCATAGAGACAAACAATGTCATACAAGAACACAGAAAGGGTCTCAGGTGGTAGATATTATTGATAGAAAAGTAAGCAGTGGGAGCTGGTGGACTCAAGAAACCAGGATTCTATTTTCATGCTGGGCCTTGTCTCCTTGGTGGGGTGCGACTGTGCTGTGGAAGATCTCACAGATTAGAAGCTGAAATGATTTTCATTATTGTGTTCCATAACATACCTATTTCTGCTTTTAAAACTATGTAGGTGGGAGAATGCGCGCGCGCGCGCGCACACACACACACACACAGTGTGAAAGTATCCTACAGTAACACTGAAGTGTCTTAAGTGCTCTTTTTCTGTATTTTGCCAGAAAATAATAATCCCTTGCCATGTTGTAGACTGAAATAAAGTTGGGATATTTGGAAGAACAGAGCCACTCAAAATTAAGTTAATTTCAATTTAAGAATTAATTATTAAAATAATAATAATAATAGTGAAATACAGTGGTACCTTGGTTTGCAACCGTTTTGGATTACTACCGTTTTGGATTACAACCACGTCAAACCTGGAAGTGCGTGTCCCATTTTTTTGGATCACAACCCATTTTTTTTTATTACAACCCTTTTTTTTTTGGGGGGGGGAGGCACCATTGGCGAAAGTGCGCCTTGGGTTACAACCTGTTTTGGTTTACAACCAAAGGTACCACTGTATTCCATTTTCATCAAAGCTAACTTAGGGGTTGGGATTCACTTTGAAGAATAGACTTCCTAAAGACAAATTTCAGCATAACCCCTAATGATAACAAATTGAACATGGGTTACATCCAAATCTGTCAAATCTCAATTAATTTGTTTTGCTGAGAACGTACTCTTGCCTTCTCTTAATGCTAGTGGTACAGTTTTATGTTATTAAAATGCCTTGGATTTAAGTACTTCCCTGGCTTTTCATATCTTACGTGGCTTCTTTCCACAAATAATGTGCACAAGTCAGATAATACTAATAGTTTATGACATTTGATTTTTCCAAAGAGGGTCATCAGCTTTCTCTCTAGAGACTTTCAGATTCATTATGTTTCAAACTGTGAAAACATCCTTGATTTTGTCAGCAGGAATACCGGTATCTTTTTGAAAGGTTAAGTAGACTGACAAAGATAGTAGAACAGAGGGATAAAGAGTAGAGTAAGTGCAGACTGTAGTAAGCACAAACCACAATCCACCTGTTGATTTTTTTAAACCATGAAATGAACAATATTTTGTTCTCATGTCAGTCTGAAGTCCTTGCCACTAGTAATTTCTGAGAAGTTGCTTATTTATTGTAAGAGTACAAATAGGGTGAGGTGGATGGGAATTGTAGTCTAACAACATCTGGGGAGTTAAGGTTGAGTAATTTGTTTTATTTTTAGAAATAAAAGACTCAGACTGCATGGTTTACACAAGCCCAATTTTGTGTTTCTATACAAATAATTTAGAAACATTTCCTACTTTGGAATATAAGTTTTATTGTCTGTGTTTTCTTACTGCTGTATGGAAAAGCACATGAATTTTACCTCTGAAGAATTTGTAAGTAAAACATGTGGTTTCTCTTTTTATGCTAAGGGAAGAGGAAAACTTGGCAGCAACTTAGAAGGGAATGAGGTCAAACCTATATTTCCACATTTTACTTTGCTGCATATTTTGTGATTTTAAATCTTTGCTAGGGTTCTCTCACCAAAGAGTACTTGCCACATAGGGAAATAGGGATGCGCATAATTCTATAAACTAATCAACAGCTAATCTGTGCAGGAAAGTGGGATGGATTAGGACAGCAGAGAATTCCAGCAAGTTACACAGACATAGTAATTCTTGACTCGTTCTCCTTTTCTCCCCCACTCAGAAAATTAGCTTTTCATTTTGCACACATGAAATTAGGATAGTGTCTTTACTTTCACCTGGGAGTCTTCAGGAAAGTCAGAGGAGCTGATGAGTGTGGATTTCAGTACCGAACACTGAGAAACTCCCCGCTGCTTGTCATGTTGAGGCAGAATGCCTCAGTGAAGACTGAATATGAGGTTTTCACTGAAAGGTATAGAAGCCAACTCCTAGGGCCCCATAAAATATATGAGGGGGCCAGGCTCCCCCCAAAGTTGATGGGCATTGCTATTCAAATAGTGTGCATGCATTTTCCTCCTTATCTCAGAGTCAGGAATCTGGTGGGGAATGACCAGGTTTCCTTTTGACGCAAGTCTTTTACTGGCTCCCTTGTTTGCCTCCCAGATGAAACGCTTGGCTTGAAGCATTCTCCTGAACTTGATGTTTGGGTGGGAGGTCAGGTTTATGGATCTTTAATGTCAGGCACTTCCAGCTCTTGGTCCTCCCCTCCCTGCTGTGCTTGCATATAGCCTAGTTCCTTATCACTCTTGATCATTCATTTGCCTTACTGAAATTTGTACAGTATAATAGGCAATTGAATAAAATTGGTATGGAGATTCCTAGGAAGAAAACTACTTCTAGATGATTAGCATTTAAATAGGACACATAGCCATTAAGGGCTGTATTATAGTCACTAAATCAGCATTCAGCTTGAGCAAGACAAATTTGAATACAATATTATTATAGCTCATAATTACAGATATTTAAGTGCAGTAACATAGATTAGCTACATGAAACCAGGCTTGAAATAACAAGGTTTCATCAGGTCATATTCAAGTCATAGTATAGTTTTATGGCTGATATTTGAAAGAGGGATGGACATTTCCTTATTTGAATTCCCTATTTCAAATAAGGAAATGTCCATCCCTCTTTCAAACATTTGAAATAGGGATGGACATTTCTTCTTTTTTTTTATAAATATTTATTAGGATTTTACAATAAACATAGGTTTAAAAAATTAAGAAAATTAAACCGAAGATTACACATAAACAGAAAAAGAAAAGAGATAACAAGAATAATACCAGAAAAACAAGGACCTAAAAAATAAAAAGGAAAATACAAAAAACAAATGGCTAAAAAAGAAAAAGAGAGAAGAAGGAAAAAAAAATTTAAAAGAGAAAAAATCCATTTTTCAATATCTTTAGGCTCATTTACTTATTTCCTTGACCTCCTCACACCTCCCCTTTTTGTATTCCCGTTTACAAAATCCTTTCAGCAAATCCTTACCCTCTTTCATTTATCTTTACTCTATATCTTAACCTATTATAACTATATATTTTCATCCATATAACAATCTATATTTGCATATTCTTATTAACCTTATTACCAAAACCACTTATTTCCATTCCAACATCATTTTAACATTCATTAATTTTACAGTATTTCTGCAAATAGTCTTTAAATTTCTTCCAATCTTCTTCCACCGACTCTTCTCCCTGGTCTCGGATTCTGCCAGTCATTTCTGCCAATTCCATATAGTCCATCACCTTCATCTGCCACTCTTCCAGGGTGGGTAAATCTTGTGTCTTCCAATACTTTGCAATAAGTATTCTTGCTGCTGTTGTTGCATACATAAAGAAAGTTCTATCCTTCTTTGGCACCAATTGGCCGACTATGCCCAGGAGAAAGGCCTCTGGTTTCTTCAAGAAAGTGTATTTAAATACCTTTTTTAATTCATTATAAATCATCTCCCAGAAAGCCTTAATCCTTGGGCACGTCCACCAAAGGTGAAAGAATGTTCCTTCAGTTTCTTTACATTTCCAACATTTATTGTCGGGCAAGTGATAGATTTTTCAAAGCTTGACTGGGGTCATGTGCCACCTGTATATCATTTTCATAATATTCTCTCTTAAAGCATTACATGCCGTAAATTTTATACCTGTGGTCCACAACTGTTCCTAGTCAGCAAACATAATGTTATGTCCAACGTCCTGTGCCCATTTAATCATAGCAGATTTAACCGTCTCGTCCTGAGTGTTCCATTTTAACAGCAAGTTATACATTCTTGAAAGTATCTTTGTTTTAGGATCTAACAGTTCTGTTTCCAACTTTGATTTTTCCACCTGGAAGCCAATTTTTTAATCTAAATTATAAGCCTCTCTTATTTGATAATAATGAAGCCAGTCTCGCACTTTATCTTTTAGTTTCTCAAAACTCTGCAATTTCAATTTGTCTCCTTCTTGCTCCAAGATTTCCCAATATTTCGGCCACTTGGCCTCCATATTGAGCTTTTTCAGGGCCTTTGCCTCCATCGGTGACAACCACCTTGGAGTTTTGTTTTCAAGTAAGACTTTATATCTTGTCCAGACATTAAACAATGCTTTTCTGACAATATGGTTTTTAAATGCTTTATGTGCTTTAACCTTGTCGTACCATAAGTATGTGTCAGGGAACTGCCATCGGACGGAAGGGAGGTGAAAGGGCTCACACAGGTTGGGAGAGACGCAGCAGCTGAAGAGGAAACCAACAGGGAGGTGAAAGGGCTCACACAGGTTGGGAGAGACGCAGCAGCTGATGAGGGAACCAGCAGGGGGAGAGGAGCTGAGCTGGAGGGATGGCTCAGAGACACTTCCAGCGAAACAGTGGAGAGGTTTCAGGACCTCCTGTAAGAACACCCACTCCTCGCCGGAAACTGTCACGCAGAGATTCCAGAAGACGTGTTTCCGTTAAGGAGCTTTTATGTTGGAAGCGATTACGAAAGCAACCACTGTCGGAATCTGCTAGTGACTAGAGTAGCCATGTCTGAGGGGCTCTGTCACAGACAGAGGTTTGTGGACTTGAACAAACTCTGAGGGGATACGATTTTACGCACAAGCAGCTCATCATCCCATCACAGCATTCCGACAGTCTTTGAAAGCAGCTTGTGCAGGAGAAGGTATCATGAGCAACCCAGCCGGAACCGGAGAAGCAGGAGCTGGAGCGGGTCCAAGCCTGGAAGAAAGGTACCAGATGTTGGAGGTCCAGCTAGCGATGCAGACGGCGAGGCTTGAGGAGAGGAGGGCTCAGGATGCAGACAAAGGGGAAAGCCACCCAGTTCGCCAGAAAGGTACCAGGATTGGTGCAGAAGTTTGGGGGAGCCCAAAAACTATCATGGTTTTCGGACAGAAATGCAATATGCCCTCAATCTGCAGTTTGATGAATTCCCTGACGAGGAATCACGAGTGGCTTTCGTGATTGAGCATCTTGAAAAGGGGCGAGAGACTGGGTTAGACCCCTGATGGCAGCGAATAGTGACGTCTTAAAAGACACGATGAAGTTCTTTCGCGCCATGGATCTGATGTTTTCCAGCGATATTGAAAAGGGAGTGGTGCGCAGACAGTTAATGGGTTGCAAACAGGGGAGCCGATCTGTCCGTGAGTACTGGACTGAGTTCACCATGCTTGTTCACAGATTGGGGTGGGACTTATCGGCGGAACCCATTCAAATGCTCTTTGAAGAAGGGCTTTCTTCGGCTGTGAAAGACGAACTTTCCCGGGCGCCCAGGGCGGAGTCTATGGACCAGCTGACCAAATCAGCGCTGGCCATAGGAGCGCGCCAGGAGGCGAGAGCATTGGAGAGGCGGGAAGGGAAAGGGAACGTTGGAAGGAGTTCCGCATTCCAGACATTCCAGAGCCACCTTTCCCACCGGCAGAGCCGCTGGAAATCGGAACAGCGCGCGCGCGCAGTTTCAAAGCCCAGTGAGGGGGCAAAGAAGGAGGGAAAAGGCGCCCGGAAATGCTATCTCTGCCAACAGCCAGGTCACTTTGCCAGAGTCTGCCCCCAGAGGAAAGAATGGCAAGGGATGGTAGGGGCTGTGGATGGAAGAGAGGAAAATATACCGGAGCAAGTAAAAGCCAACGCCTGGCTGCCACTGTCAGGGCACAGCAGCCAGGCCAAAGAGCAGTGAGAGTGCCCACGCCAGAACCTCCTAAACCCGCCCTAGTGATAGAAGTGACGCTAGAGCTGCCAAACGGACACCCTCTAAAGATAAAGGCGCTGTTGGACTCAGGCAGCTCCTGCAATTTCATGAGCAAAGAGTTTGCAGCTGAACACCAGATACAGACAATCCCTTTAAGCAGCCCCTTGCAGGTGACCACGATCGATGGCAGGGAGCTGTTGGGTGGAGAAGTCAGCTTGCAGACCGTCCCAATGATAATGAAGGTAGCAAGGCACACCGAACTGATAGCTTTTAATGTGGCCACCTTGGGAGGAGCTCCCATTATATTGGGGATGAGCTGGCTAGCGTTACATGATCCGCTGGTGGGCTGGCATCAGAGAGTGGTTTCTTTTGGTTCAGCACATTGCTTAGAACACTGCAAAGAGGGAAAGGGTTTGGCAGGGGTCCAAGCCACCCTAGCAGGGACTGAAGTAACAGAGAACGTGAAGGTACCACGACAATATGCAGATCTCCGTGACGTCTTCAGCGAAAGGGAAGCTGACCAACTACCCCCGCATAGACCCTTTGACTGTCAAATCAACTTACTCCCTGGAGCACAGCTCCCTGTAGGCAAGCTGTACGCCATGTCAGACAGAGAGATGCAGGAGTTAAGAGAGTTCATTGACAAGAACCTGAAGAGAGGGTTCATCAGAGAGTCCAGGGCGGTGGGGGCAGCCCAGTGTTTTTGTGGATAAGAAAAACACGAACAAGCCGAGGCTGGTGTGTGACTTCAGGGCCTTAAATGCAGTGTCAGAACCAGTAGCCTTCCCTATGCCCAGGATTGACGACATTTTGACAAGGGTGCAGAAGGGAAAGATTTTTACAAAGCTGGACCTAAGGGGGGCGTACAACCTGGTACGAATAAGGAAGGGGGATGAATGGAAAACCACTATGTTCACCCCTTTAGGGGCATTTGAATATTTGGTTATGCCCTTCGGCCTACAAGGAGGCTCCGCAACATTTCAATCGTTTATGAACCACGTCCTGGGGCCTTTGCTTTACAAGAATTGTGTGGCCTTTTAGACGACGTGTTGGTGTATTCTGAGAATGAGGAGCAGCATGTGAGAGACGTCAGAGAAGTGTTGAGCAGGCTGCAAGCCAACCAGCTGTGGGTGAAACTGGAGAAGTGTCAGTTTCATACCAAGGAGGTGGAATTCCTGGGGTATCGCCTGTCAGACAAGGGATTGGCCATGGATCCCGGCAAGGTCCAGGCTGTGCTGGAATGGAAAACACCCAAAACAAAGAAGGATGTGCAGAGGTTCCTAGGATTTGGGAACTTCTATCGTAAGTTCATCCGAAACTTTGCCCACCTGACGGCGCCCATTACGGACTGTCTCAGCAGTAAGAAGAAGTTCGTGTGGACTGAGGAGGCGGAGCGAGCATTTGAGGAACTAAAAGGGCCTTCGCCTCGGAACAACAACTCCTGCATGTGGATTTACAAAAACCGATGAGAGTGGAAACTGACGCATCAGACAGAGCGATTGGGGCGGTGCTTCTGCAGCCAGGCAAGAAGGGGTCAGAGTGGAGACCGTGTGCCTTTTGTCGCGAAAGCTGAACAAATCCGAGAGGAACTACACGGTGTATGACCGAGAACTACTAGCCATTCATGAGGCGTTCCGGAGATGGAGGCACCTGCTAATTGGCGCACAACATAAGGTGCAAGTGTGCACTGACCACAAGAACCTAGAGTATTGGAGGACGGCACGAGTGCTCAACCAACGGCAAGTGAGATGGGCCCAGGAGTTCTCCAAATTTAACTTTGAGATTAGTTACGTGCCAGGCCCAGAGAACATTAGGGCGGACGCTCTCTCACGCAAACCTGAATATTTGGAGGAGGGGGCACCCGAAGAGAGACATGTCATTCCAGAAGACCGCTGGGTGTGTGGGGCGGCATTGGTGGGACAAAGAGAACTGGTAGAGGAAACAGAGAATGATGAATACGCCCAGAATAAGCTCAGAGGTCTTAGGGGTGATGGAGAGGAACCAGGGGTTTCGAGGAAAGAAATGGAGCTTTGTATTACAAAGGGGCACTGTATATCCCTGAAGGAGAGTTAAGGGGAGGGTACTCAAGCAGTTGCACGACAGCCCTACGGCGGGGCATTTTGGACAACACAAAACCATGTGGTTGGTCACCAGGGAATTTTGGTGGCCTAAGGTGAGGGAAGATGTACGTGAGTATGTAAGAGGGTGCGAGCAATGCCAGCGAGCCAAAGGGGAAAGGCGGGCGCCGGCGGGGCTATTAGAACCCTTACCAACCCCAGAACGACCTTGGGAGGCAGTGTCGATAGATTTTATGACTGATCTGCCGAAGTCCAAAGGGAAAACAGCCATCATGGTGGTGGTAGACCTACTAACAAAGATGTGCCACTTTGTAGCTTGCTCGCATGCAGTCACGGCGGAAGAGACAGCGAAGTTATTTGTAGAAAACATTTTTAGGTTGCACGGGGTGCCATTGAGGGTGGTCTCAGACCGAGGAAAACAATTTACTTCCAGGTTCTGGAGGAAGCTCATGAGCTTACTGCAGGTGGAGGTCAATTTTTCGACTGCCCGGCACCCTGAAACCAACGGGCAGGCGGAAAGAGCAAACGGTGTCCTCCAGCAATACCTGAGGTGTTATGTCAATGACAGAGAGAATGACTGGGTAGAAAAGTTGGCGCTGGCGGAATTTGCCTACAACAATGCCGAGAATGTGTCCACAGGGATGAGCCCCTTCTTGGCTAATTATGGGTGTCATCCCAGGGCTTTCCCAGGGGAGAGGGGGAGAGATGGAGCGTCCCGGCAGCCGAGCATTTTGTGGAAGAAATTGAAGGAATCCATCGTCAGCTCCAGCGCCAACTTAGAAAGGGCGAAGGAAGAATACAAGAGGCAGGCAGACAAGAACCGAAGGGAAGGTGAAACCATAAGGGTGGGAGATAGGGTGTGGCTGTCAACCCAAGGGTTGCCGTTCAAAGGAGGTTGTAAGAAATTAAGACCCAGGAGGTTGGGTCCCTTTGAGGTCATTCAACAGGTCAACCCAGTGGCTTTCAGGCTCCGGTTACCCAACCACATGAAACTGCACCCAGTATTTCACAGGTCGTTACTGTCACCGTACGAAGGGGGACGAGAAGGGCTGGCCACTCGGGGACCGGTCGTAGAAGAAAGAGAATGCAGCAGCCATGTGGCAGAAATCCTCGACGCCAGGTGGAAGGGGGATCAGGTGGAGTATTTGGTAGCGTGGGAAGGAGAACCGGAGTCAGAAAACACTTGGGTAATGGCTGAAGATATCAATGACGAGGTATTGATAGAAACGTTCCATCAAAGGTTCCCAAGGAAACCTCAGCCTGTGGAGAGGTTCCGGAGGGAATACTTTGGGACCACTGATGAAGGGGAGGAGTTGGAAGGATTCCCGGACTCGGAAGGGGAAGGGGAGATGGACTCTGAGGAGGAGGTGTACTCCGAGCCCAGGAACCGCCACAGGTCCAGAGAAGTGTTCGAGTCATCGGAAGATGAAGGAAGTTCATTCCGGGTTTTGCCTCCTCACCGCCCGTAGAGGAGGGGGCGAGAGGGGTGAAGGGGGCCCTGGAGGGGAGGTGGATGTCAGGGAACTGCCATCGGACGGAAGGGAGGTGAAAGGGCTCACACAGGTTGGGAGAGACGCAGCAGCTGAAGAGGAAACCAACAGGGAGGTGAAAGGGCTCACACAGGTTGGGAGAGACGCAGCAGCTGATGAGGGAACCAGCAGGGGAGAGGAGCTGAGCTGGAGGGATGGCTCAGAGACACTTCCAGCGAAAACAGTGGAGAGGTTTCAGGACCTCCTGTAAGAACACCCACTCCTCGCCAGAAACTGTCACGCAGAGATTCCAGAAGACGTGTTTCCGTTAAGGAGCTTTTATGTTGGAAGCGATTACGAAAGCAACCACTGTCGGAATCTGCTAGTGACTAGAGTAGCCATGTCTGAGGGGCTCTGTCACAGACAGAGGTTTGTGGACTTGAACAAACTCTGAGGGGATACGATTTTACGCACAAGCAGCTCATCATCCCATCACAGTATGCATGCCACCCAAAAACATTATTGAAACCTTCTAGATCCAAAATGTCTGTGTTCTCAAGAAGCAGCCAATCTTTCAACCAGCAGAATGCTGCTGATTCATAATAAAGTTTAAAGTCTGGCAGGGCAAATCCCCCTCATTCCTTTGCATCAGTTAATATTTTAAGTTTTATTCTGGGCTTATTGCCCTGCCAGACAAATCTAGAAATATCTCTCTGCCACCTCTTGAAACAATCCATTTTGTCCAGAATTTGTAGTGATTGAAACAAAAACAGCATTCTTGGCAATACATTCATCTTTATAGCAGCAATTCGACCCAACAAGGAAAGCTTCAAATTTGACCATATTTCTAAATCCTTTTTCACTTCCGACCAACATTTTTCATAATTGTCTTTAAATAAGTTCCCATTTTTAGCTGTCATATTAATCCCCAAGTATTTCACCTTCTTAACCACTGTTAAACCTGTCTCATTCTGAAACCTCTCTTTCTCAATCGGTGTTAAGTTCTTCTCAAGGACTTTAGTTTTTAACTTGTTCAACTTAAATCCTGCCACATAACCAAATTCTTGGATCAGTTCTAATACTCTTTTAGTACTAGATTTTGGCTCCTGTAAAGTCAGTACTAAATCATCTGCAAAAGCTTTCAATTTGTATTGTTTAGCTCCGACCTTTATACCCTTGATCAGATGGTCCCTTCTAATCATATTTAACAAGACCTCCAGGACCGAAATAAAAAGCAATGGGGAAATTGGGCAACCTTGTCGTGTCCCTTTCTCTATCTTGAATTCCTCTGTCACACATTGTTAATTATTAGTTTAGCCTTTTGTTCTGAATAAATTGCACTTATACCATTTTCAAACCCTTGACCGACCCCCATCCCCTGAAGATTTTTCTTCATAAAGCTCCAAGAAATATTATCAAAGGCTTTCTCGGCATCTACAAAAATTAAAACTGCTTTGGTGTTAATGTCCACTTGCAACTTTTCCAAAATGTTAATTATATTCCTCGTGTTATCAGACAAATGTCTGCCTGGGAGAAAGCCAGCTTGGTCCTTCTGTATCTCTTCCACTAATACTTTTTTTAGCCTTTTGGCCAAAATGTCAGCAAATATTTTGTAATCCACATTTAACAGGGATATGGGTCGGTAGTTCTTAAGTTGTGTCTTTTCAGACTCAGTTTTCGGTATAAGTGTGATATATGCTTCTTTCCACGACTCTGGTTCTTTTTTCCCCTCCAAAATTTCATTGCAAACCTCCTTTAGTGGTTGAATTATCCAATCCTTCAAAGTTCTATAGTATTTTGAGGTTAAACCGTCCGGCCCTGGAGATTTTCCCAACTGCATGTTCTGAATGGCACCTTCTACCTCCTGTTCTGTAATTTTATAGTTCAGCATTATCTTATTTTCTTGAGAGATTTTTTGTAATCCATTTGTTTTCAAAAATTGGTCTATATCAAACACTTTCTGAGGCCCTTGTGTATATAACTGTTTAAAATACATCTGGAAACATTTTCTAATTTCCACTGGATTCTGGATGTTCTTTCCATCCACTTCCAAATTAGCAATGGTATTAAGCTTTTGGCTTTTTTTCATCTGCCAAGCTAGCAGTTTCCCACATTTATTAGCCGATTCAAAAGTCCTTTGTCTCATTTGTTTAATTTTCCATCCGATTTCCTGATTCATCATCTTCATATATTGCACTTGATGTAACTTTATTTCTCTCAGAATCCCTTGTGAATTTGGCTTCACTCTCAGTTTCTTCTCGCCCTCTTTTATTTTTTCCAAATTTTTTTCTTTTTTCTCATTTTGAGCTCTCTTCTTTAATGAATTCTGTTGAATCAGAAACCCCCTCATAACTGCTTTACTTGCGTCCCAGATTACTCTTTTTTCCACGGTAGTATTCAAATTTATCTCAAAATAGTCTCTCAGAGTTTTTTGGGCCTTCTTAATAACCTCTTGATCTCTAAACAAGGTGTCATTCATCCTCCATCTGAAGGAACCGGTTGGTGTTAATTTCATCTCCATTTTTACGGCATTATGGTCGGAGCACGTCTTAGGGCAGATCTCTACTTTTCGAGTCTTAGGTGCCAGTCCTCTAGTTATCCAGATTTGGTCAATTCTTGTCCACGTCTTTTTGGCTTCAGAAAAGAAGGTTCCCTCTCTACCCAAGGGATTCCTAGTTCTCCAAATGTCAATCAAATCCATATTGTCAGTCAATTCAAAAAAAGTTTTTGGTAGTCTACCATCTTTAGTAACTACCTGTCTCTGCGACTTATCCATGTTTGTGGATACCACTCCATTCATATCTCCCATCAAAATAATGTTGTAGTCCATATAGTCCAGCAAAATCTCATGCAACTTCTTATAAAATTCAGATTTCCCCTCATTCGGTGAATATACTCCTACTATCAGAAATTTTTCTCCTTGTGTTTGAATTTCAATTGCTACAAATCTTCCTTGGCCATCTTTAAAAACAAATTTCGGTGATAGGCTCTCTTTTGCATAAATAACTAGTCCTCGCTTTTTAACCTTGTCCGATGAAATAAACTCTTGGCCCAGTCTCTTATTAATCAATATTTTCCTGTGTAGCCTTATCACATGTGTTTCCTGTAAGCAAATCAAGTCCAATTGTTCCTTTTTCAATAAATAAAAGACTTTCTTCCTTTTCTCCGGGGAATTGAGTCCGTGAATATTCCAGCTTAATAGTTGCAGAGACATGATGTATTTAATTTATTTTTCCTCCAACTTCTCCCAATAAATCCTCTTGTTCTGACGGTGGTATCACTTTCTCTAACTTGTCCAATCCCGAAGGTGGTGATACTTTGTCTAATGTTCCTGGTCTTAGGGCTCTTGGCTCTTCTTCCACTCCTTTTTGCAGGTCTTCTTCGTGATCTCTCAGAAATTTTTCTTTATCCTCCACTGATCTTATTTTAAACTTTTTACCTTTAAAGGTAAAAGAAAGGCCTTGGGGGAATTCCCACCTAAAGATGGTTCTATTACCTTTCAACAGGGCCACCAAATCTCCGTAGTTAGACCTAAGGTCCAAAAGATGTTTCGGAATATCCTTAAATATCTCCACTCTTGATTCATGTATTTTTAAAGTATTCTGGGAGTGCAGACTCAATATTTTATCTCTCTCCTCTTTTGATCGAAGGGTGATCAAACAGTCTCTCACCCTGTTCTTTCTCCCTCCTCTTCCAAGTCTGAAAGCATTTACTATCTTAAAGTCTTGCTTATCATCCAGTTTCCAAAAGTCTGCAAATTCCTGTGTTAGAAAATCACTTAGGCTGTCTTTCTCAAGTTCAGGTACCGCCCTAATCCTCATATTGGTCTGCTTTTCCTTCAATTCAATCATAGACAAAAGTGACTGATGGGCCCCAAGCTGTGACTGGTGGTCTCCAAGCTGTTTACATATCGGTATTATCTTTTCCTCTGCAGCCACTGCTTTTCTTTTGCTTCCTCAGCTGTCTTTTGATTTAATGCAGATTCTTGCAGCAATTTTTCAATAGATTCTGTATTTGAGTTTACCTTCTGCCCCAAATTGTTAATGCTTATAGTGTTCTGGTCAATTTTATTTGTCGCTTCAGTAACTTGTTTACTTAATTTATCTAAAGTTTCATAAATTTTACTTAAAACTGAAGTAAATCCTTCTTCCGATGTCATACCTTTTACCCCGCTTGTGCCGGGTCTTCCCCTTGTGGTACAGGAGGGCCAGATGCAGATGCTCTGCGCTGTTGCAATGCTCCACTGGTCTGTTGGAGTCTAACCTTGCCCGATCTTGTTGTCTTTTCCTCCATAACACTTTGTCTGCGAGTCTGCGAGTCAAGGTCACTCCCACGATCAGGCTTGTTTTGCAGTGGAAAATTCCCTGGCTGGTTAGAAATGGAAAATTCCCCAACCAATTGTAACAATTTCAGTGAGCGTCTAGGGGGACACAGTAACAGTCAGTAATAATAACAGTCAGTATCTTCCCAACTCTTCAAAAGTCCCCCTACAGCAAAGTTAATAACAGTTTCAAGTCCAAAGTATCTCACATGCAGAGTTGGCTGTCAAAGAATTACACTGTCCATAAATAGTGCGGCTCTCAAAACGACAGTTCTATTAGTCTTGGCAATCCGTTCCCAAGGATTGAGTGGTGGTCTTATATCCCTTTTTTGTCCTTCTTTTCCTTCTCCTTTTTATTTTTTAACAGGCAGAAAATACTTTCCCTTCTTCCCTCCCCTCTCAATTCAGGGAGGGAGTTCTTTTTATTTGACGTTTGGGTTTGAATCTTTTAGCGCACCTCTCCCGGTCTTAGCTTAAACAGTCTTTGCTTTGATCTATATACAAAACGGAAGGTGGACTTCCTGTTTGCACCTTGCCGCTTCGGTACCAAATTAAACCTTCTTTTTCCTTTAGCATCCAATCTTAAAGCTTGACCTACTCACGGGTTGTTGTTTAATAGCCGAATTGTTACAGGAAAAGAGGTCAGCGCTCTCCGGCAACAGCTGCGCGGCTTCACTCCACGGAAGTAGCGATCGACTCTCAGCGCCGCGTCAAACCCCCGTTTCGCTCCGGAGCCCCTCGCAGGGTTCCCTTGCAAATTGGGGGAGCGCTGAAGGTGCCCGCCGAGTCCCACGGTCACAGGCTTCACCCGCCTGTGGTTTTCGAGGGGGTTCCCGCTTCGCCGTAGCGGCAAGACCCGATTTCCGAGGAGCTATTCCCTCAATACTAGAGGGAATCCGCCATTGCCGATGGCGCCGCCTCCGGAAGTCCTGAAATAGGGATGGACATTTCCAGAGGGTGATGCTTGGGGAGTGTTCTTTGGCCCCGTGGAGCCTTCAGTGTGGGATTCCTTAGGGTTCAGTTGTATCCCCTATGCTATTTAACATCTACATGAAACCACTGAGTCAGATTATCCAGAGGTTTGGAGTACTGGTATGTTGTCAGCAATATGCTGATGACACACAGCTCTACTTCTCCTTTACATCTGCAGGTGTGGCAGTGTATGTGCTGTTATGTATTTTGTGGGTTTTTTAAAAAAACTTTTGATATTTTAATGTTGTGAACTGTTGAGATCTATGGATAGAGGGTGTTATACAAACTTAATAAATAATAATAAAGAAAAATTAATAGCACACTATCTAGACATTATACTCCCCCCCCTTACATTCCCTCTATATATTTAATGTACTTGCCCTATTAGGAGTTTTAACAGTACTGGATACCCTGCTGTTTTATTGATGTTTTATCTGGATTTTATCTGCTGGTCTTACAGCTTTTATCTGCTGCTTGTATGCTCTTTTATACTGTAGTTTTCTGTTGTTATATTTCTGCTTTTTAGCTGTATTCACCTTGAAGCCATTTGGCAATCATGTAAGATATAATATACTAATGAAACTATATAAAGGTAAAGGTACCCCTGCCCGTACGGGCCAGTCTTGACAGACTCTAGGGTTGTGTGCTCATCTCACTCTAGAGGCCAGGAGCCAGCGCTGTCCACAGACACTTCTGGGTCACGTGGCCAGCGTGATGAAGCTGCTCTGGCGAACCGGCACCAGAGCAGCACACGGAAACACCGTTTACCTTCCCGCTATAAAGCGGTACCTATTTATCTACTTGCACTTAAGGGTGCTTTCGAACTGCTAGGTGGGCAGGAGCTGGGACTGAACGACGGGAGCTCACCCCACCGCGGGGATTCGAACCGCCGACCATGCGATCGGCAAGTCCTAGGCGCTGAGGTTTTACCCACAGCGCCACCCGCGTCCCGTACAATGAAACTATATACTTCCATTCAACAAATAATGTTATTTTTTGTGACATAACTTTTGTTACCTTTCAGGTACTTATTTGAATCCCTCAGAAAGAAATCCTTTAACTTTTCCAAAATGGGATTCAGGCAGGAAATCAAAGAGTTCTATTATTTCCAAAGCTATGCTTAAATCTCCTCCGAAGACACAGTCCAGTGTATACAGCCACAAAGTTGCAGAAACTTTGCTTGATCTTTGGTCATTGGGCCCAGAAGAGTTTATCACTACCAACAGACAGAACACCAAACCAGATTTTGTTTGCTGTCAGACTGAAGCCTCTGTTGAAACCCTCTACCAATCTCCAACTTTTCAAACATTTGATTCTTTGGGAAACAGCATAATGAAAACCACAACTCCAGCTTCTTCTCAGCAACTATTTGAACCTAGTGAATCTAGCCTGAAAAATTTCTGCTTCTTGAGGGCAAGCACAGTACAGCCAGCCAGCTTAGGCAGCCAACCAACCCCAAGGCCAGGTGAGCTTGTGGCTTCCATGTCCATCATAGAAACATGCCTGTTGCTTCACCATCCAAATTCTTTCTCTATGGCTTTTGCAAAACTGTAATATTTTTGTGAATAATACCCAGGGGGTTGGGTTCCATTGATTCTAGATGTTAAGACACTGTTAGTGAACGTCTGTGATGCTAGTAATTGCTTTTATAGCATTCTCTTTACACAGCAGATAAAACTCTTATTATATTTAAAAGGGACATCAAGTGGACATTATTTTGAAGTGGTCATGGCTGCATACATATTACTGTCTAATCCAGGCCCAGTGTGCTACCCCGAAGGCCAGCCTAATATATTTTGGCACCTGAGGTGCACCACAAAATTGCACTCTCCCACCCCCCCCCCCCCCCCCCGGAAGAAGGGATGAGTGAAGATTTACATTGAGAACAACAGGGGGATAAAGATCTAGATTGGGAGCAAGAGGAGGTGGGGAATCAAACCAACCTTACCTGATGGTTGAAGTGGGAATCAAAGGCTGTCACAATAGAAGGGGGAAGGGGCTCACTGTGAATCACGCCAGGTGGGTGCAGAGCTCAGGAAACCCCAGAAGGCAGACCCCACCATTTCCTCCCTAGGGCTAGGAGGAGACCAGCAAGTCCTCCTGTTTGCCAAGAGGCCACTGTAGAGGTGAGTGCTCTGGTCTCCAAGGATTGCACCGCAGGATTCCACTTCTTGGAGGTGAGATCTGCTGCCCCTGTGGATCCTGCCTCACTTTGCCTCGTGGGTAAGCCAACCCTGACTACCACCAGTGGTGTTTGAAGCTGAATACACATGCTATTAGCAACAATCTATATGTAGGCTTTAGTTTCTTGAGAAATTCGGCTGTTTGATGCCTTGGGTTGAGTACAACAGCACCCCCTCTTTGCTGTGTACAGCATTGTAAAAATGAGACTTGAAATGCAGTGGAGAAAATGACCTTGCTGCATTTTAAGTTGCTAATGTGTACAAAGCCTTAGTGGCACCTTTCTGAAGCTTCATAGTAAATATTAAATAACAGAAGCCAAGGTGAAACTTAATGAGTTTAGTGCTGTTGTAAGAACTTGTATAACTAGTCCATTCCTGCATACTGAATTCAAACAGGCCAAGGATAGCTTGCTTGCAAGATGATGGACAAATTTTGGGCCAAGCCAGACAATGCATGAAATGTGCATATGCATTTAACATGTCTTGTTTTTTACTTTGAAAACAGCAGGTACAGGGTACCCTATCAAGAATGGGGATGCAGCAAAGGGGGAACAGGACAAGATTTTCCACTTGCACTGCAATTTGAGTGAAAATCACCCCCTAAGACTACCATATTGTCTGATTTGGCCCAATAACTTTCACAGTGATCATGATATGGGGGAAGGGTTTAACATCCCTCCCTCTCTATGGGGTCATGATTTCTCCCTTCCGTTATTTTTATATAAAAACGAGGCATGTTAACTGCATGCACAATCATGCCCAAACTATTATTTATTTGAAACTAGTGGTCATCTTTTGCAATACCATTTCAATTTCCCCAGTCTTTTAACATTCTGACCTTTATACCATACAATTTTAAAAATTGTGACACGTGAACAGATTGTATCCATTTATTTTCTTTGCACGTGAGTAAAATTCTATACAGAAAATGCTACGTGTCAGTAATAGTCTGTTCAGATATTTCACAGTTACTGAAAATCCCAAAATGAAGAGTCAGAACTAAGGAATTAAAGTTTTCCAGCATTTCCCCGCAACCCTCACTCACTGAAACATTTGGGGGTTCCAGGTGTCAAGCCATGAAAAAAGCTGAACTGTTATGCACAAAGCATTTTATGTTCATGGGGAGAGCTGGCTCTACCGTTGGGAAGACGGAGGGGGGTGCGCCTTAGGTGGCAATTTTGGGGGTGGATGAGTAGCAGAGGCAAGGTATTGGATGACAGAATTGTGTGTGCCACATGACCTGCTCTGTTGCCCTCAGATACAGTGGAGTACACTGTCCCATCATCACCAGTGGCTGCATACACACCATACATTTCAAGTACTCCCCATGAATCCTGGGAATTGTAGTTCACCTCTCATAGAGCTACAATTCCTGACATTCTGACAAAGTACAGTTTTCAGGATTCTTGGGGTGGGTGGAGGGAATGTGCTTTTAAAGTACAGTGTATGCAGTCAGTGTTGAAGCAAGTTTCACCTGCTACCCCTCTTAGCTTCTTTATATGGAACAGGAAGGGGAGGCATTTTGTCCTTCACCTCAGGCAGCAATTTGTATTGGACCAGCCCTGTTCATGAGTCTTGAAAATAAAACACAAAATTACTTCTTTAGTGTGAGGGAAAGGAGATTAAAGGGATATGAGGAGGAAAGGAATGCTGAGGTTATGGGGAGAAATGAAAAGGGATTGGGGAGAGAGAGGGGCAGGGGAACACATGAGGCGGCCAGAGCATACCCAATGCCGTTGCAATGGACCTCTCTACAAACTTCACTGCATTACTGAATCTAGTCTTTCTCTTGCAAATGATCTGGCTTCCCACATCAGTCACATGGAACACCTCTTGTGTCAGTTGCCATAAGTTCCACACTATTGAGCAGACCCTCGCACTGGACACAGTACAAATGCAGTCTGGCTATGTGGAGTGTTGCCATTCAGGAGCTGTAATATTGCCTGAGGCGAAAGAATAAATGCCCTTCTCTCATTCCATGTATTGATTAGACAGGGATAAAAGGCCTGATCACTTTAAGGCATATCCATTGCCAGCATTCTGCTGTTTCAGGGGAAGTTCCTAAGACCTGTTCCTTGAACTTACATATCCAATAATGTAAACGGACAACCCCTATCTGGCTGAACAGCTGATCCAGGTAATAAATAAATAAATCTCACTATCTTAAGCTCCAGATTCCATTGTGTATTGAAAGCCATGTTTTGCTTTCAATTTGTTTGTTGTTTCTTTAAACATGGAACATTGTAAGTTAGATACTTCCATTTATTTTCAGTAAGATGCTAGCACGGTCCAGGGGGTCTTAAAAATGAATATCTACTTTTGGCAAATAATGTATAACATTATGTACTTTTCTTTCATGTACATTTCAGACTCTGCCGGCTCAATGGGAACAACATCCTCCTTTTCCACTTTCTCAATGTCATCCCCTGAGTCAGCCGTTCCAAACAACACCCCACAGCCTCATTGTTTTCCTTCCCGTGGACCTTCTTATTTGCTCACACCACCACCTGGACTGCCTTCTCTTTTCTTTAACGATCTCAAAGAAAGGATTGCAAATTCCCTTTCTCCCTGCCAAGTGCCTGATGTATTTGAAAATGCTAACATCCTAAGTCTTCTTCCAGATAATTCAAAATGTCCGGTCAAAAACATTGATAGTTGTAGGCGTAGAACTTGCCGCGCTTATTCTGAGAGTTGGGAAGACAATGTGGTGCATGATACACACCCTGTGGCTGCCGCAATTGAGTCTCCTGCTGCTGATCTGCCCGGTACACACTTCCTTTGTACGAACACTGAACAAAAAGCCATGACCCTTTTGGAAGAGATTAAAAACGCCGTTTGTGGACTTAGAGGGGACTTCTGCAGTATGGCAAAGGAGCTGCATACTATCAGTAGTGAGATGACAAATATGGTGGCTTCCATGCAAAATATGAGCAAAATCTTGGCAGCTCCCCCAGACTGCTGAAGCTGACCCTGGCACTCACAATGGCAACTTAATTAAGGAACCTTGGATCTGTTATGTATCTTGCCTTACTCATCAGCTTTACATAATTCGCTAGATCTCATAGTTTAGAGCTGAAGTAATGTTTTAATTTAAAGAGATGTTTTTATATATGTGCACACACAAATGTGTACCTGTTATTCTTGTTATGAAAAATAAATTGTTGTTTAAATCTTTGTATTTTAAATGTGGTTAATATTTTCATTATTTGAAATTGCAGCTTGATTTATTGAATATTTGAAACCAACGCATCTGAGTTAAGCACTAAAAACAAAGCATTAGCCCCAGAAATAAAGAGCAGTTAGGTAACTATCTGAAAATGCTGACCATATTTCCTCAGTACCTCTGCATACCTAAAATTCCATGCCACCCATGAAACAACATGAAAATGGAGGTCACCAATATTTGCAATAAGTGCTCAATAGATCAGTGCACACAGGACCCCTCTGGGCCAAACACAAGTTCATTAAAACTACCTGGCGGCTCTTAAGGCCACAGGACAGTTCCTGCAATGGGAAACAGTAATGGAAATGCCAATAAGAAAGCCAAACCACCTGATTACAATGAATAGTGTATATACCATCTGATAAATACCTCATGGGACAATAAGAGACTAGTGACATTTTCCCAGAAGAGTTCATGTGGTGTCATAAAGTGAACATGATACTGTTGTGAGGGGTTTGTGGTGAGGTGGTAGGCACTAATGTTTGAGTACCTTCCAATTCCTGGATCCAGCAGTGATTCACATTGCTGGAACAACCAGGCAAGTTTCTTGATAATGGCCTCTGAAGTATGGACCATTAAGGTAACAAAGGAAGTGGCTTTGTGCTTGTTAGTGAGAAAGACAAAGTCCAGAGTTAGAAATTGTGTATGTGTGTGAGCTAGGAATGAGAAGTTCCAGAGCAACAGATGGAGCAGCTTGAGCAAATGATCCAGCAGCAACTCCATCAAAAGAAGCAGCCAGCAACTGGCTGATTTCTCCTGGAGTCCAAGGCTGTGCCTATGGGAGAAGCAAGACACACTTGAGGTGTTAATGCTGTGAGCACCTCCATCATAGGCTCAGGTTGTATATATGTGTAAATAAACCATGCATCCTAAAGACACCACTCAGAGATTGGGATGGTGTGCAACAATGCCTTTGACCCTTCAGATGTCGCTGAACTACAACTCCCATCAGCCCCAGAAAACAATAACGAGGAATGATTGGAGTTGTAGTTCAGCAACATCTGGCGGGCCAAGGTTCCCTATGCCTGCCATACTAGAAAACACAGGCAGGGCTAATCACAGCCTGTCCACTGGAGAGAGGTTGGAGAGAAGACCAGGAACAGGGTGTTCTCTGTGGTAGCCAAATTGCAATTTGAATTACATTGCACCACCCCACCCCATATGTGTTGTTCTCTCTGTTGGCCTTCCAGTTGACATTTCCTTGATTTTTATTGTGCTGTGTTTTAATATTTATTTCAACTGCTGCTTCTATTTTTAATGTTGCTTTATTACTTTACTCTTATTTTAATCACTTGATTTTTTAAAGCATATTTATTATGTTGTAAATTATTGGGGTGGGCAGATCCCCTGAAAGGTAGGTAACTCCTCCCCCCATTCTATTATTTCACCTAGCGCCATTCAAAAACTTCTGCTGAGAATCTGAAACCCTGCCAGAGAACAGCATTTTAAAACTTTTCATTTAGCATTTTTCTGATGGTAACGCTATTGCTATTATTATTTACGACAATGTTAGAACTGTTTTGTTGCCTATTAAACATCAAGATGCTAGCCTGAGCTCCCAACTCTTGGATTTATATTCTATAGCACAGATTTAAAATTGCAGAAGCACCAAAACGTGTTTTTACAAGAAAGCTGCTCCAACATTAAACATGGTATAAAAGCATGCCATTTTTCATTGAGACTTGAAAGCCCAACTCCATTGACAAAATGCTCTCCAAGAAGCAATGCCACATCAGACCCCACCCCACCTGATCATCAATGGAGGATGGTGCTGCCTCGCCAGTGAGACCCAGTGTGGTGTAGTGGTTAAGAGCGATAGACTCGTAATCTGGGGAACCGGGTTCACGTCTCCGCTCCTCCACATGCATCTGCTGGGTGACCTTGGGCCAGTCACACTTCTTGAAGTCTCTCAGCCCCACTCACCTCACAGAGTGTTTGTTGTGGGGGAGGAAGGGAAAGGAGAATGTTAGCCGCTTTGAGACTAAGGTCTCCTTAAGGTAGTGATAAAGCGGGATATCAAATCCAAACTCTTCTTCCCCAAGCCTGGTCTGACCGGCGCCTTACAACCAGACCAATGGCTGTCTTGTTTTCTCTTTCCTCATCTCCATGTTGCCCTTATAGAACAGCTCAGCAGGACTATAGGTTTTTCCCATGTGGAATCAGAAAGACCAATGCATTGATTGTGATGTATGCTTTTGCAGGCAAGAGCCAACTTGATAAGATGAAAGAAATAACTTTCATCCTTAAGTTGAAATAAATTGTGTATCTGTGTGTCTGTTTCTCCCAAGAGCTTAAGAAAACAGGTCAGGGCTATAATAATTCCTGAGCACTTGTAGATATACTGCATATGGGGACAAATTGTGCATTTACTGTACTAAAAAAAAAAAAAAAAAACCTGTAAAAAGTTTTGAATGCAACTTTAGGTTTGAAAAAGGATATCCTAAGAAGGAGAACTAGGTTGGCAGGAGCAGGGACCGAGCAATGGGAGCTCACCCGTCACGGGGATTCGAACCGTCGACCTACTGATCGGCAAGTCCTAGGCTATGTGGTTTAACCCACAGCACCACCCACGTCCCAGGTGTTGAATAGTTCCGCCTTTTCTCTGTAACCCAATAGCATTTCTCCATGTTCTCCATGCAGAGGACCTACCACTTGCTTGTTCTTCCTCTTACTTCGGACATGAAAGGGAGAAGATTATTATGTCTGTCTGTCTATCTATCTATCTTGAACTCACTTGAGCATGCGTGTCAAACAACTACCACTTACGTCTTGAGGCAAACAGCTAGACTAATTGAGCTTTGAAAACAGCTCCCTAATGGTGGTTGCCAGAAGCGACCCTGGAAGTGGGGAGAATCCATCGAGAATGCTCAGCAATTTCCCTATAAAAGTAAAGCCATTATAGAAGGGGACATGTGCAGACTGTGTTATGAAGCAGAATTGTTTGCTCTACTCAATGCAGAGAAAGTAGGCTAAAGGGACAAGAGAGACTACATCCATTTCTACTTCAAAATGGCATTAGTAAATATCTCCTTTTTCTAGAAGCAGGTTGCAGGACTTATCTCTGTGAATTTATTTCAGATATTCCTTAAATACAGAGTGGCTTATAAATTCTCAAGTTGAATAAATAAAAATTGTCAAGGTTATTAGCATTCACTGCTCACATCCGCAGACTTGTTTTGCATTGCATAATCTAGTGCAAGATTTGGCTTCATGGGAACCTGAAACTTAAACTCATCCACAATGCAAGCTGGTAGACACCCAAAGGTCTAAGGAAATGTTCCAAAAGATGTTCAGGATTTATTTACATTATCACAGTGCAATGGTCATGTGTGTTGCTGGGGAGGTAGCAAGTGCTGTACGTCACATGTAAAGTGGTAATTTGATTGTTCCACCGCACATCCTGACTGCTACTCCTCACATTGCTGCACATCTCCCAAAACCACATGGTTGCTTGGTGCATCATCATCTTGTGATCGGGTTAAGATGGGGCAGATAATCACCAATTCATGAAGACCCAACACTCAACTCTAGCCCAGTTGTTCCCAGCCAGAAAATAAGTTCACTTCCATTTAGCGAACTGAACCAAAGCAAATATGGATTCTTCTTGCCATGACTCTGGTTGGTCACCGACAGACTCAAATAATTAATCAGCATTGCTTGTCTGTATGAGAATCAGTCAGGCAACACTGTTTGATTCTGACCCCAAAATGATGACAAGAGCCTTGGACACATCTAGGAATCAGCCTTCACTGAACACCTTGAAAATAATGTATTGACAACAAATGATTTATTCCTCCACAACCACAACTTACTCTTTAAAAAAATGTGATAAATATGCCAAACAGCTGGCTTTGGCATGGGCTGGGTTGTGAGTCACTTCTGTTTCAAAACCTTTCCCCTCATGTCTCATCTTTAGACTGTGGAGATAAAATGGCAGTCAGAAGCACCCAGGTTGATGACCAAAGTCAACTTGTATTCTTATAACTGATCTGATCATTGACAGAGTATATTCTCAGGGTTTTGAAATGCAATTTGTGAGTATCTGGGAGCAGGTGATCAAAGAGAATGGCTCAAACATCGTGCTGCCCAGACATGGCCCATGCACAACACACCCATCCTTAGAGAGGGAAATATGAGGAATCCTATGGCCCTTGGGGCACTCTATTAAGAAGCATAGAATTGCAGCCTTTACTACCTTTTTGTTGGAACCTCTAAATTTTAAAAAGTGAAAAATCCTCCTCACAAAACCATCAAATATGTTTCTGATTTTGAGTCTTAGTCTCTGAAGTGCTGTGAAGTATATTCAAAATGTTTTTTTTTGAAAATGAAAAAAGTGCTTCACTTTTAAATCACACAAACATGCATCTGCAAACCCCTTGAGTCATGTCAACAGTAAAGAGTGCGATGGAACGTGGCCAAATGTTTTGTTGGGTTTTTGTTGAGTTACAAATTCAGTTCTTTGACCTTTAGCTTAATATGTTTCCTTGCCTCTGGCATCTGAGATGTGCAACATTCCAAAAGGGAGAAATAAAATATAAAATGCAATTAACACGGAAAAGCCAAACTTTTTGAATCTGTGCTCTAAATGCCTGATTCAAGCAGGTGTTGGGACATAAATAAAGTCACTAGGCTGCTGTTAAATAGCATTTGAAAATGATCAGGAATTCACTGAGGGGAAAATAATACTTTCTGCGACAACTGCCCTATGTTTCTAGAGGACATTTAATCCACGGCATGTGAAAACAGACAATTGAAATAATTACTCATATGCTAGAGACAAGCTTGCTCGAAGATAACCTATTTTCAAAATAATCTTAAAGCTGTGCACTTTTTGATGAAATTTAGGTACCACGTGGGCATAATTTTGAATGTCACTGCTCCCCAACCACTCACACAATAATGAGCCCTGGTTGAAATGACACACCTTTCCTGCTGCTGCTGCTGCTGCTGCT